ATGACCTCTCCTAAAATTTATGTACAAAGTGACCCCCCTGCATGTCATGCACAAAATTACTGACACTCCCCCTAGTACATGTGTACAAAATTGATGGACCCCCTGCCTACCCAGAACAAAATGGGTGACCCTCCTTAAAATCATCATCATCCCCCAGCCTTAAGTTATGAACGGTTCATAAGGACCAACTATTCTTTCCTATTGTAGTAGTTAATCTGTCATGCCTTGACCAATTACCAATAGTAATATGAAAGAAGAAGGCAGATAGAACAAGTATATATGGATGACAACTTCTTTGATTCTAGAGCACGACATTTCAAACAGGTTCTTGTATCGTTTTCAAGTGAGAATGGTACAGGGAGAGAACAGGTGATATATACACAACAATTAACAAGGCAAGGCGGAATAACAATGTGATGATAACAAATAAACGGATAACAGAGGATTACAGGGATTAACATAGAGGCCAGCGGAAGCCAATGATACACAGAGCATAGAATGTATACACGATTAACAATGTGATGATAGTGAATAAAGGGTAGCAGAGGACAATGGGGATACACATTGTATATATATCACCTGTTCTCTCCCTGCACCATTCTCACTTGAAAACGATACAAGAACCTGTACAAGAACCTGTATCAGAGACCATATACCGGTATATGGTCTCTCTAAAATAAAAGAAGTTGTCATCCATATATACTTGTTCTGTCTGACTTCCAACTTCTAAAATGCCACACAAAGAAGAAGAATAAGGCAGTCTTCAATTTATTTTGAGTAGTATATCTTTGTGATTGTGTAATGTCTGAGTACCTTTAACTTCTCACAACGCAATGTGGTTGGGTAGTGAGCATTAAAGCTACCAGTGAAGATACGGGTTAGAACTGGTCTTGAGCATGTTATGCTTGTCATAAGAGGCAACTAATGGTGGCCAGGCTTGTTGATTCATGTCATATGCTAATTGCAAAGATTGGTGCTCATGATGTCAATCACTCGATTATTTACGGAATGAGTACAAAGGTTTGATTCTTCACATGGGTACAATGTGTAATGCCACTTTTGGTGTCTTCTACCATATTGCTGATATATTGCTAGAAACATGATTCACTCACTCATTCACTCCAACACTGCTGCTCTCAATTAATTTGGCCATGGGGTAGCCTAGTGGTTAAAGCGTTCGCTCATCATGCTGAAGACCCAGGTTCCATTTCCCACATGGGCAAAATGTGTGAAGCCCATTTCTGGTGTCCCCCGCCGTGATATTGCTGGAATATTGCTAACAGCGACATAAAACAAAACTCACTCACTTTCAATTAACTTGGTTCTGTAATTGGCAAGGGGAGGTTTAAGTTAACTCTGTTCTGAAACTTTTACGCATGACTACCCCATCACCTCACAAGGTCACTGGAGGCAGCACACGTCTATCACATAATCGGTAGGTTTCCTGTTGGAAAAAGCCAATAACAAATTGGTGTCCATTGGGTGGGAGAGTTTAGCTTTTAGCAATATTCCAGCAATGTCACGCCAGGGAACCCCAGAAATGGGCTTCACGCATTGTATTGTGTGGTGAATCGAACCCAGGTCTTGGGGGGGACCAGGGAACTATTTAACCACTAGGCTTCACACATTGTATTGTGTGGTGAATCGAACCCAGGTCTTGGGGGGGTTGGGGGGACCAGGGAACTATTTAACCACTAGGCTACCACACCGCCCCCTGTATCCATTTTAAGCCATGTGAATATGTTCATGACTACAAAACTATTTCATAGATTAAGAAACCAATGAAGGTGAGCTTATGTACCTGTTGTATTCTACATGTATGTGAGTGAGTGAGTGAGTGAGTGAGTGAGTGAGTGAGTGAGTGAGTGAGTGAGTGAGTGAGTGAGTGAGTATGGTTTTATGCCGCTCATAGCAATATTCCAGCAATATCACAGCGGGGGACACCAAAAATGGGGTTCACACATTGTACCGATGTGTGGAATTGAACCCGAAGTCTTCAGGATGGCAAGCAAACACTTTAACCACTAGGCTATCCCACCAAGTCTGATTTAAGTAAGGTGGTAATGTCATATATCCACCTGTTCACAGTGTTCTTTAATTGTATAGTGAACACACCAACTTCCAAATCAATAGAGTCTTTAAGCCATGAATCACACAAAACTTATTGAAAGATTCTAGTATGGTTCCATTCATCAACTGAACAAGAGGATTTATCACACATTGAAATACTCAAGAAAGATTGAAGTGAGGATCTTTTGCAGTGAGTCCTACTCGAAGTATGTTTTAAAGTACTGATGGTAATGTTCTGACCAGGATATTGTGCTGAGTATGTTGTCAGGGAAGCTCTGTTATCTAGGATGATGTCTGGTTTATTTTCGTTATTACATAATTTGTTCCCCATGGGGATTCCAGTGCAGCAGACGTGTCTGCTATCTCATGCTTGTGTAGTAGCTCACTAAAATATGTATCTGGTGAATTTTACTTGGAGTCTGTGGGTCTTTGATCATCGTAAAACCCATGTTTTTTTCTTCTTATCCAGGGATAGATGCATTGTTACGTCATGTCATGAAAACCTCTAAAAATTTATGAGTTAGTGAGTTATTATTTTATACTGCTTTTAGCAACATTCCAGCAATATCACGGCGGGGGACACCAGCAATGGGCTTCACTCATTGTACCCATGTGGGTAATTGAACCTGGATCTTCACTGTGACGAGTGAACACTTTAACCACCAGGTTCCACCCTCTGAAGACACATCTCTATGTCTATGCATCACATATTTACAAGTGAAGCAGTCTTAAAACAGACATATTTTAATGCCTCAGCAAAAGCCCCATCAGGTCAGAGCAATTTTATTTCTTGTTTTACGGATCCGCCGGCTTTTTTTTTCAAGAATAAGAGAAAAAAATAATAATCAATTTTCCCCGCTCAAAAAATAAAATCCTCATGTTTTTATTGGCCAAAAATGTAAACCTCCCCAAAAAAATTTGGGGGGATTGTTTTTATTGCCCCAAATAAACTTCATAAACTGCCAAAAATAAAATACTTTTAGTAGTAAAGGAAAATTATTTTGACTAGTGATTTTTATTTTTTCCCTCCTGCCTTTAGGTTTTCTGGAAACAAAAATCCGTAAAACAAGAAATAAAATTGGTCTGGCCTCATTGATGTTTCTCCTTCTGTTGTGTCCTTCATGTCACGCTTAAGACAAGTGAAAAGCTAAAATAGTATTGGCCTGATGTGCAAAAACCAGAAACAGTATCATCACCTCATTTTTCTGAATGTCCACAAACTCCCTTCACTTCACTGTTTTTGTATACATTAAATACCCTTCCCCCCAGATGGAAAGTCACTTCCAGCATTTTGAATGCAATACTGCTGGAATACTGCGGTGTAAGATCATACTCACTCACTCACTCATAACACTGTTGGCTTGTTGTGGGGAAGCTGGTACACACTAGGCTACTCCACTGCCCACAGTGTTATGATGTCACTGTACATCTATTGCAGACTTGTCATCACTGACTGAAGTACTCACATCTGGCAATAACAATTTTCCTCCTAAAGCTATTTCTGCTTCTTAGGGGCGGTGGGGTAGCCTAATGGTTAAAGCGTTGGCTCGTCACGCTGAAGACCCGGGTTCGAATCCCCACATGGGCACAATGTGTGAAGCCCATTTCTGGTGTCCCCCGCCGTGATGTTGCTGGAATATTGCTAAAAGCGGCGTAAAACCAAACTCAGTCAGTCAGTCAGTTCTGCTTCTTAATATCAAATTTATGCCATATATTCACAGACATATTATCCACAAAATCACCTGTTGTTTTTAATATCTTTACACACAGAAATTAATATTAAAATATTTTAGAAATAAATGAGATATTTTGGGGCAGTTCTTTTTATTCATTTAATGCATCTTGTCTGCAAATGTCTAAGACATTTTTTACATGAGTAAATTACACGAGCATGCAGACTATCACGTCTTTTAATAGATGCCATCCTGATGTTAGAGTAATCATACAGACATGTTTCCATCGTAATACTGAGTGACATATCACACTTGTTAACTTGTTATTCCGACTACAGCAAAAACAGACAGGAAATTATAGTGAGTGAGAGAGTTTAATGTTTTAAGCTTTGGGCAATATTCCAGCAATATCATGGCAGGGACCACTAGAAACGGTTTCACACATTGCATCCATGAAAGGAATCGAACCCAGGACTTCTGGGTGATGAGCAAACACTTTAACCAGTTTTTCATTTTGTCCCAAAAGAGGAACACTTGTAGAATATATTTCGGTTCTACACTTTCTCTGTGAAGTACAAGTTCTATTAGAGCAGTGTCAGATATTACTGACAGCTTTTTCCGAGTGTGTAGATTGATTTTGATCTTCACTGTCTGTAAAATAGCTGCATCAAGACATTAATAAGGGCTTAATTTGCTTCTGTTTTTCAGATGCATGGCTCAAGATGATATAAGCTTACCTCTGCCAAAACAACAAAGATGAACATGTTGAAGAATGAAACAACAACAACAACAACAACAACAGACCAACGAAGGATCAAAGTGTGCAGTACATCTGCCAGGAGTCAACTAGAGGTCACAGAAACATGTCAGGCCTAATTTAACAACAACAACAACAACAACAACAACAACAACGGACCAACGAAGGATCAAATGAGTTACATTGAATGCCACAATGTTGGAAGTACAATATCCATTCTTGGGCATTGATCATACCAAAACTCATTATGCAAGGAACCACTAAAGTGCCAATATACCTGATTTGCCCAGTTATCTCCCTTATGCTATTGCTGTAAGCCTATTATTTTACTTCCTATAATCACATTGCCAAACATTTTCTGAAAAAAAAAACCTCAACCCCAACAACAACCCATTTAAACCTAACTAGTTTATCAACAACAACAAGTGGAAGGTAAAGAAGTTACCAAATACATCTTGAAGAACATTTAAACCTAACTAGTTTATCTGTTTGTGTTAACCTATTGCAAGAGTTCAACAAAAGTTAACCTATTGCAAGTGTTCAATGTAAGTTAACCTATTGCAAGAGTTCAACAAAAGTTAACCTATTGCAAGTGTTCAACAAAAGTTAACCTATTGCAAGAGTTCAACAAAAGTTAACCTATTGCAAGTGTTCAATGTAAGTTAACCTATTGCAAGTGTTCAATGAAAGTTTTCCTATTGCAAGTGTTCAACAAAAGTTTACCCATTGGTAGTGTTCAGCTAAAGTTAATCCTTTAGTAATGTTCAGCTTAAGTCCACCCATGGCAAGTATTCAACAAAGTTCACCCATTGCAAGTTTTCAGCTAAAGTTCATCCATTGGTTGAGTTCAGCTACAGTTGATCCCTTGGTAGTGTTCAGCTAAAGTTCATCCATGGGTAGTGTTCAACTTACATTCCCTATTAGTAGTGTGAAACAAATGTTCTTCCATCGATAGCTACTATCTCCTCTGTTAATGTCCACACAATGAATCCTTACTAATAGTGTGATAGTTGCTCCCTCATCAGCATGTTCAATTGTGCTTTCCTCAAGATGATGAACAAACCTAGGCTCCGGACCAAAGCAATGACACTATTAGCCATGTTTTGGTGTCTTGTGTTTATATGGGTAAACACAAGCTACAGCGATGAAGAAGTTCTTAAATGGATAACAGTGTCAGACAACAAACTCAAAGATCCACTGCTCAACCGCCACCAGTTCTCCTACTCACTCAACGCTGATATCTGCCAGTCAAGAAAAGCAGACATCGTTGTCATTGTTCACACGGCCGTAGATAATTCACTTCGCAGGATGAAATCACGTGATACATGGGCAGGCATTGTCCAGATAGGCCAGCATTCCATAGTAACTATCTTCATGGTTGGGCAAACCATGAACTCTTCTATGCAACGACTGTTAGAACAGGAGTCTCAATCCAACAACGATATTGTACAGGGTAATTTTCTAGATTCGTACAAAAACTTGACATATAAGCACATCATGGCATTAGGCTGGGTTAATACCCATTGCCCAGATGTTAAACTAATTGTGAAAACAGACGACGATGTGTTGGTGAACTTATTCAATTTAGCCTTGTATATTTACAAATACGGATTCCAGAACGACTTTCTGTACTGTCTGTCATACACCTTTGCCTTTCCCAAGAGAATCTCTGGAGACAAGTGGTACGTGGGATACAAGGACTATCCGTTCATGATGTACCCCGTGTTCTGCTCAGGTGCAGCATACCTTGTCTCGCCCAATGCAGCTATAAAGTTATTCCATGCCTCAAGTGATATCCGGTTCTTTTGGATAGATGATTTATATGTGACTGGATTCCTGCCTTTGAAAGTGGGCCTACGACACACACAGATGATTCCTGGACATGATTTTGTGAACGCATCAACGCCAACCAAAGACTCCATGTTTCTGGACGCTCAGCATGTCTGGTACTCTCAGTGGGACTACATCATCAAGTCGGTTCCAAGCACACTCTTTTACAAAGCGGAGTATCTATCTTGACACAATGTTGGAATCAGTCTTTAGAAGTGATACACATGGAGGGTTAAAATGTATGGATGTCAACTTCTGTAATACAAGGAACACAACGTATATTCTTGAATATTCCTGATAATACAGAAGTTCACAGCCATAAATTTTCACCGTTTGTTGGAATCAGTGTCTTAGAATTTCTCTTGTTCAGCTTATTTGCACTGTTATATTGTATATAATACATGAAACTTGGGATATTACTTATAACTAACTGATTATACATAGAAATGTTCAGAGATCTTAAAGATCAAGACCTACTAGTACCAGGACGAACTGTTTTATGATTCCTTAATTATTGAGATATATATATAGAGATTTATTTAGATGTACTTTAAAAACGGATTTGTATACTTACTAGCTGAAAGTTTTGACATAATACATCACCTTCCAAAGATTTCTTGTAACCCTCATGACAAAGCATTACAATGCATATTTTCACATTGATACAATTTCAGTGTTTACTCTCCCAAAAGCTTTATGTCTTTCAAAATGTTTACAACAGTATTACAAATATCTTTCTTCTGGTAAGAATGAGTTTTAAGAGTGGTTGTGTAGATAAAACATAAATAGAAGATGACGTAGCAGACTTCACAGACAACATATCATTAGTTTTCACGTTATCCATTTAAACCAATCATATTATTATGATATTATCCAACATACTTGCCAGTAATGAATGTTAATATACATATGTATTTCTTGCATGATGGTTCCCAGTTCATATGTAGAATTTGAGTGAGTGAGTGAGTATGGTTTTACGCCGTTTTTAGCAATAGCATGGGCTTCACACAATGTGCCCATGTGGGGATTCAAACCCCGGGTCTTCGGCGTGACGAGCCAACGCTTTAACCACTAGGCTACCCCACCGCCCCATGTAGAATTGAAAAAGCCTGTGTATGTGATGTTTAGATGATTAGAATCACCTTCCGATATGTTACATGTAAAAAAAATCCTATCCTTGCAAGGGTAAAAAAGAAATGTAAGATTTTATATATTGCATGAGGTGAGGTGAGGTGAGGTATGGTGAGGTTAAATGGGATCTATGCCTGGGGGCTGCATTTTAATTGCCTGTTTCATTGTACCCCTTACCGGTACTTTATTTCCTTAATACCCTCACTGACTTGGTTGACACATGTCATCGTATCCCAATTGCATAAATCGATGCTCATGTTATTGATCACTGGATTGTCTGGTCTGGACTCAATTATTTACAGACCACTGCCATATGCAGAGATGCCAACCCTAATTTAGCCCAATTAGTATTTTGGCCAAAACTGATGTAAAAATTAGCATTTCTGGGGAAAAATTAGTATCAACCTCTCCAAAGAATTTTCATATTTAACACAGAAGATATAGATATTCTAAGAACTTGTTATTAACATTGTACTCACCTAAATCAGTAGTAAGTATCCATATATTGCTTGATACTGAATAAAATTTATTGTGCATGGTACATATGCTATTAATAATTTAATTTAATGTATTTTTTTAAGAATTTGTATATTTTTACTGCTATCGTAGTCGCGTATTTTGTGTTGTTTTTTTCGAAACAAATACGATAAATTCGTATGAGTTGGCATCTCTGCATATAGCTGGAATATTGCGGAGTGTAGAATTAAACAACCAACCAGCCTTAATGCCAAACACAAGGCAGGGTAATAACAAGTACCATCTTTGAATTTCTTATGACACAGCCAAGACCAAACAAAACCCCATTATCACTCACAACATGTCAAAGTGTTATACAATCACCAATCTTCCATAGACATTCATATGTCTTTCCTGAAGACAGTTAATACTCCACATTTTAGCTTTAACAAATGAAGTGTGTGACTATAATGAATGACTGAATGAATGGCTTTGATGATTCTCATTATTTTTAAAGCATGCTACTTTTGACAATTTTGTCAAGCTAAACTATTTATTGAAAAAATGTTATCTTTGTTTTTGCAAAACATGACAAAATGTTTTTTTCAGTTCTTGACAGGCTCCATATTTCTTGCCTGAATGTTCTTATTGTATGTACATTGTGCCATGTGTAATAAGTAATTGATTTCTGAAGGGAACAAATCACAACAACGAGATATAAACACAAGGTAGCTTAGGCTCTGTCCATGTACACCTGTAGAGAGAGACATGTCTTGGGAGATGTCCATGTACACCTGTAATGAGAGATATGTCTTGGGAGATGTCCATGAACACCTGTAGAGAGAGACATGTCTTGGGAGATGTCCATGTACACCTGTAGAGAGAGACATGTCATGGGAGATGTCCATGTACACCTGTAGAGAGAGACATGTCTTGGGAGATGTCCATGTACACCTGTAATGAGAGATATGTCTTGGGAGATGTCCATGAACACCTGTAGAGAGAGACATGTCTTGGGAGATGTCCATGTACACCTGTAGAGAGAGACATGTCTTGGGAGATGTCCATGTACACCTGTAGAGAGAGACATGTCTTGGGAGATGTCCATGTACACCTGTAGAGAGAGACATGTCTTGGGAGATGTCCATGTACACCTGTAGAGAGAGACATGTAGGAGAGAGACATGTCTTGGGAGATGTCCATGTATGTCCATGTACACCTGTAGAGAGAGACATGTCTTGGGAGATGTCCATGTACACCTGTAGACATGTCTTGAGAGAGAGACATGTCTTGGGAGATGTCCATGTACACCTGTAGTGAGAGACATGTCTTGGGAGATGTCCATGTACACCTGTAGTGAGAGACATGTCTTGGGAGACATCCATGTACACCTGTAGAGAGAGACATGTCTTGGGAGATGTCCATGTACACCAGTAGAGAGAGACATGTCTTGGGAGATGTCCATGTACACCAGTAGAGAGAGAGACATGTCTTGGGAGATGTCCATGTACACCTGTAGAGAGAGACATGTCTTGGGAGAGATGTCCATGTACACCTGTAGAGAGAGACATGTCTTGGGAGATGTCCATGTACACCTGTAGTGAGAGACATGTCTTTGGGAGACATCCATGTACACCTGTAGAGAGAGACATGTCTTGGGAGATGTCCATGTACACCTGTAGTGAGAGACATGTCTTGGGAGATGTCCATGTACACCAGTAGAGAGAGACATGTCCTGTGAGATGTCCATGTACACCTGTAGTGAGAGACATGTCTTGGGAGATGTCCATGTACACCCGTAGAGAGAGACATGTCTTGGGAGATGTCCATGTACACCAGTAGAGAGAGACATGTCCTGGGAGAAGGCCATGTACACCTGTACAGAGAGAGACATGTTCTGGGAGATGGCCATGTACACCTGTACAGAGAGAGACATGTCTTGGGAGGTGTCCATGTACACCTGTACTAAGAGACATGAATGACCTGGTTTATACCAGTGTACATTATATTTCACTCACACGGACACAAACTGATTATCCCACCATATCACTTCAATTACCACTATGGACTATCACTTCAATTACACTACTTGTATCACGAAAAGTCTCATGGAAATATTTCTTTTAATTTTTTATTGCCACCTGCAAATCAATTATTCTAACTCTAATTGATGAAATAATATAAAAAAAATTCATTACTCATTAATTTTTCAATTTCTATCATTAGATTCTGGAAACAAAGAATATGAATATACGAGATAAGGACCAACTTTATGGATGAACGACTTCTTTATTCAATAAATTATTTATTATGAATAAAGAAGTTGTTCATGCATAAAGTTCGGCCATATCTGACTCTCCAACTTCTAAATATGCCACTCAAAGAAGAAATGAATGTACTAATCTGTAAACCAGGCAAAAATGCCAAGCAAATCTGTATGAGATTTTTTGTTACAACTTATACAATTGCTGATTAGAAGGCAGTCAGTACTGTTTTGAACTGCTGTAGGTCATCAGGCTTTAATATACAATTCCTATGTACAACTGCTAAATTACAACATGTTACTTCTCAATGTATGTTCATATTATATCATTCCTGCAAACACATCATTATTTATTTCCATGTTTCTCTTGCCATGATTGTTTTGTTTTGAATAAATAAACAAACAAAACACCACTTACTGTGATATTATGATGAGCAACAATTCAGTTATGCTTCAATAAAAATATGGCTCTGATCAGCTGAAGGGCGATCGTTTTGTCACTCATTATGTGTGAGAGACCCAGGGTGTTACCTTGACTTACAAAAGTGGAGGTCTAGGGGACTTCCATCAATAACTGTTACAGGTAATATGAGGGTTCTGTAAAGTATTGAAATGGTATTTTTGGGTTTCTGCGCCCATTCTTTACATGTGTGCGTACTGGACGCATATTTATGCATCACGTAACCTTTGGAGATCATGTCTTGTTTCCCACTCTGTGCAAGTAGTAACAAACCTGTGGGCTTGTATGGTCATACATGGCTTGATTTAAGAGATGTTAACCTACTTGCACCAGGTGCAACCTGAGATAAAAACCTAGTTGCACCAGCCAAATTCTAGCTGCACTGCTTAATGCAATATGTAATGAAAGAAATATGTTATCTAATTATTCAAAGTTTAGAAGAAAAATGACCTGACATAATTATGCTTATATGGTTAGATTTATTGTTGATTTAATTCTCAAAAATTGACTTGCACCTGGTGCACGTTAGACAAATAACTAAGTTGCACTTTGTAATATTGGGTTGCACCAGTGCAAGTAGCAAAGCACTAAATCGAGCCCTGTCATAGTATATTCAGAATGGCTACCGTTTTCACCAAGCCATTAAACTGAAATACATGCATTGTGCCTAATCAGAGATAATATGCCATGCACACACCAAAATATTTCGGGAAGATAAACTGAAAGAAAACACGCATTGTATGGATATTGATCCATGTGGACTGATGAGGATGACGTTATCTGTACCAGATTTCAATCATCCCGACCCCATTTCACAAAGCTATCGTAGCTCTACGACTGTCGTAAGTCTATGTTACAGTATAGGGGGTACGACAGTCGTAGCGCTATGATAGCTTGGTGAAATGGGGCCCTGGTCATCAGCCGGGACACAATAACATTGTTCGGACAACAGTGAAACACTCAGCTCAAATGTGTTGCATAGAAGTTGATGATTTGACTGCAGAATTTTTTGGCTGATGTTAGTTTTGGACGGTAATTCTTTGACTTTGGTCATCAGCGCTACCAAATGAATCTAAAAAATAATTGCAGTATTTCCTTTTCATCTTCAGCAAACATTATAACGATGAAAACCAAACCTGCACTTTAAACCACATAAATACCGATCCAAAACATAAATGGGAAGCCTCACTGACCTGTCACAAGTCCGCCCTCGGCTGTCAGAGTGATGCCCTGTTCTTCGGCCCACTGCCGGGCTCCAGGACCTACAAGGATGCTGCAACAGATCAAATGATGGATGGATGTACAAACAGACAGACAGACAGTGATAGACTTTGTGAGTGAGTAACCTGTGAAGTTATCTACATATACACACGTAAACAAGTATCGCCACTGTCAGCATTATCAGAATCACAAGAATCATTCATTCATGTCAAGTGGCTATTAGTCGATACTTACCTTGGGGGTATGCGGCCAAGAGAGAGACCTCCCTGTACCTGCTTCTGGACAAGTTGCTTGGCAACCAGCACTGGATTCTGCACATCTGATGTAGACACAACTCAGTGAGAGATGTCACACAAAACATACATCAAAAACACTGGTGATGAATCTTGTTTTGAAAGTACTATGAAAAGGTTACCAAGGGTGAGTGAGTGAGTGAGTGAGAGAGAGTGAGTGAGTGAGAGAGTGAGTGATATCTTGAAGAATCTTGCTTGAGTGAGTGAGTGAGTGAGTGAGTGAGTGAGTGAGTGAGTGAGTGAGTGAGTGAGTGAGAGAGTGAGTGAGAGAGTGAGAGAGAGAGAGAGAGAGTGAGAGAGAGAGAGAGAGAGAGAGAGGAGAGAGAGAGAGAGAGAGAGAGAGAGAGAGAGAGAGAGAGAGAGAGAGAGAGAGAGAGAGTGAGAGAGAGTGAGTGTGAGTGAGTGAGAGAGTGCTGTGGAAGCACTGAAGTAGCATCCCTAAGAGTGAGTAAATGAATTAATAGTGTCTCAGGCATGGACACAAATTAGCACAATCCTTTGAACGTAAATAAAATGTGTTATGCATTCACCATGATTATTGTTATTGCAATAAACAATTTCACAATGACCAATTTCTCAATGTGGATGAGCAGTTTTTGGCTGGCCATCATAAAATTACTTGAGATGGTTACCAAGACCAAATAGGTGATAGATGGTGTCAGATGATCAGCAACTCTCATAACTGAAAACACATGACGTTGTTACCTCGCAAACCTATCCTAAACCTAAATTACCCTTGAGGACATTATGCCCAGTGGACCATCATCGACCAGACTATCAAGGCAAAGTTATCCTCTTGAGCATGTTGAGTAAATGACTTTAGGAACCTAAAGCAGTGGTACAATGTCATGTCCACCATTGTCCATGAAATCACAAGTTGAAGAATTTTACTGCAGGAAGATTACCAACAGGACTTGACTCCTTTTCTTTAATGCAACTGATTAAAGTAAATTAACCTAGTTCTGATTCCGGATTATCTTTCATTCTTGAATAAACATGACATCAGTCCTTTCCATGAACAATCACCAAAGATGGATAATCTGTAATTCCTCATAACTCACTGTTTATTTTCTATTTCTAATCATAGACACAACCTGTAACAATGAACATCTGCCAATGTGAGAAAGTGTGTCTGTCTGTGATGCTGATATTATACCCAACACTCTTGTCCTTTCTCTAATCGTTAGTAACTCCTCTGAACTCATTGGTTATTCTGTAATTCCGACTCACCTGTGATACATCCAACAGCACCTGATGTGAGAGTGAGTCCATCCATGACACTGGCATCACATTCAACGATCCCATCTTGGGTCAGGTTTGACCCAAGGCCTGCATTGGTCAGTGGAGAGTCCTGAGGATAAAGGTTGGATAACCATAGACACACAACTGAATAAAGTCTTCATGTTTGGTGGGTAGTCTTGAGGATAAAGGTTGCATAACTACATACACTGACTGACTAGCTTGGTTTTACGTTGCCTTTAGAAATATTCCAGCAACATCATGGTGGGGAACACCAGAAATGGGCTTCACACATTGTACCCATGTGGGATTCGAACCCGGGTCTTTGGTATGACGAGCCAACGCTTTAACCACTAGGCTACCCCACCGCCCCTAACTACATACACATTGTGTAATAAGGTGAGTGAGTGAGTGAATGAGTAAGTAGTTTTACATGGCTTTTAGCAATGTTCCAGCAATATCATGGTGGGGGACACCAGAAATGGGTTTCAAACACTGTACCCATGTGGGGAACTGAACCCGGGTCTTCGGCGTGATGAGTGAACACTTTAACCACTAGACTACCCACCGCCCCGTTTAATAAGACTATCATGCACAGTGTGAGACAGCGGAGAGTCTTGGGAATAAATGTTGATAACCACATACACATAGTTTAATAAGACTATCATGGACAGTGTGAGACAGCGGAGAGTCTTGGGAATAAATGTTGATAACCACATACACATAGTTTACTAAGGCCATCATGGACAGTGTGAGACAGCGGAGAGTCTTGGGAATAAAGGTTGATAACCACATACACATAGTTTAATAAGGCCATCATGGACAGTGTGAGACAGCGGAGAGTCTTGGGAATAAAGGTTGATAACCACATACACATAGTTTAATAAGACCATCATGGACAGTGTGAGACAGCGGAGAGTCTTGGGAATAAAGGTTGATAACCACATACACATAGTTTAATAAGACCATCATGGACAGTGTGAGACAGCTGGAGAGTCTTGGGAATAAATGTTGATAACCACATACACATAGTTTAATAAGACCATCATGGACAGTGTGAGACAAGCGGAGAGTCTTGGGAATAATGTTGATAACCACATACACATAGTTTAATAAGGCCATCATGGACAGTGTGAGACAGCGGAGAGTCTTGGGAATAAATGTTGATAACCACATACACATAGTTTAATAAGGCCATCATGGACAGTGTGAGACACAGTCTTGGGAATAAATGTTGGATAGTTTAATAAGGCCATCATGGACAGTGTGAGACAGCGGAATCTTGGGAATAAATGTTGATAACCACATACACATAGTTTAATAAGGCCATCATGGACAGTGTGAGACAGCGGAGAGTCTTGGGAATAAAGGTTGATAACCACATACACATAGTTTAATAAGGCCATCATGGACAGTGTGAGACAGCGGAGAGTCTTGGGAATAAAGGTTGATAACCACATACACATAGTTTAATAAGACCATCATGGACAGTGTGAGACAGCGGAGAGTCTTGGGAATAAAGGTTGATAACCACATACACATAGTTTACTAAGGCCATCATGGACAGTGTGAGACAGCGGAGAGTCTTGGGAATAAAGGTTGATAACCACATACACATAGTTTAATAAGACTATCATGGACAGTGTGAGACAGCGGAGAGTCTTGGGAATAAAGGTTGATAACCACATACACATAGTTTAATAAGACTATCATGGACAGTGTGAGACAGCGGAGAGTCTTGGGAATAAAGGTTGATAACCACATACACATATACTCCTCACAAAAAGTTAAGCAACAAGTATTTTTTTCCACATATTTTCTTCATGGGTATATGAAGTTATTACTTGGCATATAAGCCATGCAGGAGAACCCTTTACGATTGATGAACTTAAAGCATTTCCCATATTGTTTTTCTGATAACATTGTTAGCACCGCCTGAACGCAACCACCCTCAAAACACACATGCAAAATGCATGGAAAACATGTGCTATACACGTCGCACATGCGTTCTGATTGCGTTAAAACTGCCAGCAACGACAAATTGTTGACAGTAACATTTGAGAAATGGCTAGGCGTCACTTGACACCAATTGAAGTTGCTCAAATTGTTGGAATGGTGCAGGGGTCAGACCCAGAGTGCTGTTGCCAACCATTTCAATGTTCATCGAGCGTCATCTCCAGGCGATCACTTCGTCACCAACAGACCGGATTGATGACTGAGAGACCACGCTCAGGTCGTCCAAGGGTGACAACTTCCAGAGAGGACCGATGCTTGGCCACCCTAGCCCGGCGGAACAGGTTCACCACAGCCAGATCTCTCCAGAATGACCTCCAGAGAGTTGCTGGGAACAGAATCTCCACACAGACAGTGAGGAACAGACTCCATGCTGAAGGTCTCAGGTCCGAAGACCAGTGCAAGCGTATCCACTGCCTGCACACCATCGTCAACAGAGACTGAATTGGGCTAACCAGCGGCGTAACTGGAGAGTCAATGCGCTGGCGTAATGTTCTCTTCACAGATGAGTCAAGATTCTGTCTGGACTTCAATGATGGTAGGGGCTGGTGTGTGGAGAAAACCGTAGCGAGCGATCGCCAACTGTACGATTGCTGAACATGATCAGTATGGAGGTGGGAGTTTGATGATCTGGGCAGGAATCCAAGTTGGACGACGAACTGATCTTGTGGTCATCAGGCGAGGTACCATGACAGGTGTGAGGTGCCGAGGCGAAAGTGTCACACCTGTGATCATTCCGTGGGCTCAGCAAGCAGGTCCTAACTTCATCTTCATGGATGACAATGCCCGTCCACATCGAGCAAGAGTTGTCACTGATGTTCTTCAGACCAACAACATCACCCATATGGACTGGCCTGCAAGGTCTCCTGACCTGAATCCTATTGAACATGCTTGGGACATCCTCGAAGGCGTGTATGCGGCCTCCACGTTAGATCCTCAGACTCTGGATAAGCTTGAACAGGCATTGCGGAGAGAATGGCAGAACATTCCACAACAGACTCTAGACAGACTCATCTGGTCAATGCCTAGGCGTCTTGAGGCGTGTATTCAGGTCAATGGTGGCCATACTGCGTTATTAAACTTTGGATCAGTGCTCAAAACTGACAGTAAAAGTGTTTTCAGACATTTTCATACCCTGATGCAACACATTTTGCACGGCTTTTTCAGTGACACTGTTTTTGATGATTTGCAAGTCAGTTATTGTTCAATGAATTTTGATTTCTTTGTTGGAAAAGTGTGTGGATATGCTTTATCTTTGTTATGTTTGATTCAGTTGTAATGATCATGAGTAAAGGCATATGTACTGACCAAAAATACACTTGTTGCTTAATTTTTTGTGAGGAGTATAGTTTAATAAGGCCATCATGGACAGTGTGAGACAGCGGAGAGTCTTGGGAATAAAGGTTGATAACCACATACACATAGTTTAATAAGGCCATCATGGACAGTGTGAGACAGCGGAGAGTCTTGGGAATAAATGTTGATAACCACCTACACATAGTTTAATAAGACTATCATGGACAGTGTGAGACAGCGGAGAGTCTTGGGAATAAATGTTGATAACCACATACACATAGTTTAATAAGACTATCATGGACAGTGTGAGACAGCGGAGAGTCTTGGGAATAAATGTTGATAACCACATACACATAGTTTAATAAGACTATCATGGACAGTGTGAGACAGCGGAGAGTCTTGGGAATAAATGTTGATAACCACATACACATAGTTTAATAAGGCCATCATGGACAGTGTGAGACAGCGGAGAGTCTTGGGAATAAAGGTTGATAACCACATACACATAGTTTAATAAGACTATCATGGACAGGGTGAGACAGCGGAGAGTCTTGGGAATAAATGTTGATAACCACATACACATAGTTTACTAAGGCCATCATGGACAGTGTGAGACAGCGGAGAGTCTTGGGAATAAATGTTGATAACCACATACACATAGTTTAATAAGGCCATCATGGACAGTGTGAGACAGCGGAGAGTCTTGGGAATAAATGTTGATAACCACATACACATAGTTTAATAAGACTATCATGGACAGTGTGAGACAGCGGAGAGTCTTGGGAATAAAGGTTGATAACCACATACACATAGTTTAATAAGGCCATCATGGACAGTGCCATGTTAAATGTATGAAATAACCTTTTACCTTATTTTGAAGATAGCTACTGACTATATGACATGTATACAAAATGGCGTCTGCCTCTCAACTGGATTTTCAAAATCAGTGAAACATATTCTGATAAGCTTAAAACTGCTATAAAAATAGTTAATTATGTTTAAGTTGAGTGTGCAAACTATTCAACGTATACAATCATTTAAATAGTGAATAATAGAGCATGTATTGATATTAATCTCATCTTAAATGGCAATGCAGGTCTCTCGCTTAGTGAAAATCAGAATGTTTTTAAAAGTGTACATATCTACATCCATAACACTAAACGATTTAAATAACTCTGTCTGTACATATCTATACCCTTTGTCTGCCTCTTGTTGAACTTTTTGTAATATACACTTGTAACTATGTGGAGAGGGCTTATTTAAGTTGGATAACTTGTGCCCAATCCGTTTCTTACTTGAATAAAATATGTTTCAATCAATCAATCGTTTAAGTAAAGCAGTGAAAGCCGGGTATGATAAATGTGTACATAGTGAACTCAAAAACAGCTAATTGAACAGTTTTGAACTGAATTCCTACCTGGAAACATAGCTGTTTGTTGTGAATATGGTAATTAACAGAGAATGTTGAATCATGAACCAGCAAATCCTTGAGTACAAAGATTGCTGCATCTATTCCATGTGTGTACCGTGTGTGAATAACAAGATCATAATTATGTCATCATCAAAATTGCCAATCTCAATCCTATCCAGTTGGTTGCCTTCCCCAAGTTGATTGAGTCTCAAGGGAGACAATTCAGACAAACATTCCATAAAACTTAATATAATTCTGGGACTGCGACCATGTTAATACAATATGTTGTTAGTGTGGAGGAATAATTGGTAACTCTGATAATTTGTTACACAGTAATGTAATCTCTGAGCAACATGTGCTCCATTCCCAGTAGTGATATGACGCAATGAATACAGTGTAGGAGGCCATCGTGGCAGTACATCAATAGACCTCTGGGTTTTACTTGATGCATTATAATCCTGCTGGACCAAAACTCAAAATGAATGAGCAACAGAAAGCATGACTTGTATGGAATGGAAAATATATATTTACTTTGAATTGTGTTGATAATGATGTTACAGATACTACTCAAAGTTTGCTAAGGAACAATATTGAAATATGGCAGGGTAACCTCTATATGAACTCATGTCATATAGACTACAGAGGCATGCAGCGGGCATGATGTGTATCTGCTGATTGGAAATCAGTGTTTGGACATTACAGCAAGGTAAGACGATGCATTATCAATAGTAAACTAAAACTACTGCACTACACCAGCTCATATTGCAACTTTTATCAATAGTAAACTAAAACTACTGCACTACACCAGCTCATATTGCAACTTTTATCAATAGTAAACTAAAACTACTGCACTACACCAGCTCATATTGCAACTTTTATCAATAGTAAACTAAAACTACTGCCCCAGGTCAGCTCATATTGCAACTTTTATCAATAGTAAACTAAAACTACTGCACTACACCAGCTCATATTGCAACTTTTATCAATAGTAAACTAAAACTACTGCACTACACCAGCTCATATTGCAACTTTTATCAATAGTAAACTAAAACTACTGCACTACACCAGCTCATATTGCAACTTTTATCAATAGTAAACTAAAACTACTGCACTACACCAGCTCATATTGCAACTTTTATCAATAGTAAACTAAAACTACTGCACTACACCAGCTCATATTGCAACTTTTATCAATAGTAAACTAAAACTACTGCCTCATATTGCAAGGTCAGCTAAAAGCAGCTCAGCTCATATTGCAACTTTTATCAATAGTAAACTAAAACTACTGCACTACACCAGCTCATATTGCAACTTTTATCAATAGTAAACTAAAACTACTGCACTACACCAGCTCATATTGCAACTTTTATCAATAGTAAACTAAAACTACTGCCCCAGGTCAGCTCATATTGCAACTTTTATCAATAGTAAACTAAAACTACTGCACTACACCAGCTCATATTGCAACTTTTATCAATAGTAAACTAAAACTACTGCCCCAGGTCAGCTCAGCTCATATTGCAACTTTTATCAATAGTAAACTAAAACTACTGCACTACACTCAGCTCATATTGCAACTTTTATCAATAGTAAACTAAAACTACTGCATTATACTAGCTCATATTGCAACTTTTAGCAATAGTAAACTAAACTACTGCATTATGCTAGCTCATATTGCAACTTTTATCAAAAAGATACAGTGGAATCTGTCTATTACGGACTGGCCTGTGACCAACTCATTTGTCTGGATTGTAAAGCAGTCTGGATTAGACAACTTTTGTCCGTTACCGTAGACACTGCCACGAAGAGTTACCATAAATTACCGTAGATAAGCCGAATTTTAAGGACCCCCAAAAAACCCAGTCTGTAGAAGGTGGTTGGCTTATCTATGGATTACACTTTCATCAAACTTTTTTTTCAGGGTAAGAAAATGACATCACATCGCTTCGCATAAACAAACAACAAAAGAAGACTTTGTCAGTAAAGATGTCAAACTTTTAATTAAACATCACTAGACAGGATTATTTACCTTTTCAGTTCTAATTTGTCTTTGCTAGGCATTGTCTTATATGCCTTATATTTTAGTCTGTAATACGTAATTGAGAGAGTCCAGATTAAAAAGCAAGCTTTAATGATAAATTAAGAACAATTTTGCCAGAACTCAGAGAGTAGTCCGGATTATGGAGAAAACCGGATATCACAGAGTCCAGATTTGACAGATTCCACTGTATGTTGATGCTGCAGAGGTAATTAAGAACATAACACTAGAAGAATACAGAGAAAGAATGTACTAACAATACTATCTTGCCATCATCATTTATTATCTATCATGCAATGTATTTAGTTTAAACCTGTGTTCATCGTTAAGTCCCTAATCGGTCCCCAGCATTACCTACCATCCCCAGTTCCCAAGCTGGTCTATGGATCACATTTACTCAGATAATGAATACTTAATCAACACATACTAGCATCAAAATTAATTAAAACAATTTGGGAACAATACACACAAGCAGGTCTGTTGAATGTGACCCACATGGGCACAATGTGTTAAGCCCATTTCTGGTGTCCCCCGCCGTGATATTGCTGGAATATTGCTAAAAGCGGCGTAAAACTAAACTCAGTCAGTCAGTCAGTTGAATGTGACATGAGCTGTGAACGTCCATCAACTGGAGACTTACCTCTAACACCGACACAGCCTTGGTTACTGCTGCCAGTGAGGTCCCTTCATTGCGAAGTATCTCCATTGCCTGAAACAACCAGCAGGCTAATACATCTTACTAAGATGCTTGAACATAACAGATATGCCGATTAATACACTAACTGAAAAAAAATTGTAATCTCCTTATACATAGGACTGTATTCAATATACTGTGTTCAGAGTGAGTGAGTATGGTTTTACGTCGCTTTTTAGCAATATTCCAACAATATCATGGCGGGGGACACCAGAACAGGGCTTCACACACTGTACCCATGTGGGGAATCGAACCCGGGTCTTCGGTGTGACGAGCGAACGCTTTAACCACTAGGCTACCCCACCGCCCCTTACTGTGTTCAGAATATGAAGTCACGCCAAATATGTTTAAAAAAACAAGGCATAGCTTTATGATTGTTTGTTGTTTAACGCTGCACTCAGCAATATGATGGAGGTCTGAAAATACAGTGGTCAACAGCATTGTTTTAGTATTTTGGTACCTGCACAATTGGGACATGATGACATGTGTCAACCAAGTTAGTGAGCATGACCATCCAATCCCTCTTATGACAAGCATGCATGGGTTGCTGTAGACCAATTCTAACCCAGATCTTCACAGGTTGGGTCAGACAGACCAGTGATTGATATTATGAACAATAGGTCACATTATCAGCGTTATGATAGGCAATGAATCCGATCATTTCATTGGCTCTTACAACAAGGATTGGTTTCTAATGATCCATTCTTATCCAGATTTCATACAGGTAAAGTTCAAATGTCCATTACAGAAGCCACAGTTGCTTCTTATCATTATTGTAACAAGAAGACAAAGTCATCAATATCCCCCGCAATGGCAAAATACTCTTCATGATTATGTCTACGAGTTATGATTATGTCAAATATTTAGGTGTGTATATAGAAAAGTGGAAGGAGAGTATTGAAAAGTTTTTAAAGTTCTGCTCCAGAAAGGAGCACTATCACCAATTTCAGTCTATGTCAAACTAAGAAACATTGAAAGGGTTTAGAGTTCAGCTCCGGAAAAGTGCACTACCACTAATTTCTGTTTTAGTCAAACTTGTTGCCATGGAAATGCCAAAAATATTTTATTCAGAATTCCAAAACTACCAAAAAGGCACCAGTACACCACCAGACCAATCTATGTGCCAAGTTTGGTGAAGAAATAGTGAACGGTTTTAGAGTTCAGTTCCAGAAAAGAGCACAACCACCAATTTCAGGCTAAGTCAAACTTGTTGCCATGGAAATGCCAAAAATATTTTATTCAGAATTCCAAAACTACCAAAAGGCACCAGTACACCACCAGATCTATCTATGTGCCAAGTTTGGTGAAGAAATCGCACGGACGGACGGAGTCCATTTTAATACCCCCCGCAAAACGCGTTGCGGGGGATAACAACTAGGGTTGATTATTGCCAAAAATTTTGTATTGCGATATATTGTAAGTGTAACACATGGGTTAAGGTAATTAAATTACTGTTTCCTTTCTTTTGAAACAATGCCACTGGCCACTGTCAGGACTCTGATGTGATTATACAAGAGATCAGTTGACTTCGCTCTAAAGTTTGGAACTCGAGAAAAAGCATCTGCAGCGGCGTCCGCCATTTTGGTTTGTTTATCCTTACAACGAGTGTCGGTAGCAATCTATTTCTTTTTTATTTATATGATTTAAAAGTCATGCAAATACAATTATATGACCAATAAACATTCTCAAAACTATTAATGTATAATAATATAAAGGAATACAAATGTTATTAGTAGTTTTGACTACATCACGAAAATTACCGATCATATCGGGTGAAACGGTTCACGAAAAGTCTACTGCAATATATAGTATCGTGAAGTTCGAATTGCAATATACCGGTTAACCCTATTATCGCCCACCCCCAGTAATAACACATTCATAACCTAAAGCAATATGAAATCTTTAATAACCATCAACTTTGGGAAACTGTTTACATAAAATAGAAGGTGGAATACCTTTCTTGTACACAGGGTTACTTATATAACAAATGTATGATGTCACTTTGAATCCAATGAACTTGATGGGGAAGTTTAAAATAATGTGCAGGACTGCAAAAGCACTGGTATATATGAAGCAATAGAATCTGTTATAATTACTACTACTACTACTACTACTACTACTACTACTACTACTACTACTACTACTACTACTACTACTACTACTACTACTACTACTACTACTACTACATTTGTAAAGAGCCTAATATCCACCTTACAGATGCACAGTAGCCTAATACAGTGATAAAACTGAACATACATACATAAAACAGAGAATGATTATCTACTGGTACACAGACAGAAATAGGTGTCTTTAGTGGTTGTGTTTCTGAGGTTTTGGGGAAGCGAATTCCAGAGTTGTGGGCTGACGAAAGAGAAGGCGCATTCGAAAAGTCCATTTAGTGATTTTGGCTGAGTCAAGAGAGGGTCACTGGAGGATCTGAGATTCTGCTGAGGTGAATAAGGGGAGATAAGTTCTTTGAGATAGGATGGAAAGTTTTATTGTAGAGACAGTCGTGAGTGAGGGCGAGGAGTTTGAAGGTGATTCTTGCAGATATGGGAAGCCAGTGAAGTGACTGAAGCACAGGAGAGATATGGTCATAGCGGGAAGAACGGGAGATACATCGGGCCGCTGAGTTCTGAATTCTGATGTTTCTGAATTGATTTGGATGACATGTTGGCGTACAGTGAGTTGCAACAGTCAAGTTTTGAAGTTACTACAGTCCGTTTGAGACAAAATGATACCAATGAATTGCAATCTAACACAAAAACAAATAGACATAAAAGAATCAAATCAAAGCGGACAGCAATAAAAACAACAGACCAACTCTAGAAAAAAATCATTTATTTGTGCGTTTCCCCAGTTTGTTACAAAGGCGGAGTGGGAACTAAAGGAACAGAGCGAAAAGCGAGATGCACGTGCATTAACGGGTTCTCAACAAATTTTTGAGCTGGCGAGATGACACGTACCCCAACTGCACAGGAAGTGCGCTGTATGTACTTAGTAATTGCATACTTGGGTCACCCCTGTCATTTTCATCCTTGAAGAAATCACAGACTTTGTAAATTATAGACTTCACGTCGGGAGAAAATTTCTTTTTCTCTCACTTTGTCAGTCAGCAGTAATCCCATGTCTCTGACATCACTAATCGACGTGCATCTCACTTTTCGTGCTGTTCCTTTAGTTGCCACTGCGCCCTTGTAACAAACTGGGAAAATGCACAAATAAATGATGACAGTTTCTTAAACAACTTTTTTATTTTTGTGACAAAAATTATGCCTTTTTTTTCTAGAGGTGGTCTGTTGTTTTTATTGCAGTCCGCGTTGGTTTGATTCTTTTATGTCTATTAGTTTTTGTGTTAGATTGCAATTCATCGGTATCATTTTGTCTCAAACGGATTGTAGGCAGTGCATCAACGTTTTGCAGGTTTGAATGTCAAGATAGTGGTGTACTCTGCTGATGTTGAAAATGCTGTGGTAGCAAGCTTTGCTGACAGAAACAATATGGGCGTCCATGGACATGGTGGAATCAAGAATTACTCCCAGATTTCGCGCACTGTGTGAGGACAAAACCTCAGCATCACCAATGTGAAGACATGTGTAGTCAGATTCTAGCTTTCTGAGCTGGTGTTTGGATTCAATGAGAAGAAATTCTGTTTTGTCTTCTTTTAACATGAGAAAGTTAGATACCATCCACATTCTGATTTCCTGAATGCACTGTTCCAGTTTTGAGATGTTGCATGAAAGTTCAGATGATTTGAAGCTGACATAGAGTTGAGTATCATCTGCATACAGATGGAAATCTAGAAAATGTTTTCGAATTATGCCTCCAACAGGAAGGGTGTAAATTGTGAAAAGAAGCGGTCCCAAAACCAATCCTTGCGGCACACCAAACAACAGAGCTGATTTTTGAGAGTAGGCATCATGGATTTTAACCAATTGGGTGTGGTCAGAAAGATAGGACTATCCAGTCAGCTCCTTAATCCTAGCTGTATACATGGTTTCATAACCTGTGTTTTATTTGTTTTTCTTACTGTACACCTGGATTCATCTGATTATTTGTGTGGAACTTGTTATCTATACATATATGTTGTGTTAAGCAGTTTATTGATATTAAGAACAACAGCTTGCAGATAACAAGTTGCACACAGATAAATGGATGAATCCAGATGTAGTTATTATAGTCCAGTGTAATGGTGTAAACACGATAAATCAGGAGCTGTTTTGTATTAAGTTGTGTGTTTTCTTATTGTACAAAGATTATCCATGTTGACTTCAAAGTGAAAAAAATCATGTTTCTAGTTTTATATGTACAGAATTCCCTTTTGGGCTGATGAAGAACACATTTCCCCTACCTGTTTGCATGCATCCTTACACACAGATCTGTACTCAGTTTCTTTGCTCGTTGAATGATATCCAGCACCTGAAATGAAAACAATTTGAGAAAACACTGATTATTTATTGATCTCAAAATATCCAGCACTAATAACACATGAAACAGCCATCCCAAGGCTGAGAACTAAACAAAGAGGTATCATCTATCCTAAGCTACAGTTATTTTGAAGGTAATTCCAGAATTGTGTGAGGACCATTCATTAGGAACACTTTTCTAATAGCCACATCACAATTTTCTTATTGCAGCAGGAAACTGACCACAGTAAGTGTCACAACATGCACAATTTCAAGACTTGTGAGGTTGATGCTGACTTCATTCATTGTAAGAAATAGTATTAATCAAAGCAAAAGTTCTTAAAATGTTCAATTTGTAACAAAATGTTTAAGATAATGAAATGAATGATAATGAATGATTGAAACTGAGTGTTGTGGTGATGTTATGTCACAATATCATGTACTTACTACATCATACCTAGATCTGATATGATGTTATCAGCTATAGCTGAGAGCTACAGATACTGCCATTAACATCTACTTACTAAATTATCTGTAGATCTTGGAAAAGGAGTATACTAGGGAAAATGTGATTGGTACTATAGGTGACTATGGGTTCAGCAGGAGTTTTGTCAAGTTTGTGCTTGCACCAAGACAGAGTGAAACTAAAGCATATTGATGGTGCTTTTGAAAGGTTGATGGGTCTCTCAGCATCTTGGATTGATGGAGGTTAGTGGCTGCATGGTGATGGTGGTTGTATCATCTTATCCCTGCTTCAATACTTAAGATTAATGATGGGTAAACAGGCCTGGCTATTATCCGTAATACAGTTTAGTCTTTTTTTTTTAAATTTAGTTAAAACTAACTGCTTGTTTCCAGATGTCACTGGCTTATCCTCTTCTTCACTGAAGGACATTCAGGTGACAGTTGAAGGTTTAAAGTTACGTGTTCAAGTTATTGTTGGATCACACATGAAGATTTTCGAACATCATATATTTTCAGAAGGTAGTGCTCACTTAGACTATGACGGTGGAGGGTAAAAAAATGCAGATTACCGGGCACAGCCATAGCCAGCTCTCCTTGGAGCACTTATTGCACTAAAGCGTGCCTGCTGTCTTACTAACCTTACACCCCACTGCTTTCCAGCAGCACTTCTTTAGAGGCAAACAACTCCTTCCGATCCTTTGGGTTAGGGTAAACCCTCAAAGTTTTAGGGTTAGGGTCTGGTACCCTTTCCAATCATTAGGGAGCTGACACGTCTTTAGAGGCTTGTGTTATAAAGTTATAAAGTTATCAAGTTAGTCAGGTTGGGGAAATGTTACGATCGGCCTATAATAGGCCAAACAGGATATTATAGGCTGTTCTGCCTATTTTGCTATAGGCACATCAGCCTATAATTATGATATTTATCAAATATATTTGAAGTGATCATCTATCCTAAGCTACAGTTATTTTGAAGGTAATTCCAGAATTGTGTGAGGACCATTCATTAGGAACACTTTTCTAATAGCCACATCACAATGTTCTTATTGCAGCAGGAAACTGACCACAGTAAGTGTCACAACATGCACAATTTCAAGACTTGTGAGGTTGATGCTGACTTCATTAATTGTAAGAAATAGTATTAATCAAAGCAAAAGTTCTTAAAATGTTCAATTTGTAACAAAATGTTTAAGATAATGAAATGAATGATAATGAATGATTGAAACTGAGTGTTGTGGTGATGTTATGTCACAATATCATGTACTTACTACATCATACCTACATCTGATATGATGTTATCAGCTATAGCTGAGAGCTACAGATACTGCCATTAACATCTAAAACATTTCTGTACAATCTTGGAAAAGGAGTATACTAGGGAAAATGTGATTGGTACTATAGGTGACTATGGGTTCAGCAGGAGTTTCGTCAAGTTTGTGCTTGCACCAAGACAGAGTGAAACTAAAGCATATTGATGGTGCTTTTGAAAGGTTGATGGGTCTCTCAGCATCTGGTGATGGTGGTTGTATCATCTTATCCCTGCTTCAATACTTAAGATTAATGATGGGTAAACAGGCCTGGCCATTATCCGTAATACAGTTTAGTCTTTTTTTTTAAAATTTAGTTAAAACTAACTGCTTGTTTCCAGATGTCACTGGCTTATCCTCTTCTTCACTGAAGGACATTCAGGTGACAGTTGAAGGTTTAAAGTTACGTGTTCAAGTTATTGTTGGATCACACATGAAGATTTTCGAACATCATATATTTTCAGAAGGTAGTGCTCACTTAGACTATGACGGTGGAGGGTAAAAAAATGCTGATTACTGGGCACAGCCATAGCCAGCTCTCCTTGGAGCACTTATTGCACTAAAGCGTGCCTGCTGTCTTACTAACCTTACGCCCCACTGCTTTCCAGCAGCACTTCTTTAGAGGCAAACAACTCCTTCCGATCCTTTGGGTTAGGGTAAACCCTCAAAGTTTTAGGGTTAGGGTCTGGTACCCTTTCCAATCATTAGGGAGCTGACACGTCTTTAGAGGCTTGTGTTATAAAGTTATCAAGTTAGTCAGGTTGGGGAAATGTTACGATCGGCCTATAATAGGCCAAACAGGATATTATAGGCTGTTCTGCCTATTTTGCTATAGGCCCATCGGCCTATAATTATGATATTTATCAAATATATTTGAAGTGGTGCATTTCCGCATGAGGATATTAAAATCATTCAAGTTTTGATGTCCTTAGGTTTTCATTCAAACCCTTTTGAGAATTTTCATCACAAAATAAAGGAGTTTGGAAATTGCTAATCAAATATCCCAACACGAGCTGAATTCGACGTTCTGGTGATTTTGATGATTGCATTGCACAGCGCTATATCGGGGGAGTACGTGTGCGATCGGAGTGCACAAACAGTTTCACTGGTTGCTGCCCAGTTGCTGTCGTGAGAAGTTTTATTGACAATGGAAATCGGGAAGTAAAGTTATATAAAAAGCAAACAAACATCAATATTATTTACCCGAGATCGTTAATACCACATCAGATGCAAAATCAGTTGCCTTTATAACAAAAAATAGAAAGCGAAAATTCAGTTAGATCAGTCGTCTGCTGGTGACAGGCAATATATAAATAGGAAGCCACGTGATCACAACACTCCCTCGCAGTGCGGAGCAAAAAGTATGGCTCATCGTCGAAAACCCATACAAAATACCCGCATGATACGAGCGGCAACAGTTTCGCCGATACGATGCCATCAACACTATTTTTTAGGGAACACTTGATATTTTTTGGTGAAATAGATGAATATATCCTTTATCACTCAAGGTTAGTAAAGTACAAACTTTTAATGATATTACAGATAAAAAATACGTTTTTGTCTTACATCGTCGAAAACCCCTGACACCGGGATATAAGTGTATAATATTTCTTTTACAATTTTCACTGAAAATTAATGACATAGATATTCAGATTTAGTTTTGCAAGGAAAATATATGCAAAATTGTGTTCTTAATGAAAGATCTTTTCCTGAACGTGATATAAATTTCCATTTTGTCCAAAAACTTCTTTTTTTTCAAGCTGAGGAGGTCATCACTATGATCATATAAAACCATTTCGTGCGGCAATTGATAGTTTGTGAATAATTAGAAAAATGTTCCAATATAGCCCAGTCGGCTTATAGCAATATCCCCAACCTGTTACTAACTAACCTACAGTTACAGTAACAGTGTTAGTGTCATGTTTTACAATTGCTAATGCGATAATCAAGACAGAAACGGATGTTCTTAAGAGTCCGAAAACCTATAACACGATGATACTTACCTGCATGGACTGCAACGAACGATTTCCGTTTGTCCATTACAAATTTCCTATTTGAATCAGTCGTAAAACACGAGACTGTGATAATGTACACATAATCCTTTCATATTTTCCGCCATGGACCCGGAAGTCTGAACATCAACTTCGCTTAAGTCTAATACAAAGATGTAAAGAGTCTGTTCATATGCACCAATATCTGGCACAAAATTTTATTATTTATTTATAGGAGTAATATTACACGACAGAGTTGGTCAAAAGTACTTCATATGTGCATGCAATCTGTTCCATTTTTTTCTTTTGCTGTAAGCGAGGTGAAAGGTGAACTCGACCCGAGGACACATGTTTGGTACTGGTTGGAGAGATATCCGACCGTTGAACTGGTATGGAAGCAGTAGTAGTACATTCACTCAATGTGACTCTGTTACATATACTTTTCGTGTCCTTGTGACAACCTCCCCCCGTTTGTAAAAGCTCTTACTACTGTTCAAAGGCATGAATGATGAAATTACACTGATGACTGATGTACAAGGTCCAGGGTAGGCTGTTGATGGTTGTGACCTACTGGGCAAGGTATACATGTCAAACTAGCAGAAAAAAAAAAACGAAGGGAAAAATATCCGCCCGTAACCTCCCCTCGAACGCATACTAAAAATTATTCCTGCCTGTTAAACTGCTGAAATATTCAACATGGCAGTACGTGTTCGTCAGGAAGAACTATATACCTTCCTTTCGCTGTCAGTTATAAAATATCAGACAACTGATTTTTCTTGAGCGTTATGTCCCCTGTAGTCCGTTTTACAGAAAATTGAAAGCTGTCTACAATGGGGGTGAACCACATTATTTTCCCTACAGCCTAGCCTTCCCTGTAGTGCTAAAGCCCTAAACGAAGCAAGTCTAGATTTCCCCAGGTTCAGTTCTGAATCTCTGGTCTCCCTAGGGCTCCTTTTCAATTTAAATGGGCTTGTTTGTTACTAATAAAATTCTATATATTCAGAGACTAAGCCTTAGTCTAACTTCGTACATATCAAGCGCTGTTCTCTCAGGAGCGAAACTTTGTAAGTTTTGGGTGTCCAGAAAGGGCCGTTTCCAAATCGTTCCCACCAACAGCTGTCGTAAATGAACATGGGAAATCGTCATCATCTTCTCAACTCAACTCAACTCTCATACTGTCGTATGAGCTCCATATTCGATTGCGTTAGAATACAAAGTGAATACTCGGCGATGCAGTGAAAGCGCTCGAAATCAGGCGATCTGGAACAACACCACAAACCGGTTTCGGTTTCGGCTTGCGAAAAGTGGACTCGTACTGGGTACGTTTCTGCACATTTACTTTGGCTAGGGTACATTTCTGTATACAGAAAGGTACCTGGGGTACATTTCTGTAGTACCTGTGCCGACAACGACCCCTTCAGCAAAAATATAGGCCTATGGTTTTTATAAAAAGCCTAAACCCTCGAAATAATCCTAATATTAATAAGTAGAATACATTTCAAGTGGGGGTTATGGGCGGAACTCTTACCGAACAAAGAGCTTTAAAGTTCATATGTACAGGGTTAAATGTGATTCTTCTCAATGACTTTAATGTAATGTATGTTTAACTTATTGATCATGTTTCAGAGTTTGGAACCAATGACACTTATCGGCAGACCTGTTCAGTGAGCTTGCAATGCCTCGCCACAGCAAGCTGCAGCTTCAAATACTTAGTCTTTACCGTCAGTTTCTCAGGGAGGCAAAAGATAAACCAGGGCTCCGATCATATGTTCAGGAACAGTTCAAGAAAAGTGCTCAAATGCAAAAGACTGACATCATTCAAATAGAATATGCAATCAGGAAAGCCCAAAAGCAGCTTGACATGTTAAAGTCCACGTCAGTCTCTGGTGTGGGTGTGTTTGAAAAGGAAGAAGAAAAGCCTTGAAAGAAGAAGAAGTTTAAATATCTAAATTATTTTGAAGACAGAATTATTTTAGTTACAGATAACATTGCTTTTGAGACTTGTTTTGCCAGTCTAATCTGCAGCACAATGTTTTTAAAACTCAAAATGGGACTTATGTCCCAATTCGTAGTGAAACGGATGTGCTCATCTTTGGTAGAGAAGAGTCTTGTGTCATCACTTTATCAGAGAGTTCTCTCCACTTTTCCTGATGGTATCCAGATGGCGCTAGCTTATGGCTCAGGTGTTTATCAACAAGAAGGACATGTAGATATGTCTAAGAACATGTTAGATTTCATCTTCGTTGTGGATAATCCCTTGCCATGGCATAGGCAGAATATAAGAATGAATCCAAAGCATTATTCCTTTCTCAAATTCTTTGGACCAAAACATGTCACAAGAGTACAGGATAAATTTAGTGCTGGTATTTATTTCAATACTCTTGTTCCATTTGAAGAAAGAGTGATCAAATATGGTGTAATCAGCACTGATCGTCTGGTAACTGATCTCCTTGACTGGGATACACTCTATGTCAGTGGACGTCTCCACAAACCTGTCAAGCTTCTCATTCTACCCAAAAAATGCAAGTCTTCTTTCAGCGATGCAAATTAATCTTCAGAGTGCCGTTCATGCAGCACTTCTCATGCTCCCAGAATTCTTCTCAGAGGAAGACCTTTATGTTGCCATAACTGGACTGTCCTATAACGGAGATTTTCGTATGACCGTTGGAGAGGACAAGAAGAAAATAACGAACATAGTGAAACCAAACATTGAGTATTTTCGTAGGTTGTACGAGACTATACTTGACAATGAAGAACATATCTACTGGCATAAATCTAAAGGCAATTTTGAACAATACCCAAATTACATCTCCCAGTACCACCATCTTAGCTTGCTCCCCCGAAGAATGTTCAGACTCACCTTGTAGAAATGAGGTCACATGGAGGTAGCTCACCAGACCTAGAGGAGGTGTTGAGGGTCTTTGCCCATGACAGAAACTGTGATGAGCATGTAGCTAAGATCATTGCCAATATTGTGTGGTGGTCAAGTGTGTTTCAGAGTGTCAAGAGTGTGTTTACAGCTGGAGTCATGAAATCGTTCCGTTATAGTGGCAAGAAATTGAGGAAAATGTTCAAGAGTCAGTCAAAATAACACTGTTTGAAGATGACTGTATACATGTACATGTAGTTACCAATGTTAATGAACAAATGCTATCATTATTTACTGAATGTTTCTCTGCAAACATAAAAATGAGGTACTCTAGGTAATGTAGTATTTGGTGCATGCCGATACTTCTGTGCCGTGATACAGAGAACTCTTCATTAAGTGAAATAAAATATGTACCACACTTAAAAAAATATGTATGCATTGGATCATCTAATTACGCTTGACTTATTGGAACCCCAAACAACTGTTGGCATGGTTTGTTATGTCATTTATTCAAATTCAGCTTTTGATTATTTAATATGGCACATCTGTTAATGCTGTAAAGACACATTTGAAATGACAAAACTATTTCAACATATTCAGAGTGGTTGTGGAGATAATAAACTGGGCTTGTCTACATTGTTCCATGATGTTTAACTATCCTTTCTTCTCCATGCAAAAAGCTGAAAATATTATTGTATTATCATCATGATCAGTGTGGCACACTTGGATGCGTCATGTCCATTTACCATTTTGAGGATGCTAGAAAATCCTTAGTGTATGGTAGTCTTAATTTTGCTCAAAAACTGTTCCTGATGAATGATTCCTACAGTTCAGCATGAGTGTGAGAAAGATTAAGAGACATGGACTACCTCCATCTTGATGCATTTGTATTGTTAAAGTTAGCTGTGGATTTGATATGAATAAAGTATAAAAACAATTATTTATTGTTGTTTTTTTAATATTATTTTGATCATTGATCTTTGTTGACTTGTCCAGGAAAAGAAGGAGGCAAAAACGGGATGCTCGAAATAATACTGGAATATGCCTTACAGATTATTGTTAGGATTGTCAACCTCGCGTGTTGCATGACCAAACATCCCAATTCACATCAGTATCTACAGATGAAGAGAATTTACTTCATGAAATACACCATCAACTTTATATATAGTCCTTTTCAACATTCATGCCTCGGTTTGAAACACATCCACACAAAACACCTTCAGAAAATGAAGAAAATCTAATAATTTGTGTTGCCTTTGGCATGGCAAGACACCACAAAATGAATATGAATAATATGACAGTCTAAATCAGTTGTTGGGATATATTTCTGTGATAGGTGAAATATGATATTTGGATATATCATGTAGTTCTGATTAACAATTAACATAAAATTAATATACAACCCAAATATGTCTATTTTGCATGCCTTTAAATTTCCAAAGCAGTGGAAATGAACTGCAAGGAAAGGGAAGTAATCCATGCTATATTATCTCCCCTGAAAAAGGGACACAACTCCAGTTGACTCATGAAAATCTCCTTCACAATGCTGCCCAAGACATCACTCAGGTGTTGCAAATACTGATGAATGAACCAGTAGCGTCTGAACTTTGACAAAACAGGTAAACATGGAACTGTTGTCAGACTTCACACTGTGAAATTAACTGAGGTCCATTATGAGTTGGAAAGGTTTTTCTTGTGTTTGATATTGTCAGTAAAAACAAGAGTTTGTGAAAGTTCTTCTTTAAAAACACCTATCACACACCAGCTGAGATCGAATAAAGATCAGTCTTATGCAATGAGTGATAGTTGTTTTTATGAAACTGGATTATAGATATCAATTAATATGCTCTTAATAAACTGTCAAAGATCCCCCACTTGTGTGGTCTTGCCATGTGGTTATTTTATACTTTTATAGGTAAATAGTTGGAGACACACTCATCTTTAACCATGGCATCAAGAAGAATGTCTGGAAAAATCGCCATGTGGCAAAAACGCACGGATGAACACCAGGAGAAACAGATGATCAACCCTTTTTCAGAATGGGAAGGTGCATCTCACCGAGCAACCCTCAGTAAAGATGATGAGAACTACGGTATACCCGTCGCAGGGTCATCGACAGAGAGGAGAGGTCGAAAGGCTGGAATGTTGATCAGCGGAGAGGTAGTGGAACTGTGTCATGTGATTGCCGACATTGGCTGCAGACAAGATGATGGAACATATGTAATTACTTTTGGACATTTATTTGAAGCTTACACGAGAATCTCCAATAAGCTTGTGGGCATGTTATTGCGTGCTCGTAAACAACATCTGGTTCAGTTTGAAGGTGAGATGCTGTTTCAAAGGCGGGATGATGATGTGCTGATTACTTTGTTGAGGATTCCAGATGAAAACTGAGACATTTGGTGTGTTTTGCACGTGGCCCTGATTGCTTAGAATAACTTGACATTTGGTGACGATAACTTGAAGTGTTAACACCCCAAATGTTTCTTTGTTTTTCAGCCCCAAGCCGGTTTAATGTCACAAAAGTGATAAATATCTGACCTGCAAAGCTCCAGTCTTTCCTCCTAAATTAACCTGACAAGCTGTGTTAAGGTGAGGTGAGGTGAAATTGGGTTTTACGTCGTGCTTGAGAATATTTCGCTCATATGACGACGTGCATGCGTGTTTATGTGTATGTGCGGCTGCTTGTACTAGCCCAGACTTAAGCTGGTTTTATAGTGCTAGCCCACCGAGATACCATGCCGCAGTGAAGCATGAATACCCCACTCAGACACATTATACTGACTCCGAGCCGACCAGTCCTTGTTATACCCATTAATGCCGAGCACCAGGCAGGGACCAACTAGTACCATATTTTAACGTCTTTTGGTATGACGCGGTCGGGGATCGAACCCGCGACCTGCCGCTCTCCGAGCTGTGTTAAGACTGGAGTACTGTTTAAAGTGGCCTTAAACCCAACTCACACGCTACAGAGGTATATTGAGTACTTGTTTCCTAACTTGGATATCATCTACAAACTTGTGTAGTTAAAGTAATATTTAAGTGCTTGAATGATACTCATCAAAGTTAAGATTCGACTGAATGAGATTGATTCAGACTTAGAAAGACTGCCAGTTAACTTCAGCCTGAAGTACTGCTTGTGTTGCAGTTTGAGACCACTTAGATATTTGATACTTTTAAAATGTACATAAAGAGGTATCAAATCCTAGTTCCAAAAGGGGCAGTGGGATAGCTTAGTGGTTAAAGCATTCCCTTGTTATGCCGAAGACCCGAGTTCCATTCCCTACAACACTACTATGTGTGAAGCCCATTTCTTGTGTTGCCTGAAATTGCTGGAATATTGCTTAAATCACATAATACTGAACTCACTATCTCCCTCCAAGTTCCAAAAGGTAATTATATTTTCTACATACAAAATACTGTGTGAATCCTATATATTTTCAAGAATGCATGATATTCATATAAGATGGCTATGTTTGCTGGTTTGTTTTTGTAAGTTTTACAACCCCAAAGAATTGTGTGTAAATTTGGGTATTTGTGGTTTTCCCATCACCCTTTTGTGATAAAAAGTGCAATATATATTTTTCAAGTGAAGTTAATTATTGAAAATAAAACAAAGAATGAAAAAGGTTCACCCATTTTGTTGTCTGTACAGTCAGAGACTATATGCAGACGGTTCATGGTCTCTGATATAATAGGACCCGTATATAGGTCATGACACTTCCCGAGACTGGGGACAAACAACATTCACTTGATCCGGTCTAGTAAAGTCTGATTTGGCGGTCGTGCAATTTGGAACCAGAAGTGGTTCTTGAATATTTGCTTGTCACCGGAAATCTGGTACCAGAAGTAAGCTGGGCCTGGTCTTGCATATCACACGTTGGTGTGCGCAAAGGGGGCCAGGAACCAGCTTAGTACCGAAAGTAACGCCTCATGAGACTTACAGTTCCTATAATCTCTTCGACATTCACAAAATATATTTTTGGTTTGTAAGCACTGATCCATCAGTAAATCCTCTTGCATGAAAGCATTTACTGAATTATCCAAAATAGCAAAATTAAGACTTCTGAAAAATAAGAAGTCAACGGTGTGTATTTGAATCTGTCTGTCAGAATTCAACTGAAACACACTGCCTAATGATCATCACTTGCTTCCAAATATTGTTCTTTTTAACCCAACACATCCATTTCTTCAGGAAGTGTCAGAAGTTCCATCTGGTGAAAAGGACATCAGTGTATAAAGTATATAAACACACGAAGGATTCCTTTATTGATTCTTGGTAATTACATGGTCTATAACAAACATATATAACTTCCATATCACACACCATTCATTTCAATTCACTTCACAAAGTCAGTTATCTCTCCATGAATTAGTCAATTCTATTCTGTCTCTGAAGATCTTGAACTGTCTTTGAATCTTCCCATGGACGTGGACCACGGATATTCTGCCAGTTGTCTACTTCCTCCTTCTGTAGTTTCTGGTAACAAAAATAAAGAGATAGCTGCTGAGACACGTCTGCTCATCAAAGTATGCTGAATGTTATACATGTGATACACTCCTCAAAAGAACTTAAAGAAAACACATTTTTTCACATAAATATAGTTACAAACAGCCTTCCAAATGGGGGTCATCTTCCTGAGTAAGAAAGGTTATATCTATCCGATTTCAAGCCTACATTTCTTGCCTCAGGTGTATAGCTACTCATCATAGAACACTAGTAGTGTCAGATGGATGTTCTTATTTTAAATGGCTTCACAAAAATGAGTACTATAAGAGACAACCTGGTTGATTAGATAATGAAAACATTTCCGATTTTGTCCCTGACAGACTGACAAAATGACAGATTACCACAGGGTCTCAAGCAAACACAGCTATATATTTACCTCATACGCTTTTTTCAATGGCTTCTGTGCCTTTTGTTTCCTTCAAATTTAGACCATATTTTGCAGCTTCTTCTTCTGTAAGCTGGAAGATTGACAATTTAAAATGTGTAAGCCTTGGGATGATACTTACTGCCTTGAACAGTTTGTGATACATAGAACACATTTTGTTACAATGAAAGGGTAAAAATACACATATTTTTTCAGTTTTAAATATAATTATGGTATACAGTAAACACACTACAGCCAGTTGAAATTACTCCAAGCAGCCTTATAAATCTATCAGATTTTCAGTATCAGTTGAATATTTGCATCTCCAGACTCTGCCTTATCATGATAATATTTATCACAGTTTGAAATAATTGAATAAATTGATATCTTCAAATAGATATAATTCAGTCCAATACATGTACATTCAAGGAAAAAGAGAAGGACCAGGGTTTCATTCAATGGATCAATCTGAGTACAATACATCAACAACAAACAGTGCTCCTTAGAGGCAAGCTGTAGACTCTGTAATAGGTAATATATATCTCTGTATCCATAAAAGTATCATCATTCTTCATCTCTGTGTAATCAGGATACTCGGTAATACTGATAGGCACACATTCTAAAATTTGAGTTAACAAGGAGGCTGACTAAGACATCCGTCAGTGATAGGACCAGTGCAAATTATGACTATTATGAATGTAATGTTGGAACAATACAAAGACACAAAGTCATTTGATGTTAGTTATCTGTACAGCATGAAGAGCAAGCAATATTTCAGAAATGCACTTCACACATTGTACCCATGTAGATAAATTAACCCAGTCATTTAATGTGATGAATGAAACCTTTAAAGCCCTGTACTGCCATGTTGGAGCACAAATAACCTTATCAGTGGCCTGACCATAGGAGTTATTTTATATACCCTGGTTTCAGTATGGCATCATGCATACTAATAGTGTACCTTCATTGTGTCATAGCGATATAACAAGCATTTTGATGCAGTTGTATAAGTCAGTCCATCAGTCAGTCAGTTTAGTTTTATGCCACACGTAGCAATATTCCAGCTATATGGCAGCGGTCTGTAAATAATCAAGTCTGGACCGGACAATCCAGTAATCAACAGCATCAGCATCGATTTATGCAACTAGGATATGATGACATGTGTCAACCAAGTCAGTGAGTCTGACCACCTGATCCCGTTAGTCGCCTCTTACAACAAGCATGGGTTACTGAAGATCAATTCTAACTCGGATATTCACGGGTAGTTGTATAAGTAATAACTACGAAAAAGAAATTACGTATACAATACCTTTTTTTCCTTTTCGGAACTGATATCTAATCACTGTAAATTTTTCCAACCCAAATGATCCTCCAACGATAAGGAGCTAAAAAGAAGTAAAACTTTACTGAGGCAAACATTTTATCATTCATCCGCTTTTATTGAAAAGCCATAGGTTCATTGTTTTCACAATTCAGTCGTTGAGATATATTAAATTCTGTTTTGTTAAATATTGTAAGATGGGCATAGATAGGCAAGTTGTGAAGATAACAGTTACTGGTCATTAATGTTACGGTTTACAAATGCTGAGGACAGCAAAGAAGTACACTTATATTTACAACAGAAAGTATCACATTGAAAGTGAACTTCATACATAATGCATGTCTATTTTGATCTGTCTTGCAGCTACATATTTTTAAAATGCAGACTAAAACAGAAATTTACCACATAACAGTTTGATTATTGTCAATCATCATTCCACATACAAAGTTTACTCATTTTTCCTTTGCTTCTTACTTTGTTTAATACATCTAAAATGTCATACCAGAAATGGAGCACCAAGTCTGATGAAACGACGTCTCGAAACATTTCTAAGCCACTGGAAAACACCAGTTGCCGACATAGTTCAGGGTATCAGTACTATCACAGACAGACTGATCTTGTAGGAAACATTTAAAACAGTCCTCTCTGATAAAAAAAAGAAAGAAAGGTCACGTTTTAAAGGTCACGTTTCACAAACAACGGTTATATTTCCGATTAAAGCTGTTGTTCTACTGACAATCGCAACTGACAGTGAGTTACAGGCGGATGATACAGAGCAGATCCCACATAACCGTAAACATTGACATTGGAGTAGTCTAACATTGGAGAAACAGGTGCTCGCGTGCATGTCGGTTTGGAGTTACCCGCCCTTGACTTGAACAAAGGGGTTCAATATGGGTTCATCAAATTCTGTTTCACTGTTGATCAAATGGGGTTTGCGGTCAGAAATGTAACATAAGCATACACTCCTACATTCTTACATCACTGACATGTCACATTTGCCAGATTTCGTTACCCGTGTTTACATACAGTCACGCGACTCCTGACCATCATGAGTAACTGAAAGCTGGAAGGACCATCATGCTTCGACATCTGTAAAACATCACGTGCATCATACACAGTCAGCGTCTGTTGTCTAATAATTCAAAGAGTCAAATAAACAAACATAAGTCTGTTATCTGTATTCTTCCGAAAAGAGTTTCTTTTCTGGTCGGTAATCTCACATTTGACAAACACACCACAAATAGTGTCAATTCAGTTATGATATCTCATAATGGTTTAAGAATGGCTTTGTAAATTTTTTTAAATACAATGCCTTCTGTCGGGTAGCAATGTCAAATCAGAGTTGCTGTCTTCGAACAGGGGCATAACATTTCGGGGTTCTTGGGCGACTCGCCACCCTATAAAAAGGTGTCTGGGTGACAATCCTGAGGGTGCCTTACAGCCAAACGTGCACAGCAGCATACTTTGGGGGAGGTACAGTTGATATTATTTCTTGTAAGTAACGTCCCGCTTTCACCTGATTAAGGTGATAGGTTTGTCAGCACCATACGCGTGACCGCGGGCAAATGTATGCGATCTGTACCACTTCGAGCATTCCACGTCAACCTGACACGCCCTGATAGTATCTGAAGTACTGTTGAAAGCGGCGTTACCCCACCTCACTCACCTAAAGTAAAGCTTTAGGAAGTTCAGCCATATATTAATAGGTTTCCGGGGCAGTGGGGGTAGCCTATTCGTTATAGCGTTCGCTCGACACGCGGAAGACCCGGGTTCCACTCACCACATGGGTACAATATGTAAAGGCCATTTCTGGTGTCCCCCGCCGTGATATTGCTGGAATATTGCTAAAAGCGGCGTAAAAAATAAACTCACTCACTAACAGGTTTCCATTGCTTGATTGAATAGACATCAGAGTCGAGACGCGTTCATAGGATCTACTGACCTAGGGTTCGAATCCCAGATTTATTATTCTACGTCTACCAGCAAGTTAGTCTTTCCTCTAATATTAAACTGAACGCCAACTGATGCAACTGAAATACAGTTCAAAGCAGTGTTCAACCAAACTCACTCACTCCTCCCGATCCTGGAACCGCGAAGATGTTAAAGCTGGCTCGGTTTGACGACCATGCCTTCTACAGAGTCGGAATCTGGAACCAGCATGACAACCTAGGACCTTGCACGAACAACCATCTCGAGGGGTGGCATTCCCATCTGAACAAGGTTGTCATGAGAGCTCATCCAAACACCTTTGCGTTGGTGAAGGTTCTTCAGAAGCTGGAGAAGACCGAACTGAACAAGCTTGTTCAGTTCATCCATGGAGCTAAACCACTGCCACGACGTCGTGTGTACAAGGAGATTGACCGCAGGCTTGATAGACTAAAGGATCAGCTACGAGCTGGTGTGAAGGCTCCCTTGGACTTTCTCAGTGCTGTTGGTCGACTAGTGAAGATGGAGTAAAACAAATTCTCAGACTTTTTGCCAGTCAAAATATGCATAAGATGATGTAAAGATATTTGACCCTGTCAGATGTAAAGATATGAATTCAATTATTGTTCCGGATTTCACAAATATATGAAAACCCCCAGCATTTTTTCATTGTGTAGGCATTTGTCCACCTTGTCTGTTGGAATGTTCCATTTATGTAATGGGGAGAAGATACTGCTGCTTGAAATCACTGGTGCATTACTTTGTTTATTCTACACTGTAGGCATTTGGAGACTACGCCGTCGCATCCAGTCTGCCACCTAACGAAAACATCTTCACAGATACTTCGCAAAACACAGATAACACATTTCTACTCGACAAGGTGATATACTGTCCAAATGTGCGTTGGGATGTAATATCTTAATAATAATCATATTTCAAACATTTCCTGAGCTTGCATGACCTGGTGCTTAGATAACTTTTTTGGAATTCGCTCAAATATGACAACGGTCTAGTCAAATATGACAACGGTCTAGTACATGTGAACACTGACATAGCGGTAGCACTAATTAGTGTGTAAATCATTCTGCTACAGGAAATAAACACGGCTGTATCTGCAAGGTGTGTATAAATTCTATACTAGTGAAGTGGACGCGATGGTAGCAGAAATACAAGTGTGTGTCATGTACTATTGTGAAATGGACACGATCGCAGAAAAGCAGGTGTACACTATTCTACAAGTAGAAATCGACGCACGGGTTGCACAAATGCACATGTAAATCATCTATAAAGGAAATAGTCATGGTGGTGGCATGCGTATGAGAATCCTACACACAATGTGAATGACCCCCCTAAAATTAATGTACAAAGTAAGTGACCCCCCCTGCATGTCATGTACAAAATCGATGACCCCCCTTCCCCTTCCAATATTTTGTAAGCATAATTTTTAAATATTTTAATGTACAAAATTGCTGACCCCCAGAAACATGTGTACAAAATTGATGACACCCCCTACCTCCCAGAACAAAATGGGTGACAACACCACCCCCTCTCTCTCTTAAAATCACCCCCTAGCCATAAATTATGAACGGTCCCTAAGGGGACTTGTCGGTTATGGTCAGTACAATGTGTCCGACTTTGTTATCTATTGCACACAGTCAGGTGGTCAGGTTCGCTGACTTGGCGGATCCATGTCATCGTATCCCGATTACGTAGCTCGATGCTCATCATGTTGATCACTGGATTGTCTGGTCCAGATTCGATTAGTTACATACCGCCGCCATATAGTTGGAATAATGTTGGGTGCAACGTTTAACACCAACCAAACAAAATATTGCACATATCTGTGTTGGTGAGAAATGTGTGCTAAATCATAAGTGCTAAATCTAACAATCAGCTACAACCACGTAGCGTCTCTAATATGTCAAATATACTTGAACGAGATGGTTAACACCCACTTCACCTCATAGTTGTGTCTGTGTCAAAGGTCGTATGGCTTGCTGAGATGTGTCATGTCAGTGAAGGGCCAAGAATAGGTCAGAAACGTAGGAGTGTATAGAGGTTGATGTCTAAAAAAGGAAATACATCTAAATGCCGACCAAAGACTTTTCCCAGTTATGGTCCTTATCATCAACATCACGCATGAGATCGGGGTGTCACTAAGATAGAGAACTTACTTAACATACGGACTGGTTCGGAAACAAATACTTCTACAGTTTATGCGTCCAATAATAATTAATTTCCTGGGTGGCAACCGTGGAACTGAAACGATCTTATTTAATTCAAAGAAAATAATCGCTTTCATTTCACAAATTATATAAACTTTACATTTTCCATGTTTGAGTTCACTACATGGTGTGAAGAAAAACTGAAACAAACAAAACACGTGCTCTTGTCCATGTATGCCAACAAAAATGTAACATCATTGACTCTTGTCACATGTTATTGATTTCACTTGTCAACTTCAGTGTCTGTATCAGGTTTGCGGTAATTGATGTTCATTTCACCAACACACACAACGCAATTCTTCCCAGTCAGTGACTTTGAAAAGAACTTCTCTATACATTTATCAGCTTTGGCGTCTACTAGGAGTTGATCTGTATGGAACTCAATATGATTTGATGTTAGAGAACAGTTGTCTCCCCCTGACTTCATGACGTCAGATATGATGTATTGGTTGTCAAAGTCCCCATGATCTGTGACAGTCAATTCCATAAGAGATGCATGTTCGTCAAAACAACACTCGTGGGTGTCCACATGATTGTGCGAGATGTGACAGCGTCCTCTAACTGAATATTGCTCTCGTGATTCGGTCACAAGGAGTCCACAAAATGTTGATCCATTTTCTGTGAAACATAAGTGTGCTATGCCTTTCACCTTGAGGGCTGACATCTTTGCTGGGTTCAGTCACACTCCTCCCAGTATATAAGTGGCATGTGCACCTTCTGAAACAATCAATAACAGAACAAATGACAATCAAGAGCCTTTCTTAATAGCAGAATTAAACAGTGTTATATATTCAATGAACGTATATGGGATTATCTTGGAGAATAATAGTTTTGTTAACAAAGGCTAATGACTACATATTCTATATATGCTCGTGACGCTGAGTATGAAAGCACAACAATAAATAAAAGTAGTAATGGGCATAACACATATGCTAAATGCACATGCATTTCCATAGTATTGCATGCAAAAATGATTATATTAATTGACAACAAGTACAATCAGTGGCTGTTCTAGTTCTTCGATATAAACGTAACCTCATTAAAATTATTTCTTGTTCAGAGGTTGGTGAATTTGCCATAATTCACGCATTCAGATTATACAATTTATGAAACCTATAGCTATAATCACGTTGACTTGATTCTTATCATGTGTCAAAACCTTATGAAATAACACAAAATGAAGTTAAATTATATCTTTAAACAATACTAAAATAATACCCTCAAATACTCTAATTGGAGACCATTTCCAGAAAGGAGTTTAGAGAAGAGTTTAATGTCAACCTTAAAAGGGCCTCCCGGTGGCGGTCATGGTCAAATGCATTGGCAGTTACGAAACCTACGCTTTGCTCAGCTACGCAGTCGCCATCCATTTGTGGCCATAGTGATTATGAGGATTTGGGTCTGCTTGATCTCTAACTACTGTGTTTAAGAAACGGCAAATACATCAGCAAATTGATCTCGTTCTTGGAAGTTGGTCCGGATCCACACACAAAGTTTACTTTGGATCAGAGCTTACCAGCCGAGCATCACTGACGCCAACTGAATATTTCTGTCGAACTGCTCCTTGACTAGAAAAGGATTACACAAGCAGACGTAAGTAAACGAAATACAAAGTCCATGCAATGTCCAATTTTCAGAAATTCGGCAACAAATGACGCACGTGTTATTCAACCGGAAGTTTTGAAAACGACATTTGCCGGAAACATACGATTCGTATGACCTTCACCTGCCTGGAGATGCATTGAGGTTGTTCATGCCGTTTACAATTTCTAGCTAAATGTTAGACTTTCTGATCTTTACTTACTTGTTTCATTTAGATGTATGATGTGTGATATATTATATATCTTGTGTATTTAAAATTAAGTCTTTTTCCAAACAAAATTTACATGGCATTGCAAATTTCACAGTTCTCAGAGGACATCAAGCACAGAAGTCTTCCATTCTCAAGTCAAGATCATTTCAGTTTCACATACGTAATCAAAGACATCCAATGTTTTCTGACTGGTTAAATTTCATCTTGCATACATGCAGGAGATCTTGACATAATTCATCGTTCGGGTCATTTTAAATCTGATATTATGAGATAAACATAAACCATATATCGGTATATGGTCCCTGCATAAACAAATGTACCTAAGATAACAGTGACTCTGAAAGGGTCGTTGTCGGCACGGGTACTACAGATGTGTACCCCAGGTACTTTTCTGTGTACAGAAATGTACCCTGGCCATAATCAGAATACAGAAATGTACCCTAGGACGATTCCATTCTGCATTGTGGAGTTTTCTTGATCAGAACGGTCATACTGTTGTATTAGATGCATTTGATATCGTTATATAAGAGCATACACAGTAACAAACATGTCACGGTGCACAACGTACACCACTCGCAATCAGCTGAACGGGAACAACTACATACGGTTTCGGTATTGGGTTGCGGAATATGTACTCGTCCGTCGTTTAGGGTACCGGGTACGTTTCTGTAGTTTGTCTTTGTTTAGGGTACATGTCTGAATGCAGAAACGTACCTGGGGTACATACCTGTAGTACCTGTGCAAACAACGACCCCTTCAGCAACAGTGACATGGAAGAATTCAAACAACATGCCCCATTTCTGAACACGATAAACACTTTTCGTGCAAAGTTCATGCATAACTGAATGCATATCTAAGCTTGGCAAGAACAGTTTTAGTTTGGTGTGCCATAGTTTGTAACTCAGTATTATAGTGAACTCGAATGGCCACTAATTTTAGTTCATCATAGCTGTATTTTTAATATGCATTTTGACTAAAGTAGACTTTATACAATAAGGGGTAAGGGCCATAAAACATTTTGTTATATCCATCATACTTAACTTACTGAAGATTATGTTATTCAGTGGCATTTACTAGTTGTACATTGAACCAAGATATTTTTATGGATTGAATAGCGTGAGACCATTCCAGGTCCTTCATCTCAGGTCCCTAGAATGGACCTTCAGTAACTGAGAGAATGCTTTAATCCATAAAAATATCTTGGACATAACTGAAGATTATTATTCATCTAATAGTGAAATCGGGTTGAATGAACCTTCAGTAACCCATGCTTTTCGTGGTTGACTAATGGGATCGGGTGGTCAGGCTCGGTGACTTGGTTGACACATATCATTGGTTTCCAATTGCGCAGATCGATGCTCATGCAGTTGATCACTGGCTTGTCTGGTCCAGACTCGATTATTTACAGACTGCTGCCATATAGCTGGAATATTGCTGAGTGCGGCATAAAACTAAAGTCACTCTCTCACTACTAGTGAAGGGACTACAGTTTTCATCAGGTTGAAAAGCTAACATGTTTAATTTAGCTGAAATATGTTAAGAGCAACAGGGACTAATTTCAGTTGACACCTGTTTCGGTTAAGACAACAGTAAGTCTAATCATGGTACTTCTTTCTGTTCCAGTTGATGGATGGACTATCAGGAAATCTGACACTGTGGCAGAAGTCCAGCAAGTTCCTCAGGAGAAATTTTTGGTCACTCTTCTTTCCTTTGGCTGCATCGACAGCTATCCTGTTAGATTTGTCAAAGACAAGGCGTTTCAAAGCTAATCAAGCCCTTCTAGCTAAACAAGCAGAGATCAAAGCTCAAAGTAAGTAACTCCTACAACTCCAATCAACGTGATTCTTATCCTTTTAAAAATATCATCTTTAAATGTAAAATACCTAAACAGATGCCAACCTTTCAGGTTTTACAACAGGAGCTTAAAAAAATATTATGAACTGACAAAATATTCTGCTGTAAGTTCAAGAATCGATCCTTTTTTATATTTGTGGTCTATCTGCGACCTTCTGCTTTCTGAATGATGTTCTTAACTTCTGTATGATTTATTCTATGTGATGTTTTTCTAATCGAAATCTACAATATGTATTTAAACATGACTGGAGTCCATGTACCAATGGAAAAATTAAAAAAATTAAAAACAAAAGAAGTAACTCCTACAAATGGTCTTGAGACATTGGTGCTACTGGTACATCTCACTTATAGACTGTCACTGTTGACAAAGTTCAGGGACTTGTCTAGAATTCGAAAATATAAAATAAAATAATTTCCCTTTGTGGGAACGATGGATTTTGTAGGAGTTTTTATTTTCTCAAAGTACTTTTGTAAAATTAAGCACTGATGCCTTTTGGTGATCGTTATTGGTCCTTTGTCAAAATACAAAGCACTGATGCCTATATTTTGGTGATGAGCCCAGAATTTATTGGTGGGAAAAATCCCTGTTGTATCCCCAAACAATCTGCTCCAGCATTGCCACCTATCTAATGGTAAAGTGGTAGTCCAAATAGAAATGTGACAAGCCCCTACTATCATATGTTTGTCTCAGACTGGTACTTTATATATATACTAGGCACATAAAGAAACTGCATACAAAAATTTAAAATCTAAATTTATCAAACCTGTGTAGACACATAAGGATTTAAACTCAGAGATTAGTGACATGTATCCAACATGCATGCACGTGCCACGTTCTGTGACGTCAGTGGGTTCGTCCTTGAGACGTGCAATACGTTGTTGCACGTCCATTCTGGGAAAGAGAATCAGAGCAAATGAATGCCACACAATACTGTCACTTTGGAAAGCTCAACCCCTGCCCTTGCGATCGTTCAAAAATTAAACGGCTATTGAAACGCATAGCATGCCAAGGCTCACGTGTGCACAACGTCATGAGGCCATTGGGATGGTCCCTGGGGGAATGTCTCAACGACAAGTGGCTGCACATTTCCACTGCCACCGGAACACCATTTCTGCACTGGTGAGACGCTACCAGAACACCAGCTACCGGCCACGTTCTGGACGTCCACGTGTAACAACGCCAAGACAGGACAGATGGATAAGGGTGACCCATCTTCGCCACAGGTTTCAGACTGCAGTGATGACTGCCCGAACCATCCCAGGACTTCGCCGTATCCACCCCAACACAGTTCGACAACGTTTACATCATCACGGGATCAGACCACGACGTTCCGCCATACGGCCTATCCTGACACAACGTCATCGACAAGCTCGCTGAATGTGGTGCCGGAATCATGTCCGCGGACCCTTGTTTTGGTGGAGAAATGTTGTTTTGACAGATGAGTCCAGGTTTAACATTATGGGAGAACGTTATGCACAGGCCTGTGTCTTGGAGAGGAATCGCTTTGGTGGTGGTTCCGTGATGATTTGGGTTGAATCACAGCACGCCAAAGAACTCCTTTGGTGATTGTTCAGGGCAACTTAACTGGTGTGGGCTACAGGGATCAGATTCTTCGACCTGTGGCAATTCCTTTTCTGCAACGTCATGGCCCTGGGTTAACATACCAACAGGACAATGCCCGCCCACATACGGCAAGGGTTGCTATGGATTTCTTGCAACACCACAACGTTGACTTACTGCCTTGGCCTGCAAATTCACCGGATCTCTCCCCGATAGAGCATGTTTGGGACGAGATGGATCGACGTCTACGCCATCTTCCTCATCCGGCAGATAACGTCCTTGACCTTGCAACAGAACTTGAGAGAATCTGGCGTGACATCCCACAAGCCTTCCTTGCACGTTTGATAGGCTCTATACGTCGTCGATGCACTGCTGTTCTCAATGCCTATGGTCGACATATCCCTTATTGAGCTTGTGACATGGTCGTTTGACCCCTGTCCCGCTTGTGGACTCGTGACGTCATTGTGATTGACTTTTAAATTGAAATTCTCCCAACTTGTTATGGTCTCATGATCCCTCCATTAAAGTTTATATGTGCCTTTGACATTGTTATCGTACTAATATTTTGACAATGCACAGTTTCTTTATGTGGCTAGTATATATTGGTAGACCTGTATTACAAATTAATGGAGATGAAAGGTGATTGTGCAGTACCTGAATGAATTTTGATGGAATTATGCTCATGTTTACATAGTTTGTATGGTGTACACTTGAGTGGGTAATGTTTACTGCACAGTTCGATACAGCTGCATTGTTTCTGAGTGGCTTTGCACAATATTCAGTTATTCATCTCCCAATTTCTCCCCAAACACTTCTTTGAAATACCACACGCATGAATTGATACAAATGTGGAATGCTGTGCAAAAGCACAATCAATGCTTTGTCTGGCCATTACAAGCCTCCATGAAATACTGGTTGCTGAATAAAGCATGCACACCAGAACTGTGCCCATATTAATGTTCTTGGTTTGTAGTAACCATAGCTGTATGTTTCACCGTAAACTGTGAAAGTCTTAACACCTGCCTCACTGTTGGCTTTCCTCCTACATCAAGCTGACATGTCCTGATAAGATTGAAACTGTTCAGTGTCCAATAATGTTTTCCAGTTTTAATTTTGTTAGCTACAAAATCACCTGAATCTCTACCATTGACATCCTCGATCATCTCCAGGGAATATACGTTACGATAAATCTCCACTAGCACCCTGGATGCATCTATGGCTCGGCCCGATAATTTTATTACCCTGGAGATTATCGAGGATGTACCATTGACTGATTTACAGTTTTGTCCTAATGGAAGTCATGACTGGATTATTTGTTAATGAAATAATTCTACATGTACTCTATTGCTTTCAGGCTGAAAATGAAGTTCTCCATGCTAAGAGCGAGGTTTGTGCCCTACTACATGGCATTGCTGATACCACCGGCAGCCTACTTTGTTGGCAGTTACTTTCAAGGGCAGCTTGATGAGACACAGACGCTGTATCGAAACAAAAGTCGATTGTTTGGTGGCCGCAAATTAGCTGAGGGAGAGAAGGCATGGTGATGGATGCAAGACTAATGAATGTGTGCGGTGTAGAACGGGGACTTAGACTTTATCACATTTTGAATTGGACTGTAAATTATTGATCCTCTCTGTAAAATAGAAATAAAGGATTTAGTAATTTATGTGTTTGACAGTTATTTTTTATGTTCCCTACAGCATAGGCTCAAGGGAGTTGTTGTCCATAGCTTGTCTTTGACTTGTGACAGTTCATTATGGAAATGTGGTTTATGTTGGACAAGCAGATGTTATGATCAATTCTGACATGAATGTGAAAGAAACAGTGATTTCTTTTTATCAGAACAGTCTACAGATTTACCTTTTCCAAAGAGCATGGATATTTAGAGTTAATGTGACTAATAGGGAACCTCCATGTGTGACACTCATCTGTTAGTGAGTGGATACAATGTGTGAAGTCCATTTCAGGTGTACCCGCCATGATGTTGCTGGAATATTGCTAAAGGGGTGTAAAAACGTACTCACTCACTCACTCATTGAGATGTTTGTCAGCAACAGTACATTGGTCATTGTCGGAGTCAGTGAAAGTTGTTTTACACTATCGTCCTCAGCATTACACCAGTTTGTAAAATAACCAGAAAGTCAATACATCAGTCTGCAAGAAGTCTTATTGTAATGGTCAACACAAGAGTTGCAATACATGAGGTACTCTTTCTGGCAAGCATGTAGTACCCAGTTTGCCCTGCAATCCACACAGGCTGATGAGCAGTGACATATGGTACAGGACATTTCTGCTGAGGGGGGCTCATATGACAAGTTTATGAATAGCAGCTGTGTATGCAACATATGACCCATTCATTCAACACATGATCTACTTTCCAGTGGATAAATGTTCAGCATTCAACACTTGACCCACTCAGCTGACAAATGTTTAGCATTCAACACTTGACCCACTCAGCTGACAAATGTTTAGCATTCAACACTTGACCCACTCAGCTGACAAATGTTTAGCATTCAACACTTGACCCACTCAGCTGACAAATGTTTAGCATTCAACACTTGACCAAATGTTTAGCATTCAACACTTGAGCCACTCAGCTGACAAATGTTTAGCATTCAACACTGGGGTACTTTCTCTGTTCAGTCTTTCACACTTTCAGTTCAGCTGACAAATGTTTAGCATTCAACACTGTCGGAAGACAACATGCCATTCAGATGTGCCAACTTCATCCAAGTGGACGGGATGCAGTCAACAGTGACATATTACAGTTGGTTCAGGAAGCTTGATAGGAACAATGTAACAACTTGGTAATAACATCAATGCCACATTTGACTTCATATGAATATCATGATATAACAATGACAAGGCAGTGTGAACTAGCAAAGCAGGCAAGTGGACAAATGTCAATTTGTAACCCTGTTCAGATTGTACTAGATATGAAGATGTATCTGCATGGTGGGAAGGTCCAGTGAACATTACTCTACATCATGCTATCACAATACTCACTGTCCACTGTGCATGATCAGTCCTATATTCTTACCACTCCCAGAATGGTTGACTTGCTAAATGTGATGTCTACTGTTGCATGGTGGTCAAAATTGTGGGTGTGAATTGGACTCTTTTTCTATAATTCTAATTATCATAATTAAAGTCAAGTTAGTAATCTGCTTGTAGAAGAGTCCCAACTTTTTTCTCTCTTAGACTTCAGGTTTTCTGGTGAAGAAACTCTGTTAACCGGTATTCTAAGGAAATAAATAATTAAAGAATCTAAACATGTGTACAAACAGTTACATGAATATGTATGCACTATGTGCATTGTTCACCATGCCATTCCTGTAATGTAACATTATATTTGCAATTGTTTCCTTGTTAAAATTAAGTTTGCATTAAAAAAAATTGTAAACCAATTTTTAAACAAATTGTTTAGCCTGAAAACAATGCTTCTGTAAATATGGACATTTAATGAACTTGGTAAATGCACATGCTGATGTAAATAAATAACATTCATACACAAAATAAATTACAACTTTTTAACTGAAATCACAACCACCAATGAACATAACAAACTAAACAAATCAAAGCCTATGTGAGATCACAGTTTACAAAATACAGGAAAACTGTACCTTTTGGTACCAACAAATCTAATAAATTACACTCCTTTTGTTGTTCACCAAACTTGAATTCAAGTTTCGTTTGTACAAAAGCCAACGCAATGAATGCATGTTATAGCTCTTGACCTAAACACTTGAGTGCTAACAGGTTTCAGAGAATTCACAATCCATTAATTCTGTTATTTCATTTGTTACAACTCTCAACTCAAGCAAATGGTTGAAGGAAGAAGATTGTTTGGAGATATAAAAGGTGTTCAAAGTATTAAAAAGCATAGAATCTGACATCAACAAAACAAATTTGAACTTTTTACTTCTACTAGCATTTAAACACACAAAATTGAAATCCATGAAAACCTGAGACCAGAACTTAAAAATGTCTTGAGTGCATTAAGCTAACTAGAAAAACTCCATATTCTATTGATATGTCATCGTCACTTGTCAGTGTACCAGACTGAAATGATAATAAACATTATTAAAGCGAACTGTACCCAAAGGCATGTAACACTACTCATTTGATACTGACAGGTTTGACATTGTAAACAAATGCTAGAAAAACAAAAGCAACACATGGTAAACAAACAGTTTCCCAAAGGGAACTTTGATGTGAATAAGGGACCATTCATAATTTATGGCTAGGGGGTGATGATTTTTAAGGGGGGGTGGGGGCTCAACAATTTTTTGTAGGCTCAACAAGTACACACATAGGGGGTGGGTGGGTGTGTTCATCAATTTTGTACAGAAAATATGTTTAAAATTATGCTTAGAAATTATGGGTAGGGGAGGGGGTTCACTGATTTTGTACATGACAGGCAGGGGGTCACTTATTTTGCACATACATTTTAGGGGGGTCATTCACATTGTACAAGCTACTCCATAAACACCCCCCTAGCCATAAATTATGAACGGTCCCTAAATGAAATACTGACTGATGAACGATTTCATCTAAATACTTCTTTGTAAACACACTCAACACAACTTGTAGCAAGGGCTTTCAGCAATTACAAGCAAATCATAACACTACATTACTACTGAACACAATGCAAGTAGAATAGCACTCAAAATTCAATTTTACATCTCAAAATCTTTGACTCAGAATTTACTTTTTTCAAAAAAAGAAAAGATCAATATTTAAATTTTTTTTTAAAAAGTTTTGATCTGTACCATCATGATATCTTTTTTAAATCTGTGAAAATATTTGCATTTTTAGCTTAAAAAATGTATTGTTCCAGTCTCATTAAAATCAGATATTAGTGCTCACTACTGGTACACAAAGATCAAAGAATATCCCATGGAGTTCACGCAAGAATGATGTTCATCTGACCAATCAGAGCTTGATTTACAAGATTGCACAAGTCAAAGTGTGAATATATTTTGTAACCATGCACCCTCTTAAAGGTTAACATTGGGGATTCCAAATGAAATCATTGTCTCGATAACAATGCAATTTAAGAGTGCTAATTGGTTCAGTCTGTCCATGGTGGCTCCTGCTTCACAGATCTTGTGTGCCTCTGATCTCTTGGGTTAGTTGTGTTTTGGTTTGAGAAGGTTACTCCCATGTTATTCCTCAGTCCTTTGATCCCCTTTCCAATCAAGACCCCTTTTTGATCAAACACCTCTTCACAATCCTCAAGACTGGGCACCACTTGCCAACTCCCCGTTATTATCCTTTAGGTTAGTTGTGATTTGAAGAAAAGGTTACAAACTACAATTATTTTTCTCAAGGGGCTACTGTGTATGCACAGAAACGTGCTGATGATGAGACCTCAGTATTTGTGATAGTGCCCATGATCCTATAGTAGGCCTTAGATTAACTCATTAATCTAGCTTAACTCCATGCTGGCAGTGAGTTTGATCAACCATGTCATGCTAACTGAAATCTGACAAAAATATATCCAGTGAAGTGCAATACACCCTCAAAGTAATTTCAATCTCAGTCTGAAATGGAATTGCCATTTTGAAACCAGTGCCACAAAACTCTAGGAAGCTGCTTTCTGATTGGCTAGTTGGCATCCTCTTGCAGTAATTACATTAGGAGGTCAAAGGTCCTGAAATGAGCTGTAGTTGGTTGTCCTCTGATTTTAGGGTAGTGGTAGTGAGCACAAAGATCTGATTTTAAAGAATTTGTGTTCTGTTCCTCAATCTCATGAACAGGACAGTTATACACTGAACATGAAGCACTTTGTAAGTCTAACAAATGAAAGTAGGACTTGTTTAATGGATGTATTGAGTCAGTTCCTTTCCTGACTTCTGGAACAAACCAAAAATCTCCACTGGAAACATGAGTAAATCCAACATGGACTCTCAGGGTGTTCTTGTACCATGACCTTCAAAATGACACAGCACTTTGTATTGTGAATCACAAATAACATTCTCTCCCATTTCAAATTATACCCTTGTTCCGCTGTTCACAATATTAATAGCCATACCTAAAAGCAATCATTTTCAGATTCTTGATAAAACTAAACATGTATTTGTACTCAGTGCGGGACCTTTATATTGACAAAAGGTGATCGACCAGCATGATACTATCATTACATTTCAGAAACAAAATGCAACATTGAACTAAAACAAGAGAGTGAAAACTCTCATAACAATGTGGCAGCCATTATTACTCAACAAGCAAATTCTAATACAGATTCTGCTTGCAAAGAACTGTTTAAGCATTAGTTTTTCAAATTATAAAAGTTCCTGAGATGACTTCTTCCATAGCTCTCTCTCTTTATGTATAAAAAGCCTAAGGCTGCAATATAAGACACATGATTCAGACTTTCAACCCGATAAATTTCACATAAAAGATATCAACGGAAGTATAACAAATTCCGGGCCTTATATTTTGTGTCTATGTCAACTCCTCCATAGTCAAAGGCCCTAACTTTTGCTTTGATCAATCGGTCTTTCAGTTCTTGGCGTTTCGCCAATTCTTTTGTGTATATGTCATCATAATCTTTCACTTCTGTCACGTAGTCCGGGACACGTTGACGATGACGAAGATTTTCCTTGCCATACATGTCAAACGATACACGTTTCTTTGGGGTATCTGCCTCCTTCTTTCCTTTGGAAAGACAAGAGTGAGGAGACTCTAGATCGGCTAATTCTGAAAATATACAACGACAATGTTAGAAGTTATCTGTGGTTTGAGACAAGCATGGTGCGGAAATTATACCACAGCATTGTTAAGTTAGAGGTACTTGAGTTAAAGAGTGAATGAGTTTAGTTTAATACGGTTTTTAATAGTTTTCCAGTTATTTTATGGCCTGTCACTTCTGTGTGGGAGGAAAATCTGTCTTATACATTGAGCACTTTGGTGAAACCATTGGTATTGAGCTAACAAATCTAGAAATAGTGTTGGAGTGAACCCGATGAACCCACTATCCCAGGTTTCCTGCATGCTCAAGGAATGCAATTCTGCAAATAGCGGTGAAGTTAATGACGCAACCATCCATGCTGCTTGGCATTTAGAGGTTTTGGCCAGCAAAATGCCTTCATAAATACCACCAATCAGGGTCCAGATAGAATGTATCCTAGCCTTCATTGCATTGGATATTCATAAGTCTTGCTAAAAATAAGTTTCGTCATATATTTAACAGACAAACTCAATGTTTTCCAAAGGTATACCTCGAAATGTATCTGAAAAGCAAATGCAGAATATCCCCTCAAGTACAAACATTACAATGCACTCACTATTACCACTAACTATCAAGTTATGTGGTATCACAATACTTTCTGATACATACCTGTTCTGTCATGAAGCTTTGTAGGCTATTTGTGCAAATGGTGCTTGTACAAACAACACAACAATTATATTTTCTGAAACTTTAATGTTTTCAAATTTGGCAGAAACACATTTTATTTTGGCACATTACCGAACCTGCGGTATAAAAATATTCTTGCTGTCGTACCTGAAGATTATCTTAACAACTAGACAGTAAATGACAAACCTTTAGCTGAGACATTTATGTGAGACAGACATGATATGTTCTGATGACCATGTACAAGTACTATACATGCACTATCTACATACAAACAAGCAAATGTTAAAGGTACCAATATATACATATGAAGGGTGACTAAGACATAGGTGTCATAACACATACTGAATGTACTACAATCCTGGGCAGCCTGGGCCCCGTTCACAAAACTCTCGTAAGCCTAAGATCTGGTAAATTGCTATGGACAATTCTAGTTACATTATGCAAGAATTTTTGCTACTACTTGTAAGCTGAACAATTTGGTGACACCATTAATGTCCAATTGAGGGTCATAAGTTTCACAAATGATTTCATTTTCAAAACACTATGGCGTATGTAGAAGTCATGCCATTCTAATGAAATTAGACTCAGTTTGTTACAGATATTTGTCCATTTGGCAAAGTTTTACCAATCTCAAGCAATTTTGTAACATGTACAGGGCTGTAGTACAATCCATATGAACTATGTAAGCTGTATGATACAGGGTGCCGTTCCACTAACTGATCTTAGCTCTACGCCAATCGAAAACCCTAAAATCCCAATCTTAGCGTGATGTTACGATCGGCATACCGTTCCACTAACCGATCTTAGCCAAGCCAATCGTAAAGTTAAGATCCAAAGTCTATGTTGCTCATGACCAACTTAAGATCGCTAAAATCAATTGTAGAGAAACCAAAATGGCGGCTTTCATTATTCTATGTGAAGAAGAAGAGCGAGCATTACACTGTGAGCGTGTTTTTCGAGACTGCTCACCGATTCTAGATACCTTATCAGATGATGTGATTGTAGCGAGTACAGAATGCCTTGTCACGCCTTGTTTATGCTGATTGACAAGGTTCATCCACATGGTTATGCTAAATACCCAGAGTTAATGGGCACATGCCTGAAATCAAGGTGCTCACTACCCTAAAACTGCTCTTTTTCGCTCGAGGTTTCTTCTCCACTTAACACTTGGTTCCAAACCTACCTCCATCGTCAACTTGACTATGCAAAGGGAGATAACTCGTGAATCACATTTTTTCTCTCACGCGAAAGTCTCGATCTTTTCTAGGATCGGTTGTAAGATCGGGATCGGCTACGATCGGCCTAAGATCGGATAGTGGAACAGGCGTAACTTTTGGCAAATACGATTGTAAAATTGGCGTAACTTGCTAAGATTGATCTCAGATAAGATCGTTTAGTGGAATGGCACCCTGGGTGTGAAATCTGCTAGAGCCTATAATCATGCACCACTAGGACAGGATGAATCATACACCGATGATGAAGGGAAGGCACTATGTAAGTATAAGATCACCAATAACAACACACATGATCAGTAAAGGAAAATCAGTGATATTTTTGTTATTTTGGACATACAGTAAAAAAAAGTAGGATGCAGACTGCAGTAGAAGTCAGTGAGAAATATCTATATCACATGAAGCTAAAGAGCATGAAAGGTAACAACTACAAGCTTCTACAGAAAAAGACGACAGCTTGAGTTTATAGCTAACTGCTATCAGTCATGAAGGACATTACTGACTTACTGACACAAACATCTGATGTTTTAGAAGCTGCAGTTAGCTGAAGTCAGAGTTGACTAGTGGATTTTAACTTCTTTATTCTTTCAATGCAATATTTTGTTACAACACCTTGATAAAGGTAATAGCTTATTTGCAGAAATGTGGCATTGTAAGAAAACGGAAGTTGACATCAATAAGTCATAGGGCTGACTTAAAGATCAACAATCAGAAATATTGTCACAGGGAAAATTAGCAATGATTATCAATATAAACTCTGTGTCATCGATAATATCTTACATAAACCATGGAGATAAAACAATGTTTTGCTCCGGTTGGAAATCCTATACATAAACAATTTAACTCTTCCATAGCTATTAAATACACAAAGTTACATCTCTGTTTAAGGGCGATTTCTACTTTATGTTCAGAATGCTGTTTTGGTTGGTAATCCATTCATATACAGTAAAATCCTGATGAGTCGAATGCCGGTGTCTCGAATATTATGCATAACTCGAAGTACCTGTCGGTCCCAACCATTCCCTGTTATAGTTGTCATCATTTGATTTCCGGTTACACGAATTCGTCTCATAAATACACACGATGACTCGAGAAGGAAATTTGGTCCCATGAGATTAAAACAACAGCAATCTTGTATACATAAGCCGAAGTCAGTCAATGAGAAGTTGACCGGTGTAGCAAACTGATCCAATTAACAAACCAGTGCGGCTCACAACTTTCCGCCATTGACGGGTGAGTTCAAAGGCAGATTAGTGATTTTACGGAAATCACTGTCTGTGCTAGTCAGACTGGACTGACTGATGACTGACTGGTTTGGTTTCACCCCTATTATATTCCAGCAAAATCATTAGATAAACAAATGCTTCAGGGCGGATTGGAATTAGGATTGAAATCATCTTTTTTTCTACCCTCACTAGACATACCTATTATGTAGGGAAATCATTAGAATACAAATGCGATTAAGTCTGGAATTTATTTTTACCCTCATAGACATACCCTCAGCGACATCGATAAGTCGAATTTATTACTTGGTCCCCAGCGATTGGACTCATCTGGATTTGACTGTATATAAAGACTCACTAGTGAAATGAAATATGTTGATCACATTCCAACTTTGATTTGGGATTTGTGCTTCCCTGATATCATGGATGATCAACAATATCTAGTTAATGATTATTGATCTCTATCAACAGTCAGCCCTAATCAGTCAACTCAGTCACAGATATGCTATGTCAGGTGTCAGGTGTCAGGTGTCAGTGATATATTGCACATACAGCAGCATCTGATACAGGATGAAATGATACATGACGTCTGGATCTATACAACACATCAGTCCATGATACGATACAACATACAATTTCATCTGGCTTTTCAATAGGGGAAGGCAGACTATGAGTGTTAGTTGTTTTCTTAGCATTAACTGGCTCTTGTTAAAAGTTTTCTGGCATAACTAACTTCAAAGGCACATAATACATTTGTGGTTAATAACTTCATCAATAGTATCAGTTTACAAAGCTGTCAAACTGCTCCAATGTCAGGGAGAAAACATGACTTTGGACCCTACCAACTCAACTCAGTCAAACGCTCAGTGGCTTTTATGCACTGACTGACTGACTGAGTTTGGTTTTACGCGGCTTTTAGCAATATTCCAGCAACATCACGGCGGGGGACACCAGAAATGAGCTTCACACATTGTACCCAGGCTATCATGGAATATTCCCACCTTTTGGAATAGTTGTTGAATTCCTTTGACATGGCTAAGGACATTTGACATTAGTTCAGACGGGAAGAATCCTCAGTTCCTCAATGTTCTGTTTGTTTAATATTTTACATGTCAGCCATAATATTTAATTACTTTGTTCGATTCTGTCCAAACATACTGAAGCAGTCCTACTTTATGTTAAAGTTTGATAATCTCTTATAGAGTATCATAATTAAATGTAAAGAAAACTACACTGTAGAAAACATCATCAAGTCTGCTTTTGAATACAAAGACGTATTGTGATGAAGATCATATCATGGAACAAATGTCATGCATATCATGCTGTGATCAGTAACAAATCATCATATCAGTCAGTTGATTCTCTGAAGCGGAGAGCGAGATGGTTTAGAGCGGACATGACAAAGCTTGTTAGTAGGCAGTCTTGGTGGTGGCACTACAAAGCCAGCAGGAAGGCACACAGGTGAGATGTTCTCTCCATTCTGTAGGCTGTATTTCCTACCTGGGATGTGGGTGGGGGATCCTTCGGCCACCCTGGGACTGCAGTAGAGATTCTCATCTATCACAGAGCCCCCTTGACCTTTACACTGGGACAGGAGCTCCATAGCTCTGAAATTACACACATCTTTGGTGCTTTGATCTGGTATAAAATGTTTTCAGTCTAAGTAAACTTAGGCTCAGTATTATTCATTACACTGCTATACTGAGTCTAACAAAACCTAGTAGAAGGTCGCGTCAGCTAACCTTTTGGACTGACCAATCATAACACAGCTTACCAAATCGCGAAAGATAACATTCGCACATACCGTTTGAACCGTTACCTAAAAAACTCGAACAATTCCGAATGCTATTTTCCGCACGATCGCTTCCGAGTGATACACGCAATGAGTAAACAGTCGCTGAAAACAGCGTTTTTGTCAATATTCAAGGATGTTATCTTGCGAAAATATAAGCAAATAGTAACCATGTCACTAGAAACCCCCTAGCATATATACTGCAGGTCAAATATCTGTGTTTTATGCGGATTTTCGTTTGTTGATAGATCAGTGTCGGCGACCAGGGAAGAGAAAATCCCAAAACCGTTTTGTAAGTCCCGCCGAACCCTAACAAGTAATCGTTGTCTGATTGGTTAAATCAGTTCGGCCGTCTCGCGTTTGATTGGACGGTCATAGGTCGCTCAAAGGTTAGCTGACGCGACCTTCTACTACGTTTTGTTAGACTCAGTATAGCAGTGTAATGAATAATACTGAGCCTAAGTTTACTTAGACTAAAACAATAGTGAAAAAAATATCAATGATATATGAATAAAGTCACATCAATATTTAGCAAATTGGCATTTTGTTGGCATGAAGTTTTACCATGTAGCTGCAATATATATTCACATTGCAGGAAAGGTTACAATTTGTCAAGGTGTGCACGGTGGCACTCTGTGTGTGAGGGTATGCAGTGTCTTGATCTCCTTTACTTTAGTTCCCCCCTTTGCCACAAAATATTTGCCCATGGGTCAGGTGACCTACTTACTGTGAAGTGAGTGAGTGAGTGAGTGAGAGTTTAGTGTAGTTTCATGCAGCTTTTAGCAATATTCCAGCAATATCATGGCGGTGGATACCACAAATGGGCTTCACACATTGTGCCCATATGGGTTATCGAACCTGGGTGTTTGGCATGACTAGCAAATGCCTAATCCACTAGGCTACTCTACCGCCCCTTTTCTGTGAAGACAATGGCCTCAAGCTGAGGACTAGATCACTTATGATTCAAAGCCCCATGAGAAACTGAAGGACACCTACATTTCCCTGTCTGAGGGTAACACCATGACAATGGGGATATCCCAATCCAAACAAACATTTATATCATCAATGTTATGTTGTATGCCCAATTCCCACACGTGACAAGGGCATGGAAAACCTCTTTAACATCTGAAAACATTTAGTTACCCATAAACTAGTAAGGACTAGAATATCAAGCTTAAGCCATCTACCTTTTCAGTTTATCATCTGCAAGTTTCTCCTTTAATGCAAGACTTCTTTCTCTACCTGAAAGAATCATCACATTTAAATACTGGATTGTGACCAAAGGTTTGACAACAATGGATACATGATCTGAAAACCTTTGACCATGGATTCCATTTACACCTTTCCACTTCTTGCACAATATTATACATATGTAAGTAATGTTTCAGTTTTAAAAAAGCAATACATCAATCATGAGTGATTGAGTGAATTTAGTTTTACTCCGCTTTCAGCTATATTCCAGATATATGGCAGCTGTCTGTAAATAATCGAGTCTGGACTAGACATTCCAGTGATCAACAGCATGAGCATCGATCTATGCAATTGGGATACGATGACACGTGTCAACCAAATCAGCAAACCTGACCACCTGATCCCGATAGTCACCTTTTACAATAAGCATGAGTTACTGAAGATCAATTTTAACACGGATCTGCATGGTTGTCATCAATCAAGAAAAACAATAATGATGGGGTAACATACAAGATCGGTAAATTTGATAAGGTCCACATGATCAGCACGGAAACATATAGATTTTATGCCTTATCTTTAATTAAAGGGGACAAGGAAAACATCTGACTTACTGTCAAGCTCTTTCTCACGAAGATCCAGCTGTCTAAGCTTAGCACGCAGTTCCTCTTCAAGGCGTAAGATTCTATCAGGTGGTGGCGGTGCTGAAGAATCACTCTCACTGCGTGAACTGCGATGGGATAATCTTTCTCTCATACCAACCACAAGACTGTCATTCAGAATATCCTCAATGCCTGGCCTCCGAACAACCTAAAAAAGATACAAAGTAAAATTCGTACAAACCTATAGAGGTTATTGATTCTTTGAAGAAAGTCCTCCTTGGGGTACATAAGCACTGAAATGTCGCTTTTAAGGCCTACGACAGTTGTAACTATATTTTTTAATTGTTCTCTTGTGAGGCCACCCTACAGGGCCCCTCCTACAGCCAAGAGCAGGTAACTCTACCTCGCACCTCACTTTTCGTGCTGAACGTATCAGACAGAATGAGGGGAGGCGGGAGAGTACCCCAAGGAGGACTTTCTTCAAAGAATCAACCTCTACAGGTTTGTACGATTCTTTTTTCAGAAAAAGTCCTCCTTGGGGTACATATAAGCATTAGACAGACTCCCAAAGATATTTGAGTCAGGAGCGGCATTCTGTCTGACATAACGATCCATTGGAAGTAATATTCTACAACCTAGCGGAGATAGAAAATTACACTTACCCAGGCACCTGACCGCCGATGTCAATCAAGGCGTGGGGCGTAGCTAGGGCAAGGACCCAGAATGTCTAGCTTATATGTGATTGGATAACGGTGTCAAGTCACTTACATAACCCCAACCCCCAACCCAAGGTGTGGAGGAGTAACTATGGGGTACTCGCCAAAACAAACCACTATCAGAAAACGCTCTTTAGCCAGCAAAGGCATGGTGAAGAGGAAAGTATGAGTAAAGTACAAGACACAGAAATACCAAAGTAGAGCGGGGATAAGAACCATCACCAAATACCACCACTGATAAAAGGAGAACGATAAAAACCTGACACCAAGTAGATTACAGAGTAAATGATCCCGAAAGCTAGAGCGGTATTACTCTGTCCACTGTGGAGAACTGTCTGGCCAAACCGAGCACGCTCACGCGAGTGTTTGTCCAGCTGATAATTGGCGGATGAACATACTCGGGTCGGCTCCAAATAGCCTCAGTGGGCAGAGCACATCAGCATGAATGTGGAGGTGGCAACTGCTCTATCCGAATGAGCTTTAAAGGCCCTCTGGAGGGGACAAGCATGACTGTGTGTACTTCAACTAAAGTCAAAGAAAGGTTGAGAATGTAACCCATACATCTCAAGATAGTTTGTTTATTAGCTGGTTGCCCAGCCTTGCTGAAAGGTGATTCGGGTGTGGCGCCGTTCTGGATAGTACTCCTCTCGACCTCTGGGAGATAGTACAGGAGCCTGAACTAGCAACCTGAAACGGCAGCCTGCTTATCTTTAACAGATAGCCCACAGTCCTCGAGCAGGCATCCGGCTTAATATATGCCTTAGAGTGAAATGACCTGAACAAGTGGAAGATAACATCTAGGGCTAGTACTACATTGTGAGCGCTGAGGCCCTGGGGACTGCACCAAAGGTAACTGCCATGCCTTGTAAAACAATCCTCTAGGACTTTGGATATTCGACCTGTTCCCAAGAAGAGAGACAGAGAAACTATGCCCTGCTGTATCTCGAATCTCTCCAGGACCACCCCAAGAAAACCAGATCCTGTCAGAATCCTCTCGAGAACCAGCTCTTGAGGTTGATAATCCAAGCCCTAACTTGGTGAGGAGTATCCATCACTGAGACGGGAAACTATGCCTGTGTGGAATCTAGCCCCGAAAACTCAAGAGGGTGGCGAAGTATCCATCACCGCTGAATCCGTAGACCAGCTCGCCAGTCGCCCAAGCATGGGTAACAAAATTGCCCTGTACCCTGGCGATCTGAGCTGGAATGAGCATAAGTTTGGTAAACAGCCTTGGCGCCGTGGAGATGCTGAAGGGGAGTACACGAAACTGATAGCACTTCCCGTCGAAGGAAAACCTGAGGTATTTCCTGAAGTCGGGGTGCATTGGAACATGGAGGTTTGCATCTTTGAGGTCGATTGACGTGAGCCAATTCCCTGCCTCTACAGACGGGATCACTGAACGCAGTGTCTCCATCTTGAAAGACGGCACCTCTATCATGTCGTTCAGCCCTTTAGAATGGGTCTGAACCCATTTCCTTCTTGGTAACCAGGAAATATGTGGAGTAAAACCCCAGGTTCCCATGGCCCAACGGAACCATCTCTATGGCTGCCTTGTCCAGCAACGACTGGACCTCAGCACAGAGCGTATCTGCCTTCTTCTGAGCGTTCGGCACCAGAGTACATGGAATCCTGGAGAAGGGAGGTGAGCCTCGCTTCCACTATGGCAAATGGCCATCCCTGAGCGTGGACATGACCCAGGAATTTGAGGCGACTTTCTCCCACTCCTGAAGGAATAGAGAAAGTCGGCCGCCGACAGGGATATCAGGTAACAGGCAATGGATCCTGGTGGTCGGCACTCATCATCTGGCTTGCACACAACCATATGGCGTCGCATGCCAGATGCAAGTGCACCTCCGTCAGCTGCCTTGCAAACATGGATGATGACGAATCGTCGTCCACTGCCCCCTGGTTCACAAGCTGTCTTTGCAGGCTGAAAGGTAAGCAGAGTAAACTATAACTTTCAGTTGCTGAACTGCATTGCAATATTGTTCTTCGAAGGAACAATATGCTGACTTCAGACCTTGGTTATTGGAGGTAGATGGCGGTAGGCGCTGGCCTTGCCTAGGCGAACCTTGCGAGTGACCGGTAGACCCCCCGAGGGCAACCGTTCGGCATCAGGAGGGTCATTAAGCCCCTCCTCTCCCATCAGATAAGCTGATTGAGCTCCGGGATATCGAATCGAGGGCGGCTATCTGACAGGAGAAGGGTTAATAACCTCCCAATAAGCGATGGGAGGAATCCATAGTGGGTCTCTCGACCCAAGACAGAACAAAAGCGCCGGGAAGTCTGAAGACCGTGGGGTCGGGGCCATCCAAAGGGACGACTACCTGAGGCAAAACCCCCGTCCTCATCCATGGCTTCCTCATCATGCTCCTCGAGGATAGAGCTCTCTGTCTCGAGAGATAACTCTGGTGACTCTGGCAGATGAATTTCGTCACTAGCCCCCGGACGGACGGAGACCGGACATCGCATCCAAAATCAGTGACTTTAGGTTTTAAAATGGACATTTTAGTGCTTATATGTACCCCAAGGAGGACTTCCTCTGAAAAAGAATAATCAGGCACTTTGTATTCTTTCAATAACTTGGTTTACAGATCCCCTCAAATGTAGAGTTGTTGGCTGAAAGAACAATAACAATGTAGAACATTCTAAAACACATAAATGTGATTTTTATTGTCAAAATTCGGTCGTCAGGTGAAATGATTATTTCACAGTGCAACTTATTAACACTTAGCGATAAGCAAACCCTGCAGAGAATGATGCCGTAATTCCACCCACCTCTGCTAACTCGAATCATCTTCCTTATCACTTGATCTAGCTGGTCTGAGTACGAGATGGAAGGCGAAGCAAAGTCACCAATGCGGATTTTGCGATTAAGTTCTGTCTGACTTGTGGCAGTGAATGGAGGGTAGAGAGCACACAACTCATACAGCATGCACCCCATTGCCCAAATGTCAGACTTCTCATTGTAAGACTTATATTGTTGACTAGTTCCTGCAAATGAAGAATTGAAAAAAAAGTTAATGACATTGAATTTTGACATTCAGCTGTATTGAACATTGTCTATTGAACACACAATGAACATTGTTAAAATAATTCTACGGGAGACATGTAATATGGAGTTCCAACATAGGTCTTAGCGAAACTTGTTTCATGATGCAGTACCGGGCTAGTCAAAGTCTCAAGTTTTACATTCTTGTCTGCATCCAGGAACACATTTGCAGGCTTGAGATCTCGATGAAGAACAGCTTTGCCATTTTTGATCTATGGCATTCTTGTATGGTTGAATAGAGAAAGTCGGCCGCCGACAGGGATATCAGGTAACAGGCAATGGATCCTGGTGGTCGGCACTTATCATCTGGCCTGCACACAACCATATGGCGTCGCGTGCCAGATGCAAGTGCACCTCCGTCAGCTGCCTCGCCAACATGGACGACGACGAATCATCATCCATGCCCCCCTGGTTAACAAGCTGTCTTTGCAGGCCGAAAGGTAGGCAGAGTGAACTATAACTTTCAGTTGCTGAACTGCATTGCAATATTGTTCTTCGAAGGGCCTTCGATATGCTGACTTCAGACCTTGGTTATTGGAGGTAGATGGCGGTAGGCGCCGGCCTTGCCTAGCTGAAGCTTGCGTGTGACCGGTAGACCCCCCGAGGGCAACCGAGGCATAGATGCACTCATTAAGCCCCTCCTCCCCCATCAGATAGGGCTGATTGAGCTCCGGGAGATCGAATCGAGAGCGGCTATCTGACAGGAGAGGGTTAATAACCTCCCCAATAAGCGATGGGAGAATCCATAGTTGGGTCTCTACGACCCAAGACAGAGCAAAAGCTTCGCCGGGAAGTCTGAAGACCATGGGGTCAGGGCCGTCCGTAGGGACGACTACCTGAGGCAAAACCCCCGTCCTCATCCATGGCTTCCTCATCACGCTCCTCGAGGATAGAGCTCTCCATCTCGAAAGATAACTCTGGTGACTCTGGCAGATGAATTTCGCCACTAGCCCGGACGGAGACCAGACATCGCATCCAAGATCAGTGACTTAATGGAGGTCATCTGCTGCTGCAAAATTGAAGACAGATCAGACATGGTTAATGGTGGAAGAGCTGATTGTTCAGAGTGAGTGAGTGAGTGAGTTGGTTTTATGCCGCTTTTAGCAATATTCCAGCAATATCATGGCGGGCAACACCATAAATGGGCTTCACACATTGTGCCCATGTGGGGATTCAAACCTGGGTCGTAAGCGTGACGAGCCGACGCTTTAATCAGTAGGATACCCCACCGCCCCTGATTGTGCAGAAGTTGAGGGGAATCATTATTAAAAACCACACACTGGACCATAGGAAATTGAACAATGACCAGCGATATGTGACGTCACGAACATGTACTGTGCGCGTCAGTTGAGTTATGGTCTGGAAACAAAATGATTACGGACGGACGGAGGGACGAAGCATTACATGCCGGGGGGATAAAAATCAACCTATAAATTCCATCTAGCACCCGTGTGTAGAAAAAGGAACCATACATACAGTAGTTGATTCTTTGTCACTCATTTTCTTGTAGATAGAAGGTCAACTTCCAATGAACAACATGGAACGACAGCATGAAAAGTGAGGTGCGAGGTTGACGGCTACAGTTACCTGCTCTTGGCTGTAGGGGGCCCTGAGGGACCATTTTATTAAAAAATATAGTTACAACTGTCGTAGGTTTTAAAATGGACATTTTAGTGCTTATATGTACCCCAAGGAGGATCTTCCTCTGAAAAAGAATAATTAGGCACTTTGTATTCTTTCAATAACTTGGTTTACAGATCCCCTCAAATGTAGAGTTGTTGGCTGAAAGAACAATAACAATGTAGAACATTCTAAAAAACATAAATGTGATTTATATTGTCAAAATTCGGTCGTCAGGTGAAAAGATTATTTCACAGTGCAACTTATTAACACTTAGCGATAAGCAAACCCTGCAGAGAATGATGCCGTAATTCCACCCACCTCAACTCGAATCATCTTCCTTATCACTTGATCTAGCTGGTCTGAGTACCGAGATGGAAGACGAGCAAAGTCACCAATGCGGATTTTGCGATTAAGTTCTGTCTGACTTGTGGCAGTGAATGGAGGGTAGAGAGCACACAACTCATACAGCATGCACCCCATTGCCCAGATGTCAGACTTCTCATTGTAGGACATATTGTTGACTAGTTCCTGGAAATGAAGAATTGAAAAAAAAGTTAATGACATTGAATTTTGACATTCAGCTGTATTGAACATTGTCCTATTGAACACACAATGAACATTGTTAAAATACCTACGGGAGACATGTAATATGGAGTTCCAACATAGGTCTTGGCGAAACTTGTTTCATGATGCAGTACCCGGGCTAGTCCAAAGTCTCCAAGTTTTACATTCTTGTCTGCATCCAGGAACACATTTGCAGGCTTGAGATCTCGATGAAGAACAGCTTTGCCATTTTTTCGTCTATGGCATTCTTGTAGCGCCAGAGTCATTTGTACAAGTATTTTCCATGCAAAGTTTTCGTCAACATGCAAACTGCAAACAGAAATAGCCCTCAGAGATAATTTTACTATCAAAACTTACAACACTAAAGAAAAACTAGATACCGTAAACTATGTTTCTAACGAACACAGTAATAATGAATTGACGGATATAACAACTAGTTTCTGTGTTTTTGTTTTTTTTGGTTCCGCCATTTGCATTATGTGTTAGTTGAAATGTGTACAGAGAACTATGGTTATATCAAACCAACATTAATGGCCCCATTGAGTTTGCTATAACCATAACTGACCGTAGGATATACATGACAAATGCTTGTTCACGTCAACCATACCCCACCCAACACACAATATTAACCATAGGGTAGTCAAAACAAGAGTAATAACATGTCAATGCATTTGTACATGGAAAACTTCTCCTTGCTTATTGGTTGAAGCTATATGATGTCAAGTTCTTCCATTGTTGTATTATCAAAATGATGTGAACAGCTGTCCAAACCATTCATGATGTCATAATTTGCTGACAATATGTTGCAAGAAAACTTGGTTAACTTCAGTGAAGTTTCTCTGTATGGCATAACATCTTTATCAAGGTCCTTTCCTAAAATGACATTGGGTATTATACATGATAAATTACTCAAAATTCTTGCTCTCTTCCTCTAGGCATACACCATTCATTTACTAGGGTTAGATAATGAATAATTATTGCACATCAAAACATCAGTAGCGATTCTTTCAAGGTCTGAGGCACAGTTAAATGGCAGTCGTTGATTGGTTGGTTGGTTGTTGTTTAACGCTGCAATATTCCAAAATGGCAGTCAGCAGAGGAAAGGGTGTGTCTTGTCATGATTACACAATGCCATTTGGAAAGTGGTCAGATGTAACACGTCATATTTGAGATTTTACTTTCCCAGTACATTTTTATGGTTGTGTCCCATCAAGGATTTGCCACCACTGCTCACAAAAACTTAGCTAAACCTGTAGAGGTTTCCAATTCTTTGAAGAGAAATGTCCTTGGGGTACATATATGCATTTTCTGCGGCTGAAAATGTCATGTGACAGTTGTATCAATGTTTTAATAAAAATATTGTCCGGCCCCCACCACGTGGAGTTACCTCCCTGCTACGCATGCACAGCCAACCAGGTAAGCACCTAGGCCCGTATCTTCATTCCTTCTGCTGAACAAATCAGTGAACAGAATTGCAGGGAGGTGGGTGGCCCTACCCCAAGGACGATTCTCTTCAAAGAATTGGAAACCTCTACAGGTTTAGCTAATTCTTTTTCATAGAGATCGTCCTTGGGGTACATATATGCATTAACTCAGACTCCCAAAGACTGGAGGCTAAGGAGGAGGGAATTCTGTCAAAGTACAAATAAATAGTGAGTGAGTTAATATTTAACGTCACATCGGCAATATTGCAGCCATATCGTGACGAACAAATAAATAGCGATCGTTAAGAAGAAAGTAACTGACGCCATAACACTCACCTGTCACGTGTCCTGAAACTTCAGCGAGAGGCATAATGGGAGGGTAACCGACAGGGAGGAACTTACTGAGACCCGACCTCACAAGTTAAGCAAAACAGTTTGCACACTGTGCAAAATTAAAACCCCACCCACATCATGAAATCTATAAAAGAGCACCGTTAGGGGGAAAACCAACTTACAACCAACTAGTATCTCATGAGAGAAATCAAAAGTAGTTAGATATGACAACAGCGGATATATCAATTATACACAATTGAAAACAGCTTCATCTGTCTAGATAACCAAGACTCACTCGGTCAGGGTGGCAGGACACTGTCCACTGGAGAGAACAGAATGGCCAAAACGCGCTCGATCACGGGAATGTGTATCAAGCTGATAGTGCCTTATAAAAGTGCTAGGCCTGCTCCAAATAACAGCAGAGCATATCTCTTCAATGGGCAGTGCCGATGCAAAAGCCTTTGAAGTGGCCACTGCCCTGACCGAGTGAGCCTTTAACCCCTCAGGGGGAGAATTGCCCTAAGCCTGATAAGCACTACAAATGACCGATACAAGCCATCGAGATAGGGTTTGCTACGGCATGCCAGCCTTCCAACGTAACGGGCAGAGTGATGGGTACCCATACGGATCCCTTGTGCTCGTTTGATATAGACCTTGAGGGTCTTACGGACATCCAACGGGTGAGTGTTCGTTGCAGAGGTCCCCGAAATGGAAGGCTGGGTAAGAGTAGGAAGTTCGATAGGAGCGTGGAAAGCGTGATCGATCTTCGGACAGTAAGTATCCGGGAGGCGAATACTGACACGATCTGGATGGAACACAGTCAGCGCCGGGTCTGCCAACATAGCATGTAAATCGCCAACCCTTCGCCCAGATGTTACCGCCACCAGAAATACGGCCTTCCATGTTAACAACTGAATGGAAATAGCCGATAGACGTGAGAAAGTAGGACCGGACACCCAATCTAGCACGATTGACAAATCCCAAGGTGGGCTGGTACGCCTGACAGCAGGTTGAACCCAATCCATGCCAGCCAAGAAGCTGCATAAGAGGGTGCTGCCCCAGAAGAGCACCATCGACAGGGGTGTGGAAAGTGGAAATAGCGGTGGAGTAGCCAAACTGCCAAACCTTCTTCCAAAGCGAGCTTGCAGAAACTCCAATACTTGGACTAAATCTGCAGAACAGGGTTCTGCAGTTCCCCTATCTGAACACCAGCGCGCATAGTGGGACCACCTATCCTCATATTGAACATTTGTTGAATGCCGCCTCTAAGCGAGAATTGTGTCTGCAGCTGCTGCAGGAATTCCGGGTGCTTCAAGGCTAGACCTGACAGAGGCCAAGACACCCACTGAATCCTTGGATTGGGGTGTGGCGCACCGTTCTGAGTGAGAATGTCAGGTCGCAAAGGTAATAGAACTCGCGCGGGGCCAGGATCCGGCGAGAGAGAGCGTCTGCTCGCACGTTCTCCAGCCCCGGGAGATAAACAGGAATCACCTGACAGTCACACTGGTCGCACCAGAGGAGAAATTCCCATGTCTCCCGAAGGAGCGCTAGGGACACCGCACCGCATTGCCGTATGGTTGTCCAACTGAAGACGAACCACCTGGCCCTGAACATGCTCCCGGAAGTGCTCGAAAACCAACCGCACAGCTTTCAGTTCTAAGACATTGATGTGAAGGCGGGCCTCGGCTTCGGACCAGAGTCCGGACACCGACAGACTGCTCAGAACACACCCCCAGCCCGTGAGGGACACATCGGTTTGAAATGTAAGAGATGGCGTTGGGATTTCGAAAGGGACCCACTTGGAGAGATTCCCAACATTGGTCCACCACTGAAGGTGAGGAGACAACCACTCGGGGACTGTGAGACACTTCTCCAGATCCTCCGAGTGAGCCAAAGCTTGCTGTATAGGGCACATCCTCAACCGTGCCCGCCACATGACAGAGATAGTTGCCGCCATATGACCCAGTAGACGGAGCCAAGTCCGCGCTGGTGCCTGGGCCTGGGAGAGGAATGAGGACACCATCTTCCGTACTCTGGTGACCTGGTCGGGAGACAAAGAGACAAGACCCTGTTGAGTTGTGAACCGCACCCGGGAAAACCAAGTCCTGGGTGGGTACCAGGTCGAATTTCTTGAGGTTGATGATCCACCCCAGGTGATCCATCTAGGCTCGCTGGCTGAGTTAGAGCGCTGAGCAACCAGTCGTCTAGGTAAGGGTAACAACGCCTACCTTGCGACCTTGCGAGGGTAGCTGGCACTAACATGAGCTTGGTGAACACCCTGGGGGCAGTGGATATGCCGAAGGGGAGCACCCTGAATTGGTAACACATCCCGTCGTAAGAGAACCGGAGGTACTGCTTGAACGAGGGATGAATTGGCACATGTAGATACGCATCCTCTAGGTCGATCGACGTAAGCCAATCGCCGGGCTGAACAGAGGAGATCACCGAGCGAAGTGTCTCCATCTTGAAGGATGGAACCTCTAACATGCGATTCAACCCCTTGAGGTTGAGAATGGGACGGAACCCGCCGTCTTTCTTCGGAACGAGGAAGTACGTGAAATAAAACCCCGCCTTCTCCTCGCCGGTAGTATGCGCTCTATTGCGGACTTGTCCAGCAAAGCCTGAACTTCGTCGCGCAGAATACCCGCCTTGACTGGACATGACGGCACCGGAGTGCGCCTTATGCCGTGAACTCTGGCAGGCCTCGCTTTCACAGTGGTAGATGGCCGACACTGACGGTGGATAGCACCCAAGTGTTGCGTGTAGCCTTCTCCCACTCCGGTAGGAATAGAGAGAGGCGGCCTCCCACTGGGACGTGTGGTAAGAGTGAGTGAGTAGTCCCCTGCAGATGAACTGGCGCCAGCTCCGAGAGAGGGACTGGGAGTGAACTCTCCCTCTCCAGGGGAGCCGAGGTGTCCGGACCCGAAGCCAAAGGCAAAGGATCGACAGCCGCCTCCAGGCCAAGGATCGAGCCGAGCTTGGCGATCCCACCCCCGGACCCCCCGGTGTTATAACGGACATATCAAAACCACTTGAAGATTGAGGTTGCGACTTATGCGAAGTAGACTTAGATTTAGTTTGCTTAGCCTTTTTGGCCTTGGACGGGGGAACCTCCTGGGTCAAGTCCCCTCCCGCCTCACACAATTCCTTGTAAAAAAGGAAGTCAGCCGCCCGTCTCTTCTGGGCCCGGGGAAAAGCCCATACACAATTCACAGATGTCAGGGTTATGCCCTGCTTTTTCCAGACAGCATAAGCATTTGTCATGCTTATCTTGGCGAGGGATATTTTGCCCGCAGGCAGCACACCCCGTAAATGCCTGAAAGCAAACACGAAAGCAAACACAACAGCATAAAGATACACGTACAAAACATTGAAAATTACGTGAATGCGACAACGCGACATGAAATACTTGGTTAATAACGCAATATTTCAACCACGTGGCAAGCTAAACTTCCCGCCATGGAATAGCAACACGTGCATAATCCACGGGAAAGCTAGCGTAAAAGTTAAATACAAAGTCGCGTAATTGAGAAATAACTGACTGCAAAGTCAATCAAACGTTTCTCAAGAACGAAAAAAGACCATACATACTGTAGTTGAAGTCTCAGACATTCTTCCGATAAGAAGTTAATCAGCTTGGTAACTCCATAAACATGTGTGAACGCTAGAGTGACAGCAGAAGGAATGATGAGAGGGCCTGGCAGCTTACCTAGTTGGCTATTAAAACATTGATACAAGGGAAGTAACTCCACTTGGAAAATGCATATAATAAATAAAAGAGATTTTTATTTATTGTACAATATTTTGATTAAAACATTGATACAACTGTCACATGACATTTTCAGCTGCAGAAAATGCATATATGTACCACGGCGGGGACACCAAAATGGGCAAGGACGATCTCTATGAAAAAGAATTGGAAGTCTGACAAGTGAATGGCATGCTGAAGTAAACAAATGCTGTATTTTATTTACTTTGTGTCTGCAACTGCAGGACATATATTAACATAAAAAGTCTACAAAACTGGTTCCCTATCACTGTGCAGCAGGTATTAGCAAACTGAAAGGATTACTGCAAAAAACAAAACAGGCAAACCTGAAAAAGAACATTCATAATTTTTATTCTGACATCCCAATTCACTGTGCTGAAGTTAGTTATAACTATATATACTTCTACCACCATTACAATTTTCAAATCAAACCGTAACTCACCCTTCCTTTCTGGATTTAGCAATGAGTGTGGCAAGATCCCCACCCTCACAGAACTCCATGATGATGTAGATGGTGGTGTTATTGCGGTCAATGATGCGGTCATAATAGCGGACAATGTGTTCATGTCGAAGTTCACGTAACAAGTTAACCTCTGATACAAGCATCTGTTTTTCTGATTCGGTCATGGAACCATAGTCCATCTCTTTCCACACAAGTACCTGAAATAGATTGGTGTCATAATAAACAACACTTCAGGCAAAAAGATACACAAAGTTTCTCCAATGAACCATTCAATGTTAGTATTTTATTCCGGCACAGAATTAAACCCAAACATCTATCAGCATGGATAGTTATAACATGTAGTAATACCTGCCAAATGTTTGCAATTCTACCTGCCCTTAGGACTCCTTTAACAGTGATCACAAACAGTTTTGTCTTCTGAATTCAAATTGTCGTTCATCATGGTTGGACATTAACATTGAATGAAATAGTGATAACATATGGCAATAATCCAAAAGATGGTTAAAATTCTACTTGCATTTGGGGTATCTATAATAAACACCAACAAAGCCTGTTCAAGCTTTCCAGGCTAATACTAATTTCAATCCCTGAAGACTGTGTAATATTCTCCTTGGTTATGTATCATGGTGTGAACAAAACATTGGCTCTTGAAAATTGTGAACAATGGGCAGGTTGTGTAAAACAATGTTTAACATCTCAAAAAGAACATGGAGGTTTGCAAAGGCAAAACAATTGTATCAACTGATAGGTTAAAGGTGATAAGTTTTAAGTGACAAAAAGACATGATACCTTTCCATCTTTTTTCCTCCTAATCTTCTTGCAAGTTCCATAGGAACCTATTCCTATTGTTGTGAGCACTTCAAAGTCATCAAGAGTTGAGGGCATCCTAGGACTGAAGGATAAAGAATGTTGGACTATCAGACAAAACTGACATTGGAAATTATAAACGTATGTTAAATGCAATGAGAACTGGTAAAATGTATGTGTGTTTGATACATCGCTCTCACAAAAAAACTTGTAACCTGATGATAAGCAACCACGACAAAACGATTATCACCTGTCATAGAAATGTCTATTAACAAGATTTATGAACAAAGGAGAAACTTAACATCCCTGTGAAAAAATGAAAATGATTGTAAATCTGCTGTCCATGTCATATACAGGATACACATGATAAAGATTATAACTCATCTGAAATTAATATTTCTTTACTATGTTTAACATAACATTAACATGATACAGTAGTTGGAATTTTTGAGTGACTGATTTATTTCAATATGTATAGAATATATTTAGGATGAAATGATAGCCATAGATAGACTGTTTCAGTTTTTAAATATGACTGCTGCATCATGAGCATCTCATACTGTTATCCCAAACATGCAAGCAAAAGGTTTACTTTCCTGAATTATCTGACTATGTACAAACAAAATAATGGTTAAATACAAACTGTTAACATTGTAGGGTTCTTGTCAGAAACTGATTCTATTTAATTGTCAATAATAACAATAAACATGGCATTCTGTATTATTCAACATAACTGTATCTGCTTACATAGCAATAAGAAGTTTTAACTGAATCCTAAAAGACCATAAAGAGTTACCAATTGTCAACAGTTGTATGCAAGATAGCTAAACCATCTGAATTTGAGTATCATCTAACTCTGAAGCAAGAATCAAGTGTGATGTGACAAATGACACAATATTGATCTGTTATAAATCACTCATACATTGTTAGTAATCTTTATTATGAATCAGATCACAATTAGCTACATGATTGAACACCAAAACTGATGGAGGTAGCTCACAGCTGCTGGGTTGATATTTAAGCCACTTACGTTTTTAACAAATTCATTGATTGTGCTGGTATATTTTTACTATGGGTCACATCAGCTACCAGCTGGTGACCAGATTTCTCTGCAGATTTACTAGCATGTTTACTTTCTTCTTTACCAGATACATAATGGCTGGAAGATGTGGCTTGTTCTTGCTTTACGGAATTGCCAGTATCCATTCTGAACTATTACGAAAGGACGTAAACAAATCTAGTCAAACCGAATACAACACAGGCACACCATGTTGTCATAAATTTGGGACAGCTATCGATACAAGGACACCCTCATATACCTGTCTCAACTTGCCGTGACTTTCGACCAATGGAGCTCCACAGTCATGCAGGTTATGATGTTGTGTCTCAACACGTTTCAGCAGAAGCGGGGCTACTTCATAATTTGACTATTTAGTATGAAGAAATCACATGTTATGATAAATCGATAAGTGTTCTATTGATTGCTACATCAAGGGAAAACTTGGTATACAGTGCATGGGCGTTGACAGCTTTGTTTTGATGGAGCTGCATCATATTTCATTTCATGGCTTCGAAACTGCCGCACTCATCTAACACGTTTCCTGATTGGCCGCTTGATTAAACGTATCGAAGTATTTTATTGGTTGAGAGACTAGAGGTCAAAGTTTATTTAAGGTCATGTGACTTAGTCAAAATGGCAGCGCACACATGATAACAACCCAAACAGAAATGTTTTATTTTGAAATTTACAAGAAAATCTGTAACCGTCTACTGTAGTAGACATGTGCGATCGAGTGCCATTCATTAGGAACTATGGCCTCCATATCACAATCCAGTCGATCACACCGTTCCTCCATAACCAGAGAGGGGGAGGAAACTATTGCTCTGATGTACAAGAGTTTCAGCAACAATTTACTTCTCGGACAGTGGGAGTTGGCAAGAGCATGTCTTTCACAACTTCGCAACGACTGTCATGAAATTGGCGTTGACATCAAGGATGTGTTACGCAAAGTAGCAGCATATCCATTTAATTCAAGGTACTTCTCGTCATTTCATGACACATTAATACTTAAAACGCATACTGACAGAGAAGAATATCATATTTCAAAGAAATATCGTTCCAAGCTGTCATTTTTAAAGGTATCAAATGAAATTTTGCACACGCTTTTAGTGCCCAGGTTGATAAGAGATAACTGTACATGTAAAGCGTGAACTTGTAATAAACTGTTCAATAACTTCATCTGTATTTCCCAAGACCTTCAGCACTGTATAGTCAAAGGTTCAGGGTCTCTTATACACAGGTCATGTAAATGGGTCTGTAGGACTTCCACTGTACCACATGTGTTTACTTGAAAAACTTATTTAAGAAAATATCATGCAGATTTGTGTATAAGTTGACTTCTTTAAAAGTTTGGGTTATTTTATAATTCTTCTGTCGTATTTAAACTATAAGGACTATAATTGCGGATTGATCATATGATTTCAATGAGTAGATAGTGACTGAGTGGTTAATTTCGGTCAAACATGTGACGTCTGCCAACTGACTAGAACCTAATTTTATTGAACATGTTTTCAGATTCATGTCGTTTGATAGAAAAATTGTGCCTGGAATGGACAGAGTGGCAATAAAGGATTCTCAGACACCAGTAAAACTATTGGCAAGATAGTATGGATAATCAAGTTCATTATTCAATTGATATGATGTTTGCACCATTAGAAAATACACTGAAATGCTTATTGGTTTGTATTAATATAGCAAGGTATATTTTATCTGCAGTTATGGCTCAGCATCCCTCAGCAGTCCTCATGAATTATCATGGCTGTGTCTTCTTGAATGCAGACAACTGGAAGACTGGAGCGAAAATAAGGTACATGAGCAGGTTCAGTTCCATGCTGTTTGGATTTTGTCAGTGATGTTTATCTAGATGATAGATTTTCATCTTGCCATTAAGTGATTGATTGTTTGCATAATTGTAATTTGTAGTGCAGTAATGCAATCCCAGTTTAGCATGTGTTAGACATACATGTGTCACATAGATCAATCAATGCTGGCCAATTCCACTAGATTACACACCATAACAATGCATTACTTTCCTAATTAAAATTGCTTAATGATGTTTATTAACATAAGTGTTTCAGTTGAATAAAATTCAAAAGTATGATTATTTAGCATGGTAAGTAGCATGTGATATGTCATTGTATATTGAGTAGAACTTTTAACTGCCATGAATGTGGATAATGATATCAATAAACATGCAGATAGAGTCTTCAGGGGTTGTCATTCTTAATTGAATTGATTGGATGATTCATACTGGATTGTTTTGTTTTATGTGAATCCTGATGAGTAACATTTCCATCACTAGTTGATTACTGTGGTTACAACTGATGCTGGATTGTGTTATTCTCTTTTCAGAATGAATCCTCCAGTTACTTGACCAAAGAGATAGAATTCAGATTGTTACTGACACAAACATGTCAAGATGTAGATTCAGAAGTCATTAAAGTAAGTCAGCTTTTAGCTCATTTGAGTAAGTTTCAATGAATAATAGTGCTAATTTAATTAGACACTTATTATAGGATGATTTCAAGATTTATTTATCCTGTTTTTGTAAGGAAATATTTGAGTGAAACTTGTGACAAATTCATATATCATTTGTATATAGTCTATCTCAAGTTATTTCTCTTTTTATCAATGTAAGGTAATCCTTGAGTTCAGTAAGTACATCTCTTTTCACATCACAAAATATATTTGGAACTCTGGTTCTTTCAAGGCTTATCTTTCATTTTCTCTATGATGTAATGAGTGAGTAAGTTGAGTTTTACTTCCTGACTATCATTCATAATGTGTTCACACTATTTTTATATTTTAATCCACTTTTTGTCAGATGTTTATGAAAATAAAAAGACTGAATGATTTGCTTACTGTCTCATTCATAACACATTTAATTTTTCTTATATGTATGCTACTCAAAATAATTTAATAAAGAACACTTGAAAAATCAGATGTCCTTAACTTGTTTTGAGTAATATATTTTAGTCTTGGAATGCCCTAGGTTTCTGAGCAAAGCTATTCAATTTCATGTGACAATTCTGTGATTACTGTTAATGTCAAATGTGAAATGTTATGTTGCAGGACTTGTATCTGTGGTTCAGGCACATCCACTCAACTCCACCCACCTCGTCACAGAGAGCATCTCCTCTGTCCAAGGTCACCCTGACCCACATTCAACATGTTCTCCTGACCTCACCATCACAGGGGTTTGCCCTCATCTCCTCCCTCACATGTCCACAAACCCATGAGAGGTCAGAACAAAAACGCCAAAAACAACGGAGTAATGAAGAGCGCAACAGCGAAAACCTCCAAGGTGTTTACATCACCTGTATCAACAAACTGCTTGACGACCTGTCTAAGTGTCCTAGCAAAGAAAGAACAAAATGTGAACAGATTTGTGACCAGGTGTATATACTGTTGTCATTTTACGACCCGGTACCATTTTGGAACTACTCTCAGCTGCAGCAGTTGTTCACACGGTTGCTGCAGCTGTGTCAACAGCATGACCGCAGCATCAAGAAGGACAAGATACTCTCTGTGTTGCTGGGCAGGGACTGTCCATATCTGGTGGAGACATTTTGCAAGTTGGACCATGAGCTGAGTTTAGCATCAAAACTAAAGCACAGTGGAACTGACCTGACAGAAAGTGAAAGGGATGTGATTCACTTGTTTCGAGGTCTTGATAGTGAAGATTGTTGGAGGAACCTCTTTTTGCTCTCCACTCAGAGACAGAGGCATTTCCTGCAGATGGTGTTGGTCAGTATCTTATTATGTCAAACTTTCATTGTCATTCATAATCTCCACCTTTAGCATACATACTGTATTTGTTTACAAAATCACAACTAGTTATGCCTGTCAAAACCGTCAACTGTATGTTGATGAAGTATGTAAATGTTTTTTTTGATAGTATTTTCTGTTTTATTGACTTTACGAGTTGGAATGTGGGAGTGAATGTAATGTAACTGGAGTACTGGTGTTCAACACAACTCTCTTATACTCGCTGACTGACTCACTCTGTAGAGACTATTCAAACTATTAACAATACAAACCCACAGAACTGCAGTGCGATACATATCCCTTGCTTCTGTTTCAGGAAACTTCACTCAGTTTGATACGATGTGAACAATTTGAAGAACTGAAGGACTTACTGAGACCGACAGAGTTGCAGCCCCTTAAACCAGTAGTCTTGTTGCTTGGTTGGTCCCTGTGTACTACTTCAACTGTTGCCAGGAAGCTGTTGGATGTTCTTTGGGATGAAAAGGTATTTACTCTAAAACAATGTTTGCTATATTGGTGTGTTTACCTGGTTATAACACCAATAAAAGTTTAGTACCATCGTGGCTATTGACAAATTGAACTGCATCAATTTTGTACACATGTATTAGGGGGATCAGCAATTTTGTACATAAAGATATTAAGAAGTATGATTAAAATTTAGGGGAAGGAGGGGTGGGGGTAATGGAATTTGTACATGACAGGCGGGTGTGGGGTCTGGGTGTGGGTCATTCACATTGTACATGCTTCTCCATAAAAATCATCATTTTTTCATTTTTGTTTCGCAAAATTCATTTGCTTAAGATTGTTTGAATTTTTGTGGAATTCTGATTGTTGTTATGATATGTTGTAAAACTGTATCAACTTAATGTCTGTATTCCAGACGCCATGTCGGCATCCTGCTCTGGCTGCTGGTTGCCGCAAGTTGGCATATCAGATTGACCTTATTCAGTGGTGCCTTGATAGAACCAAGTAGGTGCCACTGTTAACCATTCTATGCACACTGTTGTGTGTGTTTCAGTGAGTGAGTATGGTTATATGCCGCTTTTAGCAATATTCCAGCAATATTACAGCAGAGGACGCCAGAAATGGGCTTCACACATTGTACCCACGTGGGGAATCGAACCCGGGTCTTCGAACATGATAAACGAACCCCTTACCCCTTGGCTACCCAACCAACCCGCGTTTGTTTCAAGTTGATCATGTTCAGGGATTAACATGCATTTTTCCTAATCTTGACTCATGCTACATTGCTTATCTCCCTTCTCCTTTCGACGGTTATGTGGAAACTTGAATCCCTAGTTCCCTGAAGAGAACGTAAAATCACTTACCCACGGGTTGCCTCCCTTTTCCCGCCAAATCAGTCCCATGTTATTTGAGCCATGCTCCTATCACTCTCTCCTTCATTGCCCAAGCGGACGGTCGGGAGGTTTCCTGGGTCCTGTTTGCGGCATATATCCTTTATTTCTTTTTCAGAAGAAGTCCTCCTTGGGGTACATATAATCATTAAAATGTCCATTATAAAACCTACGACAGTTGTAACAATATTTTAATAAAAATATTTACAAAACAAAAAACTACGTTTTTGTCTTGTGAGACCACCCCTACAGGGCCCCTGAGGGCCCCCTACAGGCAAGAGCATGTAACTCTAGCCGTCTACCTCGCACCTCACTTTTCATGCTGTCGTTCACCAGTGAAAGACGTGTGTGTGTTCATTCGAAGTTACAAACTTCGACCTACAATTATGTCAGAGAAAGAGTCAGCAACTGTATGGTATGGTTCTTTTTCTTCCGCACGGGTGGTAGATGGAATGTTTAGGTTGATTTTTTCATTCATAATTTGTTGTAACTTTGCCGGTCGGGTTCCCATTTCGGGCCATGTGGCAGGCAAGATGGCGGACCGCACAGCATGCATTCGTCCTTTGTTTGTGTGGCTAGCATTGCTTTCCTCAAGCTAGGATGTCTGTATATAATATGTTTATCATATCATAGGCTTGCCTTATCTTTTTCGCTGTCAGTGTTTTAATGGTAAGTCTAGGTTGGTAATTTAGCATGTACGTTGTATCTGCTGTATATTACACCGCTATATGTAAACACAGATTAGCTTGCGGTTTTTCCACTTGTTCATGTAGACATGTTGAGCTGGTTAAAATTGCTTTGGCTTTTTGGCAAATTTTATCGCCTGTGCATTTTCTTTTGCTGATTGCTTGTGTATATATTTGTATATTTGTTGCTGGACAACAGTTACCATTAGCCTGGTTCTGTTTGTTACTTTGAACTATTAAGAGTCGCCACGCTGATTTCTTGTTCTACACCAATTTCCTGCAGGTGAGGGGGGACATTTCTGCTAAGGACCCTCCCTCCAATAAACCAAAGAAGAAGAGTTCTTCTTCAGTGAGTGGTAGAGGCTAGGGGTAAGCGGGCCAAGGCGGCGGAAAACCCCCTTCTTCCCCTACCCCCTCTACTTCTGTACAATCATCTAAAAAATCTGCACCTATTACGTTGTCTGATTTGTCCTCTATCTTACAGCAACAGATGATGTCAGTTCGGTCACTTATCTCGGACGCGATGTCCGGTCTCTGGCAGGAGATCGGTGTCCTTCTGGGGATTAGTGGCAGTCCGGGGTCATCTGTCGGAGGCACCGCTTCCTCCCAGCAGCCTTTTCAGAGGAAAGGGAAGTTGGCCCCGGCTTCCCAGTAAGCTTTCCTCTAAAGCCCTTAGTGGTCCCAGCACAAGCAGTTGTTACACTGCTGACCGCCGGGATTCACTGCCTATTACCCGATATCCCTGTTGGTGGCCGACTTACTCTGTTCCTTTGGAAGTGGGTGAAAGTCGCTTCAAATCCCTGGGTCCTGTCCACACTCAGGGATGGCCAGTTGCCACAGTGAAAGTGAGGCCCTCCTCCTTTCTCCGGGATTCGTTGCACACCGGTGCCGAACTCTCAGGAGAAGGCAGATATACTCCATGCTGGGGCCAGTCGTTGCTGGACAAGGCAGCCATCGAGGTGGTTCCAATGGGCCAGGGAAATCAGGGGTTTTACTCCACATATTTCCTGGTTACCAAAAAGGACGGAGGGTTCAGACCCATTCTCAATCTCAGGGGTCTGAACGACATGATAAAGGTGCCGTCTTTCACCTCTATCAGTCGGGATTCCACACGAACAGTGATGGATACTCTCACCAAGTTGGGTTGGATTATCAACCTCAAGAAGTCAGAAGTGGTTCCGACACAGGATCTGGTTTTCTTGGGGGCGAGATTCAAGATGCAGCAAGGCATAGTCTCTCTGTCTCGAGACCACATATCCAAAGTCCAGAGGGTTGTTTTACAATTCCTCCAGTCCCCCAGGGCCTCAGCTCGGACATGGCTCCAGTTGCTAGGCAACATGGCGGTGACAGTGGACATAGTTTGGCGTGAGCGTATGAGGATGCGACCTGTTCAGCAAGTGCTGACGCAGCTGTGGTCTCACTCGGAGAGCTACGACAAGGTTCTAGTAACTCCGGAGTGGCTCATTCCTCACTTGAGGTGGTGGACCGACACCAGGAAACTATCCAGGGTTATCCCACTGGAGACCCCGGTGCCTGCCTCACAGGTTGGGGGAGGGGTGTGTGTTCTGGGAGACCTCACAGTTTCCAGGCCTTTGGTCCGAGAACGAGGCAACCCTGCACATCAATTGAGAGCAGTCCGTATTCAAACGCTTCCGGGAGAAGGTTCAGAGCCGTGTGGTTCGTCTAGAAATGGACAATCAATATAACCAATGACCTACATCCTGAAGCAAGGCGGTACGGTGTCCCCGTCGCTCCTTCAGGAGGCGTGGCAGTTTCTACTTTGGTGCGATCAGTTCAACATTCGGGTCATGCCTGTTTATCTCCTGGGGGTAGACAACGTTCGTTCTCACGTCGTATTCTAGCCCCCCATGAGTGGTTACTCGACCGGGAGATTTCGGGATTATCTCCCAGTTGTTCAGGTCATTCCAGGTGAGTCTGTTTGCCTCTGGGGTGACGAACCAGTTTTGCTCTCAGATCCCGGAGCGATCGCCTCCAATGCCTTCCCGCTCGATTGGATAGACAGGGTTCTGTGGGCCTTCCCACGATACCCCTGTTCTCCAGGGTCATCTCGCAGCTAGCCACCCAGCCAGCGTGAGTACTTGTGCTTCTTGCACCTCTGTGGTCGTCTCAGCGCTGGTTTCTGGTAATACTCGGGTCACTAGTTCAGCCTCCTGTACTATTACCCATGTGGCCGGACCTACTATCCCAGAACGGCGAGTGTACTTGTGTACTTTTCTATTTCTGTGTGGTTGTAATTGTTACTTTGAATGGATGGTTGTGTCACACAGAATACCACACCCGCCTCAAATATCTTTGGGAGTCTGTCTTATGCTTATATGTACCCCAAGGAGGACTTCTTCTGTAAAAGAATTATACAACCTGTAGAGGTTATGAATTCTTTGAAGAAAGTCCTCCTTGGGGTACGGCCACCTGCCTCCCCTCGCTCTGTCTAATTCATTCAGCCCTGAAGATTGTAAGGGTGGTCTCACAAGACAAAAACATAGGTTTTTGTATATATATTATATATTATCATAATGATGTAATTATTCATGGAATTTACGGCTAATTTTTGAGATTTTTCACATTGTTTGCTACTTGGTAGTATGTAAACAATGCAGGCTACGCATTTCAGTGGCAGATCCACACCCTGTGACGGGGAAGTTCAAGAGTCGCTTCATTCCGCTATCACCCGCCATGACTATTGAAGCCTCCCGAACTACGATATCATTTTGGATCAGAGCTGTCATCCTACGAGCCTACAAAGCAGCAGGGCTGGATCCGCCAAGATCCTCCCACCCTCACGAAGTTAGAGCCTTAGCCTCGACACTCGCTCTACATGGGAATTGCTCATTATCATCCATCATGGAAGGCTGTTTTTGGAAGTCGGACACAGTATTCGCCAACCATTATCTTCGCGACATCGCGACAGAAGAAGTATCCAGTATCCACCAGTTGTGGCCTCTTGTAGTAGCACAACAACTCACGCTACCAGCCAGATGATAAGAAACTCACCTTTATCACATTGACTTGTTGATGCCAGGCCAGCAGAGAGTCCATGTTCCACTGTCTTATTACATAAGTCCGCGCATGAGTGATCTAAGACTCAGTTTTGGTAATAGTCCTTACCAACACATAATGGTCGTTCCAGATAACTATACATCGAGGCGTACTAGTTTATCTAAATCCACGAAATCTATAGATTTACTTCTTTTATTAACTTAAGAGAAGGTGGTCCCCAGAATTTTGGACGCAGGAAGAAGCCGCAAGAAGGGGGTATATGATCAGAGAATGCTATATTGATTGATCAGTCACAGTGAATCCTGTTAGGTGGCTGACCCACCACCTATTCTGTCAGATTCTGTAAGCAATATAGCATGAGTCAGGATAAGGAAAAATATGTAATTTTCTGATAAAATTGATATTTTATACTTAACCTGACTCATGATTTGAAGGGCCGTCCCTTCTAATCACTGCAGGCTTCACTGTAGGCCTTAGTGTTTGGCTAATTCAGGAGAAAGTGATAAGAGCATGGCTCAGGTCATGTGGGACCGATTTGGTGGGAAAGGGGAGGCAACCTATTGGTGAGTGATTTTACGTTCTCTTCAGGGAACTAGGGATTCAAGTTTCCACATAACCGTCGAAAGGAGAAGGGAGATAAGCAAAATAGCATGAGTCAGGATAAGTATAAAATATCAATTTTATCAGAAAAATTACAAGTCTATAGAGAGCTGAACAATATTTGACATTAGCTGGTGACTTCAGTGCAAATGTACTCAATTACAGATAGTTGTCACATACTGTAAACGTTTTATATATTTCGCGAGGTTTTATTTTTGCGCTTTTCGCGCAAAACGTTTTAGTAGCAAGAAAAACGTTTTATATTATATACCATCTTTAATAAACCTGTCATTCATTCAGTCTAGCCATTTCGCCCTGAGTTGTTACCATAACACATCAAGTTTGAAGACAGAAATCTACGGGAATCTTAAAATGACGACTGATAGTAGCATAAAGAATCATACTTAACTGTCGCTGTAATGTATTTCCCAAAACATAATTAAATAATGAGCTAAATCCCATCGCCGAATTAGCGAAAACAGCAATGTGTATTGTGGCCGCCATGGAAATTGGTCACATGACAGATGGTTTGATACAAAACAGATTACCATGAAACGACTCGGAAAGAAATAATACAACAGTATTTTATTTATTCATTAAGATTTTATTTACCAGTACATCATGAAGCTTAATAGTCACTTAACACTCAATCATCTCATTCACAACAACCCGGCTTGTTTGAAATCACAAAGAGCTTCATATACAGTAGAAGTTAATTCGTCAGATCGTCAGAATTCGGAACATAAGACTGATGTGTTTTTAATCTCTTCCGTGAGTAAACGGATTACTGTGTACTAGTATATCGCACAGATAGGGATTTCCTGTGAGTATGCAATAAACGCCGCCTGACAGGTTAAGCCACTCTGTTTGTTTTCACTGCTATTAGTGGCGGCCAAAGAGACAGCTGGCAGTTCCGGCAATTACTGATTGCGCGAATAATTGACCGCGCGATGTAGTCTAAACTGTCAATTCCGCGAAAATTGCACCACGCGAAAATAAGTACGTTTACAGTAGCTAGAACATTTCTGAATGTGGCATTAAACAACAAACAACCCCCAATCCCTACCCAAACCATGAAATTACACTTTCGACCTATGTATAAGCTACATGTGTTGACAGACCTCTTCTGGAGTCAAGTGGCGTCGGTGTGACTAACCAAGAGCGAGCGACCCATCTTCTACAGGGCCTGGAGGCTCACTCAGTGTTGTTTGTCCTGCACCAGTCCACAACGCTTGCCTCCCTTGACCAGCAGGAGGTGCTCCAGCTATTGCAGAACACAGCAAAAAGGCAGGACCCAGGTCAGTCAGGGCTGGAGATACCCTATAACCTGGCAACTTGCATCTGGGGGGAAATCAACTTCTTTTGATTTCTCTGAGATTTTATGTATTTATGTATAAGATGGGATCAAAATGAAACCTTTTCTCCTGATTCATCTTATCGGGCTCTAGAGTGGGCAAAGACAATGATAAAAGTTGAATCTATGGAGACACCATGATGATGAATTGTGTTGAAAAAATTTGATGTACCATCCGTATTGACTGAAAGTTCTCCCTTGTCTATTGTAGATTTTAAATAACTCTTAAATGTGATACCTGTAAAGATTTAGGTTAGAATTGGCCTTCAGTAGCCCATGCTGGTCTTTAGAGGTGACTAACGGGATCGGGTAGTCAGACCTATTGACTTGGATGACACTTTTCATTGTATCATCATGATGTTGATCACTGGATTGTCTGATCAAGACTCAATTATTTACAGACCGCCGCCATATAGCTGGAATATTGCTGAGTGGCATTAAAACAACAAACAAAACATGCAGTAAATGTGATTACGTTGCCATGGTTGCATCGAAAGACTTTTGAGGTGTGCTTCCTCACACTCTTGATGATCTCAATCATACACTTTGTACCACCTATCTTGAATCTGTGACAATGACTACAGTAACCTTCTATGTTCTTCAGAGTCCAGTAAGAAGCAGAAAAGTGTACGTTTCAACATTGCTGGACATGACCAGAGTGGAGAGAGTGAAGCAGACGATGGAGCAGACATCAGTATTGAGCAGCAGCAAGATCTCTCTATTTATCGCAGTTTTTGTGCTATCAGAAACATAATGGATGCCATTGCCTTCTGTTCTGAAAATGCAGATCTTGAATTAATGAATCCTATCTGTGTGAGGAAAGCTCCTCGACCCCGGAGTCTGTCGAAATCCTTCACATGTGAAGTAAGTGTCAGCAGCAGTGAGGGCGAAGACAGCAGCAGCCAGTACACCCAAAACATCAGCCGATCTGTCTCGGGAAACTTCATCAGGTGTACATCTGGGAATTACAGCCAATCCACAGTAGGGAACAGCGGTCAGGTTATTGACAAGGACAGCTTTCAGGATCTGTATGATCAGTCAGTGACTCAGAAACTGATGGACACGCAGAACCATCTAAAGAAGCTACATCCACTAACATACAGGGTTGAAGTGCTGGAGGATATATTTTCTTTACTGTTTGCCACACATCGGGATGTCCAAGAATCTTCCAACACAACCGACTTTGATAGTGATGAAGGACATGAGGATGGGAGCAAGAGGAACAGCCAGGAGAATATGTCCCTCAACACTTCACTCATTTCAGAGGAGGATACATCACCTCTGGCCCAGAAGACTGATTTCTACTCGAGCCAGCCACCTTCACTCAGTAGTCAAAGTGTCCCTGCGAGGGGATCAGGTTATGATGAACCATTCCGGGAAGATCCCCCTGCACAGGTATCTCAATCTGTCCACAAGAAAGTACGAGTTCCTCAGGATCAGTTGGCTGAGGAGGTCAGGAAGTCGGCGTCTGCTCTACTGAACTCAGACAACACCAAGAAGATGAATAACTCGGCTGGAAATAGAGCTCATGTGGCTGGACAGGGAATAGATAAATGTGCTGTGTTTAAGCTGGGATTTCTAGCAAATGAGTACCTTGTACGCGATCTTCTTGCAATGCTGAAGGAGTCCCTTCTTGATATCAATGCAGTTAGGTATAAACTGACTGGACAGAAGTCAGATTTGGGTAAAAAGTCAGAACTGAAGGCAAGCACAGACACACTGCATGTTACTCATGCTATGGAGGAGGCTCTGACACAGGTTGTCAAGTCAAGTGTTGTTCCAGAAACATTACAGAAGAGGCTGACCAGACTCACTCAGTATATACATGAGGCTCAGTGGCGCTTCCAGCTGGTGTCACATGACCAGTTGCCAAAGCAACCAGGTCAGGTTCTTCAGAGACCAGTGTTTGTTCCTGGAGATGATAACTTTGATGTATATAGGTCAGATGGATGGCTGAAGGGAAGATCCAGAAGTCCAAACAAGGACAGGAGATCAGGTACTGGCACTGAGACAGATGTTCTCATGATGAGGGTTTGCACAGGTCAGAGAAAGTGAGGATATTCAAGATCAAATACTTATTCAGCACTTTGAAAACAGTCGGAAAATGGATTATTTGCGAAAGTCAGGGAGTTTAGGGCTTTACATATATGAATGTTTGTATTAACTCCAGTATATGCGTTACTTTGTGTCTTCTGATTTGCAAATATTGACATCTGTGGATCAAGAAAATGGATACTGATCAGGGGTGGAAATAACTTTAAAATTGCTAGTGTACTCCGGTACAGTGGCACATGTAAAATCACTTGCCCTGATAATTTTTCCGCTATAACGGCCCATTTTCTTGGTGATTTTTTAAATAAACAACATAACTAACATTGGAATTTCAACTGGACACCGGTACAGCGTGATATATAGAGAATCTCACCTGCTGATTGAAAGTGTCTCTTTGGCAATATTTAGAGGCTCACAATATTTGGCAATCTTTGGATGGCATATCAAACAACTTTTAGTCTGTTCTCTGCAACTAATACATTATCAGCATTCAGCAGAATCTGAATTAAGTGATCTGATCAATTTTGTACTTTCAAAAAGGTATCATAAGTGACAAAATGCATTTCTTTTGAAGCATCCCCATCCCCATCGCTGAATGGAGAGAATGACCCATGTGATATTGAAGTCCGTCGTAGGCGAACCTCCGGTGTGTCTAGGACTAGTTTTAGCACTCAGAGTGGGCTGGTGCAAGCAAGTCTGGAGATAATTCCACTGATGCTGTCAACTCCAGACACCCTCCTGACGATGAGTTTATCAAAGGGAAACTTTGCACAGGCAGCCCAAGTCATCAAGGTGAATTTTTTAAATGTTTGTCTACGATGGAAACAATGAATCTTATCTGTTGTTTGAAGAACAGACAAATAGACTAAAGTATGTAATAGATATGTCTACCAGACAACTGGGAGAAGGTGTCACTAGGGATTGTAACCAGTCCGAATTTGACCGGATGAAGTGGATGCCATGCACAAAGGTTGTGCAAAAGATAGCTTGGTTTATTTAATGTTAAAATGTGCAGCTAGAGTAAATGTATATTTGGGTTATATTGGCTCAGGATTTTGTTCAGGTAACAGAGCAGGATAATGTTCTAATCTTCCTATATATACTGAAGGAACCAATTAAGGGAACACCACTTCATGGCAGTGTTCCTTTATTTATTCTCAGATTTCCTCCCACAGCACTATTCAAAGCTGGTGATGAATACTGGAAAATATTAAAGGAACGCTTGAATTTTCCTGTGTATCTTCTTTAGTTTCTCTCAGTACATTATGAACACTAATGATGTAAACATGACATAGAACCAAGTTTTGTTTCGCCTCATGTTACACATATTTTCTCTTTCATGAAACTTGCCACCAATGCATAATATAGTTTAAAAAAGTCATGGCTATGAATAATGTAATGTCTACTGATTCGATTTACGAAAAAAGTGCTTTCTTATGCAAACATTCTTTCACTTTGTTGCATTCAGTTAAAACAGAGGAAGGTTAGAGTGATATGGAACTTCTGATCTTTTAGTATCTCCTGAGGTCATAGCAGAATTGATGCCTCTCTAATTCCAGTTGTTCAAGCTTGAGAAGTCAGAAGCAGCAGAAGAGGTGTCATTTTCAGAGGCATATCACAAAGCTGCTAACAAAGTGGCAACCCTAGAGAGTTCAACAAGGGAGAGATCTGGTGCTTCATCTAACCTAGGTAGACCAAGCATGAAGGCCTTGGCTAAAGTGGCAGCTGCTGGAGTTGCATCAGCCTCGCTTTCAAATGTGACAGATGAGCTGTTGTCCAGCCTAATCATCCCAAGTTTGCCAAAGCCAAAGGCAACCTCAAACATGCCAAATGACATTATGAGATTATTCACTGAACTCGATGTCAGTACAGCAATACTTCTAGACCTTGTGTGTACCTCATGTAGGACATGGGACTTGTGCAATAAACTCTTTGATATTATCAAGACTAAAGTAACCATTGAAAATGAGGTGAGTGAAGACATTGGATGGCGGAACAGTACTGGTGTAAGTACCTCCAGTAGAAAGTCAAAGAGTGATGTAGGACTGAAAGGGGCATTAACATTCCTTAAACAGATGGAGAGATTGGTGCATGGTTTTGCAGATGATGCTAGTATTGGTAAAATATTCACGTCTGCTGGGCCAATGACATCAAAGCCAAGCATCGAGAGGCAGATGAGAACTGGAACATGTCCCCTTGTGGCAGAAAAAGTGAACACTTTTGTTAGTGCAGTTGAGGAAGTTAGACGATGGGTTGACAAAATTAACAGGGCCTTCGAAAATGTTGGCAGTGTGAATAGACGTGATAGTTTGCAGCTGCCTGAAACCTCACCCCCGGTGTCTCCAGTAGACTCATCACCCAAATTCAGGGACTCATCACCAAAGGTCAAGGATGCACCAAAGTCATCTCCAATCCACAGTGCCTACAAGCATTTTTGTGGAGCACTGGAAAGATGTGCCCCAAAAGGAGGTCTGGTGTACCTCCTCAAACGGTAAGATCTATTTCTATTGATATGTCAAAGATACAAGATCTCATTGTGTGGGTGGAGAACATCTTAAACTGCATCACTTTAGGTTTTCTTGCTATAATAAGCTGAAACGCTGATATACAGTGGAAGCTGTCTAAACCGGCACTCATCGTGACTGAAGTAATAACCCGGTTTAGACAGCGTGCTGGATTGTAGAGCTGACACGGTTACCTATGACAAGAACTGCGCTCATATTCTCTTTTATTCACTTAATAGCATAAACATGATAAATCAGCACATTTGAAAAAAAACAGACATTGTGGATTGTTTCTTCTCAATTGACGATTCGAGGGTGATTTGCTCAGCGACACTTTCTAAGTTCTCAATGTGGGACAGCAGGTGCTAGACAAAGCGAAGTGCTTCATTTCTTGTGCATATTTTGAGGAAGTCTCTCATTGTCCTGGAGTACAAGTATGCCCATACTGAACTAAAATTAAATAAATGTTTCCGGAAACCATGTAGTTACCTAACGTGTGATGGCTGCCACATGCTCATAATCCCTTGTTATTTCAACGCAGGATTAGTTGGTGACAATACACAACCGACTTACTCCCTCGCCACACGTCGGAATAGACGGCGGTGATTACTGTTTAAACACATATTCAGGCGGCTCATTTCATGCCCAGATCTGGAAATGACAGCTGCCAGATTGCAGAGCTTTTAAATGTTCATAAATGTACCTGCCACGGACGGGACAGAGATTTTATGCGGTGTTAACAAATTGCCAGATTGGACAGCTGCCTGTTTTGACAGCTTCCACTGTAACTGAATACTGTTCAAAGCAATCTTGAAACACAAATAGCTCAGGTGAACTGTGAGCAGCAATTTGGACCAAGAGATGGAAACTATCAGTTTGACTCGCATTTGAATCGGCTTGCTTTTTCCATGTTAAAATATGAGTGTTTTGATTGTCAAAGAATGAAAATCACCTTTTGAAATGGGGTCTGGTATTGAATGGATGACTGCATTCCTGGCATCTGACAAACAAACTTCCACAAAGCGACTGTTGCACATTGACTATTAAAACAGTTTTCCTCAAAGCAATAGAAGTGCTACGTCTGTTGTAAGTCTTATGTATGGGAATTGTGATCATCTTCGCTCCATGATTGCTATATGGAACAGGCCCTGGTACTTCAATGGAATACTTCGCAGACCTCTGATCTGTCTTTATTGTGGCTATGGAAGGGAACCTCATCCATTTTGGCTCCCTGTTTAATACAGTGTAGTTATTGGCTGTTTCCCCTTCCAGATATGGTGTGGAGTCGTCTCATGACAAAAGCTACCTTCATAGTCTGTACGAACATGTTCGGGAACTTGCAATACTTGTTGCAGAATGTGACGGCAGAACCAAAGGTGAGCATTGACAGTCAGTTTACTTCACTGATAAATGTTTTGAATCAATTTTGAATGTTAATATATAAAATGATGTGTATATATTATTCATTGTACAGGTGAGGTCACATGTGACCCAGTTATTTAATTTGTTGTGCAGAGTTGTGTCCCCTTGGTATGATGACTTTTAATCCCTGATTAGTCCTGATTATGATTGTGTGGTTGGCAACATGATCCATCTGCCAGTAGGATTCACTGTTCAACAACACATAAAATCTTCGGTCTTTCTTTCGACATCCATCCCGTAAACATTACAGGTTAGATCTGGTGTCCAGCCCATGCTTGTCATAAAAGGACGTCAAATGGGATTGGGTAGTCAGGCTCACTGATTTGTTTTGATGCATGTGTCATCAATCCCACTTGTGTTACTTCTGGTTGTAGAGCAGAAACATATCTTCCATTTTACAGAGACTGTGATCATACCCCAGAACTACTTCGAGATGTTGCAGGAAGGACCGGTCACCATCTTGGGAAGACTTATGTTTGCCAAACGAATGATTCCATCCAGGTAACATTTACCTTACAGTAGATTTTGTGTTTGAATTCTGTGTATGTGTGTGTAATTACTGATATTGCACTCTTGATTTACTTGTATTGTTAAAGGTTTGTGAGTACATTTTGCTGTGATATTGAGATGAAATACATTTTGTTTTCAATGACATATTCTGGTATATGGCACAAGTGCTTTTCTTTTCCAGATTGGAAAGTGTGGCACAAAAGTTGAGTCTCAACCTAACACACATCATAGTCCACAGCTGCTGCCCCCGAATCCCCAGCAAACACCTGCCACCATTGCTTGCCTTGCAACTGAATCAAGGTGAAGGTCATACCATCTTAGTTACCCACAATTCCATGTTGTTGTTTTTAGTCATAATGCAATTGATACTTTTAATTGGGTTTTCTTGTTGTACAGTAAGATGTATGATAGGTATGCACTACATATTTTCAGATTATGAAGTATTTGGACCAAGAATCATTTACAACTCTGGTCAGCCTCCACCATCATCTCCACCACATCCTGAAGAGATTGTACGCCATCTCTTGGATAAACTCGTGACTTTAATGAAAGGTGAAACACTTAGTGTAAATTTCAAGATGAAATTTATGTCTTTACAAAGAAAGGAAACTGATTCCAGTCTTTTTTTTTCATTGTATGACACAGCAGTGTGGATTGCAGTGTCAATTACAATGGTTAAAAATGCCCATCTGACCTGAGAATTGTGTTTGTAAACTTGTATGTTATATATTTATGTTGACATTTACTCCTGTACTATCTAACATTATGTTATTTGCATGACGTGTCTGTGGATTGAAATTGAATAAACATAACACCATTCTTTGGATAGGCCCTGTGGGAGCACATTACATTAATTCTAATTGTGGTTCCCAAACCATGGTGCACACAGCCATGGTAAACATGTTCACATTTACCTGGGTTCGTGAATCCTTCATTAGTAGCTTCAGGTGTTGTTGAAACCATCTGTAGGACTTCCCCTAAGGATTTTGGGGCAATGGAGTAGCCTTGTGGTTAAAGCATTCACTCCTCATGAGGAGTCCCAAGTTTGATTCCTTGCATTGGTACAATTTGTAAAGACCATTTCTAATGTCCCCCATTGTGATATTGCTGCCGTATTGCCATATTGGCATAAAACTCATTCACTCACTAAAAACGTTTCCTTCCTCTTTGAAGATACTGCTGCCAAGTCGAATGCACAGGGTATATTTGACACATCATGTGCCAAGCTTGCCATAAAATCAGAAGAGTACAGAGACTTGTTGACCTCTACCAGTGAGCTACAGGAGGTCGACCTCTCGCTGCTTCACACCAGACAGATGTCATTATGCTTCTATGCCAATCTCCAGAACCTCATGACCATACACCTGTTCCTGCACCAGATCTGGCAGAGGACTCTCAATCAGGTATGTTAGCTTCTGGTCACAAATAGCCTGTGTCTCTGCATCATAGGAGTGGAGCACGGTGGTGTAGTGGTTGGCATGCTGGCCTCTCACGCCAAAGGCCCAGGTTCAAATCCCGGTGGAGACCATGACCTGGGTCTCATACTGTGTTGTGTCCCTGGGCAAGGCACTTTGTCCACATTGCACTCAGTCCACCCAGCTGTTCAAAATGGGTACCTGAGAAGCAGATGTACTGACCTATACGTCGCAAAGCGTTTAGTAGCAGCCTTGAAAGTACAATTCCGTCAGGGTAATAATGTAACGCCAGAGAGCAGCATCGTGTTGGATTCTAGGTGCAAAAATTAGCATCATTATTATAGGAGTGATTCCATGACGGAAATGTTCCATAGTGATCCTTGCTTGTAAGAACTGGATACAAGGATCAGGCCCAAATTTTTCGAAAGAACTGTGTTTTCTAACGGAACTGTTCCAACTAATGTGACCAAACTCAGACTTATGTTTGTTTAATATCAATTTCAGAAATTGGGGCCAGGTGTCAAAATGATTTGGGTCTCAGTTGGGTAGCTATTGTTTCGAGAAAAGTGTTTGCTCACCATGCCAAAGACATGGCTTGATTCCACACATGCCAAAGGGCTTGATTGTGTGAACATAGGAACAATGTCACATTTCTACTGTCCCTTGGTGATATATTGTTGTAAGATTGCTAAAAGTGGCATAAAAGCATGCTCGGTAACTTGTAATGAAGAACCTGTTACAACTGTGGGACATTGTGCTCCAACATGAATCATTGTGCGTGTATATTTGTTGACACTATGCAAAATAATATTCACTCATTCGTTCACTCACTCCACCATACTTACCCTTTGTCAGGTGTGATATCTCCTGTCTGAGGAAACGTCAGCCATGGTATGCCTGCTGTATAGCTTATGTCAGTCATAATAATTTACACTTGGGTGCTGTTACCTTGGTTACACACATGAATTTAGCACTGGGATGAAACTGAAATATTTTGGCGATACTTATAATTGTTGTAGCATTGCTTTTTGGATTGAGGGAAGGTAATCTCGTTCCAGTGTCTACAGTCAACGGGAAATATATTTCACTGTCCAATCATTGTTTTATTGTTTATTATTGTATTAGAAATGATACTTTGCCAAGTGAATATGCACATGGTGTATGACATATCTTTAACCTGTCAGCCAATCAATACCCTTTCAAACTGATATCTCAGCTCCCTGGGGAGTATATAGCATAGGCAGGTTGTTTGGTACTCATATACTTTCAATTACATTCTACCTGGTACCCATTCACTTCTGGATTAGCAGAATCACATTTCCTACACTCTATTATTTAAATAAATACCACATTTTGTACATAATATAAACAGACTAAGCATCATTTTTATAAATTGAGAACTAATTTTAGTTGTGTTTAACATTAGTTAGTTACAGGGAAAGAAACCTTTCAAAATTTCCCACTAGACCACATGACCACTGAGTGGACAATAATTAGTGGTCCTGTCTGTACCTCACTGATCCAAAATAGATTTAGTTAACTATCACTACAAAATTTACTGGCCACCAGGACAACTGCAAACTTATAATTTAGTGGTCCTGATGAATATTTACTAGCCAGGGACCACAGGACCAGTGTAAATGTCGCACACTGATATATTTCAACTAAGATATACAGCCAGGTGTCAGGTCACGTTACGTCCGTCAGTTCATTATAACATAGTTTACTTTATGTTACCCTGTAAACCTATTGCAGCAACATGACATGAGAGGCTCTGTTTTCAGTCTGCCAGTGATGTAAGTGACGATACCACCCCCACCATTAATGACTTTGTCCTGGCGTCTACCATTGACAGCATTGTACATCTGGAACAGTTCACTTACAGGGTAGGACAGCTTGGAGTTGTCAGGTGAGCTCACTTGCATGTTCATGATGTTGCTTCCATTGCTAATCAAACTCAAGAATAGTTACCCTTGAATGAATGTGCTTGTCATTCTGCTTGTTTGTACATTGTCCATCAAGTCAGCGGGCCTGACCACCTAATCCTGTTATTCGCCTGTTGCGACAAGAGTGGGTTGTACAAGACCAATTCTAACTTGGATCTTCATGGGTTCTTAACACTCAGTGTTTAGCGTGCTAAATGTAGATATTTATTCAGATATCAGGAGTGATAATCTTTAATGAATCTTTAGTGTATATTTTATTCCGATATATTTTAGACTGTTTACAGTTTCATCAACACTACTTGCTTGCATTCAGCTTTACATTTGTGAACACTGCTTCACTTTGCAATTACTTGTTTTGAAGATTTTATTTGTCATCAGAGATAGTAATCATTTTAGGTAAAACACTGCAAAAGTGAAATCTTTTCAATTTTGATTAGAGTTAATTTTGATAAAATTCTGTCTTTTTGGCAAAAATATGACAACATATATTCAGCTCAGATAAAACCACAAAGGTCTTTTTAAATGTTTGCTACATTGTGTGAATAATTACCTGGCACTCATTGATAACAGTGCAAGGTATATAAAAAGTGAAAATGTGAAAATTTTATACTTCTGGCATCATAGTATAGATGCTTAGATGATGGTATTGTATAGAGATCCAGAAATATGACATGATTTAAACAGTGGGATTTAGCCAAACGTACAAAACTTTGAGCTAAGTCATTTTAAGAAATTGTTTTGATCGTTTCAATATTTGTAAACTGAATTGCACTCCCAAATCCGAGTGTCTCAAGAATAACACACAATATTATAAAGTGAATGGTTCTTGTAAGTGTTACATGTCAGTTTCTCCAGCCCTCAAAGAAAAGGCCCAGTTGTCTGTACAAATCTTGGCATACAAGCAGCCTGTGCAATGCTGCTGTATAGAAGGATTGTATTTGCAGGAGCACATTTTCAAGATATAATTGTACTACACATGACCCAAGGGGTAATCATCGCTTCATCCAGCACCTTTAGGGACCGTTCATAATTCAGGACTGGGGGTGGTGGGTGTGTGTTTTTTGTGTGTGTGTTGTGGTGGTGGTGTGTGTGTGTGGGGATGATGGAGAAGCATATACAATGTGAATGACCCCCCCTAAAATTTATGTACAAAACAAGTGACCCCCCTGCATGTCATGTACAATATCAATGACCCCCCTCACCTACCCATAATTTCTAAGCATAATTTTAACCATATTTTTATGTACAAAATTGATGATGACACCCACCCACCCCCACCCACCCCTAGTTAGTGTGTACAAACTTGATGACCCCCTAGCTCGCCAGAACAAAATGGGTGGGACCCTGCTTAAATCATCATCATCCCCCTAGCCAACATTGGTGACCCCCTTAAAATCATTCTTCTTTCCTCTCTCTCTTCTTCTCTCCCCCCCTCCCCCAAAAATATATTATGAAAGGTCCCTAAGCCATGCACCAGTGAGAGTTTTTGAGGTTTTCAAGGTTGTTGACTGTCAAAGTTGCATGTGGTCAACTTAACTATTTGTTGTTAATATGTTAATTGATACTGTTATCTATGATATATTTTTCTGTCTGTCAGTTTGTTTGAGCTGAAGCATGTGATATGCCGCATCGGACTACCAGCCCCAGTTAACTGGAGGAAACTCATTTCCCACAAAAGTAAGTGACATTATACATTACAGGTAAGACAATATAGCTGACTGTGACATAGGACAATATAGCTGACTCATATCAGACAATGTAGCTGACTGTGACATAGGACAATATAGCTGACTGTGACATAGGACAATATAGCTGACTGTGACATCAGACAATGTAGCTGACTGTGACATCAGACAATGTAGCTGACTGTGACATAGGACAATATAGCTGACTGTGACATAGGACAATGTAGCTGACTGTGACATCAGACAATGTAGCTGACTGTGACATCAGACAATGTAGCTGACTGTGACATCAGACAATGTAGCTGACTGTGACATAGGACAATATAGCTGACTGTGACATAGGACAATATAGCTGACTGTGACATAGGACAATATAGCTGACTGTGACATCAGACAATGTAGCTGAGATATCAGACAATGTAGCTGACTGTGACATCGGACAATATAGCTGACTGTGACATCAGACAATATAGCTGACTGTGACATCAGACAATAGTATGACTGTGACATCAGGACAATGTAGCTTAAAACTGTATATCAGACAATGTAGCTGACATGTATATAATACAATGGACAATGTAGCTGACTGTGATATCAGACAATGTAGCTGACTGACATCGACAATATATGACTGTGACATAGGACAATATAGCTGACTGTGATATCAGACAATGTATCTGATTGACTGTGATATCAGATTCAATGTAGCTGACTGTGATATCAGACAATGTAGCTGACTGTGACATAGGACAATGTAGCTGATATAGACAATGTAGCTGACTGATATGACATAGGACAATATAACAATCATGACTGTGACATAGGACAATATAGCTGACTGTGACATAGGACAATATAGCTGACTGTGATAACAGACAATGTAGCTGACTGTGACATAGGACAATATAGCTGACTGGGACATAGTACAATATAGCTGACTGTGACATAGGACAATATAGCTGACTGTGACATCAGACAATGTAGCTGACTGTGACATAGGACAATATAGCTGACTGTGACATAGGACAATATAGCTGACTGTGAAATCAGACAATATAGCTGACTCATATCAGACATTATTATGTAAGCCTATTTTTTTCGGCTACCTGATTGGTCTAGACTTCGTCCTTGGTCAATATTGCTTTTCGCAGGTCAATAGAAACAGGTATTGACTTCATCACCAGTCTATAATTGTATAATATAGCTGACTGTGATATCATACAATGTAGCTGACTGTGATATCAGACAATAAAGCTGACTGTGACATCAGACAATGCAGCTGACAGTGACAGGACAATGTAGCTGACTGTGACATCAGACAATATAGCTAACTGGGACATCAGACAATGTAGCTGACTGTGACATCAGACAATATAGCTAACTGGGACATCAGACAATGTAGCTGACTGTGACATCAGACAATATAGCTGACTGTTACATAAACAATTTGCTCACCCAAACAAGAGGGCCTTTCACATATGGAACCACTAAATGACAATTAGATATATGTAAGTTTTACTACGGTTTTGGAGAAGTTTCATCATGCAAGCAAGAAAATCAGTCTGCCCAGCCTACATAAACTGTTTATTATTAATCAATCAATCAATCAATCAGAACTGAAGGCCACAGGCCCATAGTACAGGTATAACTGTTTATTATACATAACATCCCATTTGTTTTTGCAGAGGGACATCTAGCTGTTTTAATTTTAGTAGCAGCTAGAGCAGACATTGTCTACATTTCAGTATATATACATGGTGGCCCTATGTTGCCAGGTTTGGATGTTCATGATAGATGGATGAAGTTTGCCCCTCCTCTTGAGTCTCGCCTGCTGTATGTGCTGAGTGAAGGCTGTCTCTCCTCCCCACCAATACAGGTGAGTTTCTCCTTCCGCACTAATACAGGTGAGTCTCTCCTCCCCAACAATACATGTGAGTCTCTCCTCCCCACCAATACAGGTGAGTCTCTCCTCTCCACCAATACAGATGAGTCTCCTCCCCACCAATACAGGTGAGCCTCTCCTCCCCACCAATACAGGTGAGTTTCTCCTCCCCACCAATACAGGTGAGTTTCTCCTCCCCACTAATACAGGTAAATCTCTCCTTCCCACCAAATACAGGTGAGTCTCTCCTACCGACCAATACAGATGAGTCTCTCATCTCCACTAATACAGGTGAGTCTCTCCTCTCCACTAATACAGGTGAGTCTCTCCTCCCCACCAATACAGGTGAGTCTATCCTCCCCACCAATACAGGTGAGTATCTGTTGCAGTCTTTGCAGTGGGTAGACTGACATCTACAGTCTTTGATATACCTGGCTGGATCACAATAGCCTACAAAGTGTAATAGTGAAAAACAGCTACAAGTAGCCAGTAATAGCTGGTAGTTACCATAAATCTGATGATGCCAAGAGGCAAGTTTGAGATAGTAGACTCAAACATTGTAGACACAGGAGGCTCAAATGATCATGTGCCTTTATGGGTACTACCAGTTATCAGACATAAGCCAAGTGAAAGTCCGGTCCAAATTCAGTTATTTACTGACCACCAACATTTAGCTGGAATATCGCTGAGTGCAGCTTCAAACAACATCAGCCAAGTGGTAAGTGATAGTCTATACATAACATTTACAGTGAAACATTGTGTGTGTTTTGTGTATCTGTTAAGGTATTCTGTGAAAATGTTTGTTTGTTGTTTAACACCACACTCCTCAAAACTCCGGCTTCATGCTGGCGGTCTGTAAATAATCAGGTCTGGACCAGACAATCCAGTGATCAAAATCATGATCATAAATCTATGCAATTTGAATATTTTTATTTTTTTATTTTTTATTTTTTTTTAAGGGTTTATTTTGTATAAAGGCCATACGACCCATCGTACAAGGTGGTACAATAGTAATTTTGGTTACCATTTTCATACAACAACGCTAACAGGAGCAGAATAAACATGTTCTAAGAACTTGACAAAATTATTTATGATGTTATTGTCGGATGATGTACATATGCTGCGGAGTGAATAATAATATCCATGGACCGTTTTCGGAATGTAACGCCGACGCATATCCTCATAAGCGTTTACAGATATAGACAATATGGATTTCATCCTCAATACTTTTACAGTGTTTACATAATACAATATCATCATTGCAGGAGGCAGTACCTCTTCTAATATATTTGATACCTAGTGCATTACACCCTGATCTAAATAATGTGAACAGACGCTTGCACTTATTACTTATGTTCAATGATAAATATTTTTCACAGGTCAACAGAGATTTATGGGACTTATAGAAAGACAGCGAAGGAACATCTAGGGACAAATGCCACTCTTGCATAGAGCAGTTGTTAATTCTTTCAGTAAACATATATAGAAACATTTTTGTATCACCGACATCTTGTGAAATCCAAGCTGTACCAAAGCCAAGATAAAATAACAAATCACTGACATGCCGAGCCCATGTGGGACGTTTCCTGAATTCAACAGATAATAAAAAATTATAACATTGATATGGATATCTACTTTGATGCATTCTTAATAATCTTAGCCACTATTTAATACATTTGACATAATAAACATTGCTTAAGGGTGCCCTCCCACATTCCCCATATGCAACAGCATTAGATGATCTGTAACTAATCTGAAGTAAAAATTTGCAAAATTTTCGATGGACAATTTCAATACTTTCTCTCTTTTTAAAACCCCATATCTCAGCACCATATGTTAGAATTGGTACAATCTTTTTATCAAAAATATAAAATCCTTCTGAGAGTGACATATCATATCGTCTTATAAATGACTTGATCGGCCATAGTGCCTTATTAGCTTGATCAGATAATGTTTTACATGCCCTAGTCCAAATCAATTTGGGAGTTATCATAAGTCCTAGATATTTATAAATATTAACAGTTTCCATTCGAATGCCATTATAGAACCATTTTTCGTGTTTGGACAAGGGTCCACCCATTTTAAAAACAATTATTTTACTTTTATCCGTATTAATATCCATGCCCCATTTATGGGAATACATATGTAGGGCGTCAAGGCGGTGCTGTAATCTAACAACAGTATCAGCTATCAATAAAATAATACCGGACTAAGGACACAGCCTTGCCGAACCCCACAGGTGCTATCAAAATATTCAGTTAATTTCTTGCCATACTCATAGGTTACAGTGGCCTTGACATTAGTATACATATTTTTAATCAACTTGAAAAAATTTCCATGGATCCCATTTTGCAAAAGAACATACAGTACTTTAAACCTATTCACCATGTCAAAGGCCTTGCGAAAATCTATGAATGCAATATATATCTTCCCATTTTTACGTGTTAAATACTTCTGAATGATTGTCTGGAGAATAAAGATACTGTCCACAGTCGAATGGTCTGTCTTAAATCCACCCTGATATTCTCCAATTATCTCACGAAGTTGCAAAAAGTACTCCAATCTTTTGTTTAGAACCGAAACAAAAATTTTACTCATTACATTCAGAAGAGAGATCCCCCTATAATTATTCGGGTCAGATCTACTACCTTTCTTATGTAGTGGGATAATAATGCCAGTTGACCAGGAATTTGGCCACAAGCCAGATGAGAGTATCTTGTTGAACAGTAATACTAAATAGGGAACTATTATATGTTCAGAAACTTTGAAAAACTCTGCGGGAATACCATCATCGCCTGGGGATTTGTTACATTTTAGATGTCTGATAGCATTTATTACATTCTGATCTGTAAAGTCACATGATAGAATATCATCGTCATTGATACAATCAACACATGTATTAAAGTCATGTTTATCAACATATGATTTGGCATCTTCTGAAAAGTTGAATATGATGACATGTGTCAAACAAGTCAGCGAGCTTGACCACCTGATCCTACTTGTCGCCTCATACAACAATCATGGATTTCTGTAGACCAATTCTAACATGCATTGTCACGGGTCGCAAATGTATGTATTAAATGTCCTTACTGACTTCTCTCCCATTTGTATACTCACAGGTGTTGAGTCCTGAGACTATCGACACCCAGCTGGAGTCTGCCATGAAAGACTACTTGAATCACACAGTGGAAGTGGATGTCAACTCCAGAAAGGTCAACATATTGAAGATACATCTAACATACCCTTTATACCCATTATAGTATGGCGGGCAGTAGGTTAGCCTAGTGGTTACAGTGTTCACTCATCATGCTGAAGACCCGGGTTCGATTCCCCACTTGGGTACAATATGTGAAGCCCATTTCTGGTGTTCCCCGCCATGATATTGTTGGAATATTGCTAAAAGCGGTTTAAAACTAAAAGCGACGTTAAAATAAATTTACACGTCAACATATTGACTTCTTCCAATGCAATTTAAACAACGGTCTCAACAGCCTCCCTCCACATGGAAGGTCACATGGCATATTAAGTTTGTGAACTGCTATCATGCAAATCTTTCTAGTCTTGGTGATATCATTGGCTTTTCCTTTCATGATGCATTTTATGCATGAGATCAAAACAGTCGCTGATATGGTGATACATTATTTTCATCACGTAGAGTATGTTGCCAAGTTGAGCGCTTAGTGTTTTTGTCCCCTGATACAGAGCAGAGTGTCCCAGTCATTTGCCAGTACCATACCCATAGTCTTCAACATAGTACATGTCTGAGGCCTGCATCACCCTGGGCTTTCCTCTCACCTCAACAGGCATGCCCTGATATAACTGGAATACTGTTTAAAGCAGTGATAACTCCCATATCCTCCATTACAGGTGACAATACCCTCCCTGTTGTCATGGTACAAGCAGGACTTCAGCCAGGCGTCAGATGCAGATAGTGTTGGTATAGAAGGCCTTATCAACTTCATTGTATCAACTGTAGAGGAAACAAAGGGAGAGTACATTCAACAGCTGTTGGATGATGAAAGCACAGCGAAAGGTACAGGTGAGGAGACCTTGGGGAAGATGTTTACTCTGTAGTGAAAGGGTTTGACATAAATGTGTAAGGTCTCGTTTTTCTGACTGTTATTCTTCTCATAGTGAACAAAACTGAAACAATGAAGTTAAGAAAAGGAAATTAATGATTGTAGTTGTACATGTGTAGATCTATAACCAAGTTTATCACAGAAATCATCTGATATTGGCTGGTTGTTGGTTGCTGCAGTCAGCAATATTACAGCTATATGGCGGTCTGATATTTGTAAAAATATATTACTGTAATTTGTAATTGCAAAATAAGTATGATACTATAAGTTAAAATATTTGGTAACTGCTTTCCAGGGGTACAATCAATTAATAAATATTGTCTTAATTTTCAGAAGACATGGGACCAGGGGATCAACCATTTATCCTTACAGTCAGTGATTATGTCTTTGAGTTTTCCTTTTTATTTGAAATGTCCATTATGCCCAAGGACTCTGTGCATTCTACGCCCCACGGTTCTCTGTCCCCCTCCACGGGGACTCGATTCCTCTTTGGACAGCTTCCTGGAGCAGAGTGATCGCAGCTTCGTGGTGGAGACGCCATCATACCAGCTGACCCCGATTACTCTGGACTATGTGAAGATGGATTCAGTGTTGGTGGCAACCATGGTCAGTCTGGTCTGTGCTGATGAACTTGACGACATTGAGCATCAGATGCAGGATGATCATTTTGAGTCCAGCAGTGTAAAGAGTCGCACGACCAGCATGTCGGACATTAGTCTGGTCGACATCCGTAGTTACCGTTACCAGCGGCTGATGGACGATTACCCCATCCTTCAGCGCCACCTGCTCAACTATATCATTCCTCTAGCAGCGGCAGATAACCCCGATATTCTGTCCAGTAGTGACCAGGTGTTGAAGTTTGTGACCAATGAGATTGATGACAGTGTGAAGACGTGTATGTTTAGCCTTCATGACAGTATCCAGTTCCAGCAAGTTGTTATGGACATCATTAACAGGCTTCTCGTTGGACGCAAGTGGTCAGCCATCTTGCTGATCCTGAAAAGTATTCCAGAGATTACCATGAAGCAGCGCCGTGACTGGCAGATTCTCCATGACTTCGTCCTAGGCTGCTGGGCAGAAGAAGAGTCAGAACACAATTCAAACAGTCCCGAGATCGTCAATAGGCTGAGACGGTTCTACTGCCCGGACTCGCATGCTCGCTCGGTGATGTCAGTGTGCAGTCGGCTCCCGGTGGATTATGGTATAGACCTAGTGGAGAGTTGCATGGTTGAGACAGTGAGTGGAGAGCTGAAGACAGCTTTAACAAACAAACTGAAGGAACTTAAAGTCTATCTCAGAGTGAGTATTCTGATGTTTGACATGTTGTTTGTGTTGTACATTTTTTGCCACCAGAAGTTTGTTGTTTCATTCAGTTTGTTGGTGGCCAGGTAATCATAAATATAGAACTCCTTTTCACACGCCTTCTAGAACATGATAAAATGAATCTGGCAAATCTCGTACAAAATGGCTGTGTCTGAAACATCAAACCGCAGCATGTTTTGTTGAAAACAATATCTAAATTGGTTGCTATGAACTTATAGCATGTTTCCTTCTCTGTGGAAGGATAGAGACTGACTATGTATCCATATGCTTGACCTAGTTGCTGTGAATTGGAATAAGTCATTCATAAGCATCCATAATGTCCCGTGCCTGAATTGTATGCTGAGTAGGGTGGTTTCAGTTTTGACAAAGGCCTTCAGAATTGTTGTGACAGTTTAAGTTGTAATTGAAATTTGATAGTGTTGGATTGTTTAGGATTTAGTTAAATGTGTTAAATTAAACATTGACTAACTTGTTAAAGTTAGCATGGATATAGAACAAACTAAATGTTATTCAGTTGTAAAACTACGTTACAGAAAGATTTTCTGATCATGCTTGTGGCCTTCCAGTATTTATATTTACTTAATGTTTCCTTATACATGTTCATGGATCTTGAATTCTGTTCTGATGATTAAAACTTTGATTTGAAGAAAGGGCTGATTGCAAATGTGAAAAAGAATTTTCTCAAATTTCAATAAAGGATGCTTTCTCAAAAGAACATCCTGAAATAAGAAAATTATAAACCAAGTGACATCAGACAAAATATTTTTTATGAAACATTGCAAATTAGGAGTATGCTCACCTGTCACCAGAAATACTGTCCCCTACAAATGTAATGCTATTTTCACACAGATGACAGACAGTGTGAAGAACCTTCAGTTCAAGCTGTCCAAAAGGTCAGCAGAGTTAATCAGAGCAGAAGACATTGAGTCAGCAAGGGAGTACCATTCAGCTCTAGAGAAGTTCACTGATTGGAGGAGAGTGGTCACATGTTCTGGAACCTCCCCAAAAGAAGTGCTGACCATCCTGCTACGGACTGGCGATTTTGAAATGATCCGAGATTGGAGTCAACTCCATCCTCTTCCCCAGAGCCTTAAATTGGTAGGTTTCCAGTGTCTTGAAAGCCATGTAAAACCTAAACCAATAGATTACCCTGAGTAGCAGCTCCATATGAAGTGGCTGCATTAATGTATGTGTGACTTTGTGTGTTGTATTTACAGGAGATAGAGGAGAAACACTTGATGTCGCTACTCGGTACTGACAAACCAAACACAGCCAAGGCATTCCAGGTAATGTCACCAACACACCTACTTCAAGAATGTTTCTTTATGTTAGTCTTCCCAATACTTTCCATTCTGAAGTATATATCATTCTAAAGTAGATATCATTCTAAAGTATATATCCTTCTAAAGTATATATCCTCCTAAAGTATAAATCCTTCTAAAGTATACATCATTCTAAAGTAGATATCATTCTAAAGTATATATCCTTCTAAAGTATCTATCCTTCTAAAGTATATACTAGTATCCTTCTAAAGTATATATCCTTCTAAAGTATATATCCTTCTAAAGTATATATCCTTCTAAAGTACATATCCTTCTAAAGTATATGTCCTTCTAAAGTACATATACTTCTAAAGTATATATCCTTCTAAAGTATATATCCTTCTAAAGTATATATCCTTACTCCTTCATCAGGTGAGTAAGGATCTACTCCAAAACATTGTGTTCCTCATAATAAAGAAGAAGCTGACATCCATAAAACTCTCTCCCTTATGTGTCTCACTTCTAGATGCCATTCAAAGACCTATAATAACCTCTCAAGACAGGTTTTATCATATGTGTGAGTTTGAGACTGGTATGTGTGTGTTTTATATGTTTGTTTCTATTGTCTGCAGCAGTTGGAACTTGTACTTTCAGATCTTGGAGGAAATGAGGAAAAAACAGTCATCAATCTGTCTGTCCATCTGCAACAGTCTGCTGAAGAAGCTGTCCAGTCATCTTGACATCCAGTTCCTCACCAGCTACATGCTGAACCAGCTGGAGACGGAGCTCACAGACAGCCAGACAGAAGACCTTAGACTCAGACATATAGGGGCCAAGGTATGGATAAACTGCTTAACTGTTGTCATAGGACTCAGATACACAGGGGCAATGATATGGATAAACTGCCTAACTGTTGTCATGGGCTGCTAAGACTCAGACATACAATGGGGGCCAAGGTATGGGTAAAATGCCCAACTGTTGATGGAGGACACTCAAACTTTGACACATGGGGGCCAAGGTATGGGTAAAATGCCCAACTGTTGATGGAGGACACTCAAACTTTGACACATGGGGGCCAAGGTATGGGTAAAATGCCCGAACTGTTGATGGAGGACACTCAAACTTTGACACATGTTGGGGACACTCAAACAATATGGGTAAAATGCCCAACTGTTGATGGAGGACACTCAAACTTTGACTCCAAACTTTGACCATGGGGGCCAAGGTATGGGTAAAATGCCCAACTGTTGATGGAGGACACTCAAACTTTGACACATGGGGCCAAGTCATGGGTAAAATGCCCAACTGTTGATGGAGGACACAAACTTTGAAACTTTAAAAGACCAACTGTTGATGGGGCCAAGATGGGTAAAATGCCCAACTGTTGATGGGGGCTCAAAGCACATGGGTAAAATGCCCAACTGTTGATGGAGGACACTCAAACTTTGACACATGGGGGCCAAGTTATGGGTAAAATGCCCAACTGTTGATGGAGGACACTCAAACTTTGACACATGGGGGCCAAGGTATGGGTAAAATGCCCAACTGTTGATGGAGGACACTCAAACTTTGACACATGGGGGCCAAGGTATGGGTAAAATGCCCAACTGTTGATGGAGGACACTCAAACTTTGACACATGGGGGCAACATGAGGGTAAAATGCCCAACTGTTGATGGAGGACACTCAAACTTTGACACATGGGGACAAAGTGAGGGCAAAGTGCCTAACTGTTCATGTGAGACACTGTTAATGACAAACAGGGGCCACCATATGGGTAACTTGCCTAACTGTTTAAGCACTGTATATGGCCATGTACAATATTTTGTGTATCAATTACACTCACTTAAGCCATGTTGATGGAGCTGAATTTTTTGTGTGAAGATTAGAAAGCTCTGTTGCATCTACGTTTTGAAGATAGGACTGACTTGAGGATTTCATCTTCTTTATTAAGTCAGTGGAGTATTTCAGTACATTGGCTGGTGCCTTTATGAAGCTAGTGGCAAAGGTACCAGCACATGAACTTACGGTGGGCAGACAATAAGCCCACTAGGACAAAAAGCCCTCGGACAAAAAAACGCTAGGCTAAATGCCCCCATGACAAAAAGCCCTTGCCAAATTCCACCCATAGGATAAAACACCCTTTGAGTTGATTTTCAGTTGACAGGTGATAACATGATGTTTTCTAAGTAATTCCTTCCACTGCTGACAGTTGTTACAGGAAAGTAGCATATGTGACCCAGGCAGTGTCAGTGAGCTTAGTATTTATTAAGATGGTCTTTTAAATGTTAAAACTTATATTATTTTATATTTTAAATAATATATTCATGTGAGAATAAATTCATGAGCTGCAAAAAGATTTGTTGGTATTCTATTACATTTTTTCATTGAGGACCTTTTTTCCTACCCACTGAGGGTTTTTGTCATGGGGGCATTTAGCCTAGGGGTGTTTTGTCTGGGGGCTTTATGTCCTTGTGGCCACCGAACTTACAGGTGGTCCTGAAAGAATAGAGAAATTGAAATCCATGTCAGCCCTGTCTTCACTGGTACTACATGTTTAACTGTGACTTTAAAACATTGTACTGATATCTTGCTTCTCCAGGCATTGTTGTGTTTACCAACTTCAATCAGGCGTGAATACTCCCATCTCATCTCAACACCGCACCTGATCCTGGAGCAGCTACTTATGAACATGAAGGTATATATATATGTTAGAGGTGAATGAGCTTCAAGATGGCCGCACTTTCATAACGTTGTGCATGTATGTCATGTGTGGCTGCTTGCATTATTCCAGGCACATGTCTGTGTTTTAGTGCCACCCTAGTGACCCTACTGACATACTGTACCACAGTTAAAACTAGATACTTGGGCTGTGTGTGGGCAAATACATTGCATTGCAAAACAGGTATCTGTACACAGGGTCTAGGACAAAAGCCACCAGGACAAATGCCACCTAGGACAAATGCCAAACTGGATGGCTTTTGTCCGGGTGGCATTTGTCCCAGGTGGTATTTGTCCTTGGTGGCATTTGTCCCAGGTGGCATTTGTTCAGGTGGTTTTTATCCGGGTGGCTTTTGTCCTGCTCCCCTGTACATGCAGATACTGGTGCAACAATGTCAAAGTCAGCATTGTCACCTTTTTGTAGTCATGGATACAGGGGAGATAATAATGTGAGAGAAACATTCTCTTTGTATATACTCCGTCTTTTGTACATATTTCAATTGTGACAGTATATAAGGCTAATCACATTAATTGTTTTGGGAAAGGACTACCTGAGTACTAAAACTTGTTCTTTTCCCTGTGAATAAAACCTGCTTTTAAACAAACCATTGCAACATTATGTCTGTGTTCCCGTATACTGGGTAATGAAAATATAACAAGTTTAGTTAATATTGGTATTAGCTAATCTAACACCTATTCAGAAATAATTTAACACATGACACTCACCCTTTGTAAGTTCAACTGACAAAATAGCACAAGAGTGAAGTCAAAATTATAAGTTTTTCCTTATCCTGACTCCGACATTTTTCCTTTCTCTCCCTTTCTTCCGAGGTACAGTGGAAACCTCTGTCCTGTTGTTCCCTAATGAACAGTCAAAAATAGCTCACCCGAAATGGGCCTCTCCCCTTCCCGCACCAGCATCCTACGTGACCATAGACTGCCTGTCACTCTCTCGATGCCAATAGTGTCTCTCATGCTGGTGGACCACTTCAGAATTCTTAAATTCTTCTGTAATTGACGAGAAAGCAGTTTATCGGCCAATGCCGATTTCCTGTTGAGTAACAACTGTCTCGCTATAACTCTGCCCGAGATTTATAAAAATTTAAATCATTTAGTCTGATTGTTATAATAGTAAGAGTTGTTTCCTAAAGCTATACCAGATTGACATGTTTATTCCCAGAATGGCCCAAATTATGCACATTGGTTTGTCAACTCAATAATTGTGTTCTTGTGTTCAGAGTGAATCTTTTCATGAAGGGGATATAAATGAATACAGTCCCAAGTGGTATAACAAGGTGAAAAAAGAAAAAGAGTAACGGTGGATTTGTTTGAAAATTTTGATATTCTTGAATCATTGATTTGGGTAGGATATTATATGATGTTTGTCATACATGTTTCAGTCTGACCTGGCTGGGAAAGTCTTCCAGAAGATAAAACATGATTACTTCCTTGTGAAGACGGCCTCTCTCCGCTATAGTGTGGACCAGTTCAACGACTTGCTGGAGACATATGCCACAAAGGCTGTTGAGGTCATGGTCGTCCAGTGTGTCGAGTCTGGTATGTGTTGACCTTTTCAGCATGGCAATACTGAGCTTTTATTGTTGCAAATTAATTTTTAAGACAGTACATTCTCTGGGTACCTCAGTGTTAAAAGGACAAATGGCAAAGTTTGATATAACCTGATTGCAGGCATTTTGATAGTAATACAGGTATGGAAATATCCTGGCACTCTTATTGTAGTAACCATACAGGCTATAGATTTTGAGTGAGTGAGTTTAGTTTTACGCCACACTCAGCAATATTCCAGCTGTATGGCAGTGGTCTGTAAATAATCGAGTCTGGACCAGACAATCCAGTGATCAACAGCATGAGCATCGATCTATGCAATTGGGATACGATGACATGTGTCAACCAAGCCATCGAGCCTGACCACCTGATCCCGTTAGTCACCTCTTACGACAAGCATGGGTTACTGAAGGTTCATTCTAACCCGAATCTTTACATGTAGTAGATATTTAACAGATACTTGTAGTTATGGGTGTTTGTGATGTGTTCTTACAGAGAAGGAGAGAAGTCAAAGTGCAGGGTCTAGCAGTTCTGGCAGGACTGAAGACAATGATGTCTCCATGACACAAGGCCAGAGATTCCTGGGAGAGTCTATCCGTGTCCGGAGAAGGGGTATGGAGGGGGCAGGTAAGGAAATCTTTTTGTGTGTGAGTGGGATGCATTGTGTCTTCATGACACCAGACCAAAGATTCCTGGGAGAGTCCATCTGTGTCAGAAGAAGGGGAATTGAAGTGGCAAATATGATCATCTGTTTAATATATAAGTGGGTGTGTTATGTCTTTGTGATGCCTGGACAGAGATCCCTGGGAGAGTCCATCTGTGTCAGTTTGGAGGGATGAGGGTGCAGAAGAATAAGAAAGTTTGGAGGTTCACATCATAATAATTTTGACAGTGCGAATACATCACTGAAACTTCAGCATACTCTTGCTGAAAAAAATGTTTCACCTCACATGTCTGCATGACTAATTTGTTCTTTTTTAAGTCTCACCAAAGCCACGAGGACCTTCCCCAGTAACAGCAAGCCCCAGCAAACAGTCGTCGTCGCCACATCCAGCTGTGCCCAAGTTTGTGATGCCTGCTCATCCTCCAGCCAAAGAGGACTGGGTCCCTGACTCAGCAGCCTCTAACTGCATGGTGTGCAACGAGAGATTCAGTATGGTACGTATGTCACATCCTGTGTGCTCTCAGTCCTCGTGGGGCTCCAAGTCCTGATCCTCAGAGCATTCGTAGTGTTACTGCCTTAAATATGGAGTTAATGTAGGTCATAATGTTATGAACACTTTGTGGATGAGGGCCCTGCTCTCAAATCAATAGATGGCATAGTTATTTGTGATTGCAAGTGCTATTGAATTGTGGAGAAGCCATAACCAATTTACTGACCTTTGAGTGAGTTTTACGCCACACTCAGCAATATTCCAGCTATATGGTGGCGGTCTGTAAATAATCGAGTTTGGACCAGACAATCCCCCAGTGATCAATAGCATTAGCATAGATCTGCCCAATTGGGAACCGATGACATGTGTCAACCAAGCCAGCGACCCTGACCACCCGATCCCGTCAGTTGCCTCTTATGACAAGCATGGGTTACTGAAGGTTCATTCTAACCTGGACCTTCACGGGTACTGACCTTTGAAGTGGCACCAAGTACAGTAACCTACAGTTATAATAAACTCAAAGGGACCACTAATTTTTGTTTGTTATAACCGTAGTTTCATCTTTGCATGTCAACAAAAGATACAGCAAGTGGCCGGGGCTCAAAAGAACAGTTTCAGCTGTTCATAGTTCATAAGCTTTGACAATATACATATGACAGTCATGGCCCTAAATTCCTTTGTTTTATGGAGCCAAGGGAGATGGGATAGTGATTCTACAGATTTCAATAATTACACTTGCCTCCACTCCTCTCCTTCAGTTTAACCGACGTCACCACTGTCGTCGATGTGGCCGTGTGGTCTGCGCTACTTGCTCCACCAAGCGGACAATCATTGATGGCGAATCTTCCAGGACCTGTGATGACTGTTACAAACAGAGATTTGGTTACAGGTGAAAATTTATTCATGTCATGATTTCTTATTATCAACAATAGCAACAATGAAACAGGAGGTATTCTGCTGAATTCATTTCTGTATGAGGCTGAGTAAATTAATTTCATTTTTCAAAGATTACTGGTTGATGCTGTAATAATTTGTATCCTCATCGGAAAAGTACAAATTAGTTTTGTTACAATTACTGACTGTTTCATCCATACAACCCTAAAACCATTACAAACCTACATTTGCATACCACAAACATCATCATTATTATCTGTTTGGTGAGTGTTTTCAGTATTCAAATCTTCTGTTCGCTTGCCAATCAAACATGGTGTGTTTGATGGACCAGGGTATAAATACTGCTATTCTGAAGGTGTGACATTAGATTTTCAAGTTTGTGTATTTTAGGTCCCCTGCTGTGATATTGCTAAAAAGTGGCGTAAAAGTTAATTCACTCACTCAATTGTGTAATTTAGTAGATGAATTGTTACATTGTCATGTCATGGGACCAGCAAATTTGTCAAGCATGCTGAAAATTTTAAAATGTCGTTTGTAACCGCATCAATGTTTAATACTCACTTGGAATTCACTGGACATTAGTGTCGAATGCAGTGATATTTTTCTGCTTGGCCCAGTGATTCCAAGAGCCAGGGAGAGATCTACAGTCAGCGCAGAGAGAGTGTGATGAGTCCGGGCAGCTCTCTGTATGGCTCGGTCAGTAGTGGAGTGACTTTCCCTGGCGGGGGGCGGCCCTCAGAGATGGTAGTAGCTGACAGCTGGATGCTGCGTAATGAAGAAACATACGACCATGAACTCAGAGAGGAGTTCTACTATGAACAGGTACGTCATACATTGCTCTGTGTTGTGTATCTGCTGTTTCATCAAAGATATACTATTAACTTGATTGTTAATAAGTTTCATTTGCTGAAAATTATCCTCCTGAAAATTATCAATGTAAATTGACCTGGCCTTATTTAAAGTGAAACCTAACCATTGAACATTTGTAAGGAATATCTTAAATCTGTCTGCCCCAGTTCCTCATTCCAAATATTTTCAGCAACTAAAAGCCTTAAGGGACCGTTCATAATTTATGGCTAGGGGGTGGTGATGATGATTTTAAGGGGGGGTCACCCATTTTGTTCTGGAGAGGTAGGGGGTCACCAATGTACTTGGGGTTTGTACAAATAATAAGAAAAAATATGATTATAAATTACGGGGAAGGGGTGTCATTGATTTTGTACATGACATGCAAGGGGGTCACATATTTTGTACATAAATTTAAGGGGGGGGGGGGTCATTCACATTGTACATGCCTTTCCATGAAAATCATCATCAGCCCCCCAGCCATAAATTATGAACGGTCCCTAAGGAATTATCAGTCATACAACTTCTTTAATACTATTTTCTTGGTGAATAGTTATGATCACTATCAGCCATCATCTGTAGTGTCTGAATAATGTTCACCTACAGTTTCCATTTCCATTTTTAAGGAGCCTAGTGTCTCGCTCTGCATCTCCATCCTTGGTAACCATAGCCACCAGAAGGAGTGTGGCCAGCAGATGCTGAATATGTGTGACTATCTGTCAGAGTTCCTGCAGCCAATATCTCCTGGCGTCCCCAATCCTGAAGTAGACTACAGCCTCATTATCAGGTTAAGTGGTTAAATTACTTAATTTTATACCAGTGTAATGCCACATCTATGTCACAATTTGGACTTTCATTAACTGGGTTATGTTTTTGTAAACATATTTCTTGCAACATGTGCTTGTTGTATGAAGTGACTTGATTTGATTGGCTAGTCAGGCTTGCTGACTTGGCTGATGCATTTCATCATATGTCAGTTCTGTAGGTCGTTGTTCATGATGTCAGTCACTGGATTGTCTGGTCCAGTTATTTACAGACCACTGTCATATAGCTGAAATATTTCTAAGTGCTGGGTTAGGCATCAAACAAACCCAATTGTCTGAGGTAATCAAGTATTGGTAGGTGAACCAGTGGATAGGGGGTTAATGGCCTTGGAAGATTCCCAACTGACAAATTCAACTTATTTTATTTATCAGTGTATGAAGGGTGTTGTTATAAAATACACAATGCCATTTAGAAAGTGGTCAAATGTAACATATGTTATATTTGGGATTACACTTTCGAACCCTCAGAGTGGGACTCAATCACCAACAAAAGTACTAGAATTTGTACTTTACTAAGAAAGTGTAATCCCAAATATAACATATGTTACAAATGGAAGTCGGACAAATGGCATTGTCTAGATCATAGGACTTTGCCATTGGAGCCCTCTGATAACACTTATCATTGGCTACACAAAGTCCGCGAGTCTAGACTACCAGAAATACACAATGCCATTGTGGAAGCAAAGTGGCTGAGCGGTTAACATATCTTATATTTGCTGATTACACTGACTCTGATGGTGTGGGTTCGAATCCCGGATGGGACTCAACTCAACAAAAGTACTAGAATTTGTACTATACTAAGAAAGTGTAATCCCAAATATAACATATGTTACGGGTGTTGTTATAATTTCGTAATTTCCAATGCATAATTGTACGCAAAAGTAATAATTAATCAGATGATTTTTGTGTGCATATTTTGCACAAATACATAGCTTATCTGGAGCTTTGCATGTACACAATTGTATCAAGAAGTGAGAAAATCTGTGCCAACCCTGATGGTTTCTCTCCCCAGTATGATGCGTCAGCTGTTGTTCCAAGCCAAGCTGAAATTCCTGCACTGTGGGGAGAACCAGGGTGTGGGCTTGTGTGACATGTACCAGACTCGGGTGGACCTGCTCAAGATACTAGTAGGGGACAACTACAAAGACCTACCATCTATCAAGGAACTCACCAAGGTCGACACTGTCAGGTCAGTACACATATATTTGGGAAAACTGAAGAAAAACTTTATGCTCATGACAATCTGATTCTGAAGAGATTAATTTGATGTGTCTAGAAGTATTTACCAAATCAACCTTGTTTTGAAATTAAGTGAGTTGTGGTTTGAACCACTTTGCCCCCTATATATTTTTTTTTAATGGAATTTTAGGAAGAATAAATCTGTTTTGGTCCCAGGCATAACAATGATATAATGGAGTAAATGTGTTAGTGAGTTTAGTTTTACGCCGCACTCAGCAATTTTCCAGCTATATGGCGGCGGTCTGTAAATAATCAAGTCTGGACCAGACAGTCCAGTGATCAACAGCATGAGCATCGATCTGTGCAATTGGGAACTGATGGCATGTGTCAACCAAGTCAGCGAGCCTGATCACCGATCCAGTTAGTCGCCTCTTACGACAAGCATGGGTTACTGAAGGTTCATTCTAACCCGGACCTTCATGGGTATGATATAATGGAATACATTATAGTAGTATAGGGGAAGCTTGAGACAAATGTGCACAAGATGTTTGCAATGGTTTTAATTAAGCAAATTGTCAGTTATATGTGTGAGAAAGACACATAGGCAGGTTACTGACAACCAGGATTCCTAATCTATACCAATCAAGGATTTGAAACAAATAATCACATTATGGTGCACCTAAGGGAAATAATTTGAAACGAGTCACCATAGATGAAAAGGATCCCCACCTCCTGAAAAATTAAGTGAATTGGAAAGCTAAAAGCATTGATTTGAAAGACTATGTATCGTGAAGATGTTAACAGTTAGGTATTGTTTGGTAAGCCTGGAAAATGAGGTAAGGTTCAGATGTGTATAGATTAATACTTTATTAAACTGAAATCACCTGAAACAATGAACTATACTTTTGGAATAATATTTAAATGCCACTTCAGAGTAGATCTCCTTGTTAATCTGTTATGACGTCCGTGTTTGAAATTTACAGACGTCTACGCGACAAACTGATAGAAGATGAGCGTCTGCGCCTGGCAATGGAGGTGTCCACCAAGTGCGGCCTGGACACAGGTGGGGTGTGGGCAGCGTGGGGCATGGCCTGTCTACATACAGGGGACTACACTGGGGCCAAGGAGAAGTTCTCCCACACACTCAAGGTAATACTACTTTGTAAAGGAGTGTAGTACAGGTAGCAATCATGACTTTGAAGAGTGGTGTACTACAATGTATCGATCAAATGTCATTGGCTCCACATTTGAAGCTTTGTACAATTTGTGACACTTTGAGACACAATGGCAGGATGACATACAGTGAGCACAATGCCAATGCATTGGTTAAAAAATGGTCATGAAAGGAATATTTTTGCAAAGGAGTGAAATGACAATTTATCATTTATAGCTGAAGAGAGGTAAGGTTTTAAAATATGTCTGGCTTAAGTCATGCAAAATCATTTCATCTTTAAATGATTTTGGGATTACATATCATCCATACTGACAATGGTGCTCAATCAGGGAAAGTTGTCTGATTATTCCCAACAGAGTCCAAATGACAAGAATCAGCTGACCCCTTCATCGCGTCTATTGATGGAGATAGTGGACTACCTGGAGTCAATGCCCATCACTGGTACCACTGAGGTAGGTGATAGTACCTGGAAACAACTTACATAACAGCTTCATCTGCAGAAAATGTATACTTGGAGATGGTTTAATAGATTCTAATGCCGCCTTGCTCTTTGCTTGGATGATCTGTTTATGATAACTATATTTCTAAATGCATGGCATGTACTTGCATTACATATGGTAATTTCTTATTTGCATGTCACTAATAATAATTTGTATGAAACCCTTCACAATTTATTGATTAATCTTTTATTTAATACATTTGGTGGAAAAGAGGTTCTTTTGGTTGCACTGAACTTGATTCTTGTACCAATGGCTGCATGATTCTTTTTGTGAAGTATTTCAGTATATGGCTAGATTTGCAAGAGCGTGTTTGAATGGTGTACCTTGAATGAGAGAGCTAGTCAGTTGATGCTTTTTGACATCACATTCAACAATATTCCGGCTATATCATGGCAGCTAAAACACATTACAGTGCTTCAAGTTAGTGCACATCTATCCTCATTTTGGTAAACCTGGGACAACTCTTAACAGGCGTAAGGTTTCAGAATTGTTTGAATGGTTTAGATCCTTAATTGTCAAAGTCATATTGTCATCATTATGAGTTTTATTACAACAGATGATATTTTTATATGTAATTATATTCAATCAGTATGCATGTTGGAATTGGCATGTAAGCTACTAATATTTCAGTTTATTCTGATTGTGACATGCTAAAGAAGACATTGTGGTGAGGTTGTGTCAATAGTAGTATCAGCAGTTTCTACATCAGACCTGTTCCTCTTTACTGATAGCAGTTTCTACTTCAGGACTGTTCTTCTCTACCTTCCTTCTTTGTTCGGGATTGTTTCTGTCAGGAGTTTCTACTTTAGACATCATCTTCTCAACCTTCTTTGTTCTGGGCATTGTTTCTGTCAGGAGTTTCTACTTTAGGCATCATCTTCTCAACCTTCTTTGTTCCAGGATTGTTTCTGTCAGGAGTTTCTACTTTAGGCATCATCTTCTCAACCTTCTTTGTTCGGGATTGTTTCTGTCAGGAGTTTCTACTTTAGACATCATCTTCTCAACCTTCTTTGTTCTGGGCATTGTTTCTGTCAGGAGTTTCTACTTTAGGCATCATTTTCTCAACCTTCTTTGTTCCAGGATTGTTTCTGTCAGGAGTTTCTACTTTAGGCATCATCTTCTCAACCTTCTTTGTTCCAGGATTGTTTCTGTCAGGAGTTTCTACTTTAGGCATCATCTTCTCAACCTTCTTTGTTCTGTCAGGGATTGTTTCTGTCAGGAGTTTCTACTTTAGGCATCATCTTCTCAACCTTCTTTGTTCTGGGATTGTTTCTGTCAGGAGTTTCTACTTTAGGCATCATCTTCTCAACCTTCTTTGTTCCGGGATTGTTTCTGTCAGGAGTTTCTACTTTAGGCATCATCTTCTCAACCTTCTTTGTTCCGGGATTGTTTCTGTCAGGAGTTTCTACTTTAGGCATCATCTTCTCAAATTGTTTCCTTCTTTGTTTCTCAACCTTCTTTGTTCGGGATTGTTTCTGTCAGGAGTTTCTACTTTAGGCATCATCTTCTCAACCTTCTTTGTTCCGGGATTGTTTCTGTCAGGAGTTTCTACTTTAGGCATCATCTTCTCAACCTTCTTTGTTCTGGGATTGTTTCTGTCAGGAGTTTCTACTTTAGGCATCATCTTCTCAACCTTCTTTGTTCTCGGGATTGTTTCTGTCAGGAGTTTCTACTTTAGGCATCATCTTCTCAACCTTCTTTGTTCTGGGATTGTTTCTGTCAGGAGTTTCTACTTTAGGCATCATCTTCTCAACCTTCTTTGTTCTGGGATTGTTTCTGTCAGGAGTTTCTACTTTAGGCATCATCTTCTCAACCTTCTTTGTTCGGGATTGTTTCTGTCAGGAGTTTCTACTTTAGGCATCATCTTCTCAACCTTCTTTTTTCGGGATTGTTTCTGTCAGGAGTTTCTACTTTAGGCATCATCTTCTCAACCTTCTTTGTTCCGGGATTGTTTCTGTCAGGAGTTTCTACTTTAGGCATCATCTTCTCAACCTTCTTTGTTCCGGGATTGTTTCTGTCAGGAGTTTCTACTTTAGGCATCATCTTCTCAACCTTCTTTGTTCCGGGATTGTTTCTGTCAGGAGTTTCTACTTTAGGCATCATCTTCCCAACCTTCTTTGTTCCGGACCTTTTTCTGTAAATGGTGTTTTCTTCAGGACACTTCTTCTCTACATTCCTTCTTTGTTCTGTTCTTTTTCTGTCAGGAGTTTATTACTTCAGGATTCTTGTTTTGTGAGTGAACAAGTGAGCGAGCTAGCGAGCGAGCAAGTGAGTGAGTGAGTGAGTAAGTGATTAGGGCTTTACACCACTTTTAGCAATATTCCAATATCTCCTGGGACTCCTTATATTGACTTCACACAATGTATCCATATGTGGAATCAAACCTGGTGATTGGTGTAATGAGTAATGCTTTAACTGCTAGACTCACTCCTCTCTATGCAATATGAGAAAGGGATGTAGACCAAACATGGGCACTTACTACACTGGATCATTCCAACCAAAACATGGATGATAATAAACTGTGCTACAAAAGCAACGTTTAGTGTTCAAAATCATGACCCCGTTCACTGCAAACATCTCAGAGAGAAGTGTCACCAAGATTTGTGTGTAGTTTCTGAGTAGTGTGAGTCTTTCATCAGATCCAGATGCTATTGTCCAGCCCAGCTTCCATGAAGAGTCTCATCAACCTGCCATCAGCTGTGAGTCTTAAGTTCATGCCAAGTGCATGCTTAGTGTGGATCCTTCCCTCAGTGTCTGTCATTCTTTAATGTCCTTGCTTTACTAATCACAGGTCAATGAAGTGCTGTAGTTAATGTTTAACTTTCATTGTTGAACATTTATCATATGCCTGATTTGTTTTTATGAATGGCACCAGTTTTGAAAGAAGGTATTTCTCAACATAAACATGATAAAGAATTTAACCATTTTTGTGTTTTTGAAAAGAATGTATATTTCAAGATGTTGTTGAAGTAAGAATAATGGAGATACAACATAGACATGATAAAAAATTGAACCATTTTTGTGTATTTGTCAAGAATGTATGTTTCAAGATATTGTTGTTAATGTACGAATAATTGAGAGACAAAATACCCTGAACACGCTTGATACATTAACTCAATCATTGTGTGTGTATATTCATTGCAAATCATTCTTGTCTCATATATGGCAGCCAGTTCATAGCTATTGTTCTTATCTCTCACAATAAAAGAGTTCATTTACCACTGTTACTTCTTTCTTCTCTGGTAAACTGATTTCAAATCAGAGTCATGGGTGGATGAGAGAGTTGTTTCACAGAGGCCATGTGTTTTCTGACACAAATGTATACACAAATGTAATTCAAGAGGATGTGTGTTGCTAAATATATATGTTTCCAAATATAATTGGAGGATGACATATGTTCCCCACTGTATTCAAAGGTTATTCATCTCCTAATGCACATGCAATGTGGTATGTGTTCCCCAACACAAATACAAACTATTTAAATTACACCCTCATATGAATGTAAGATTAATTACCCATTAAATTAATGACATCAAATGTCTGCTCACAGAGTCACAGCGAGGAAGGAAGCATTGAGACAACCCAGTTCCAGGAGTGTCTCTTCTACCTTCGCACTTACGGCACATTCCTGGAACATCTGACCTTCCTCCGTCGCAATGGCTACTGGATGAAAGCAGCTCAGTTTGTTCTAAAAAATGTGAGTAGAGTTAGTGCAGAGATCATATACCATATGGAGAGACCATATACCATATGGAAAGATCATATACCATATGGAGAGACCATATACCATATAGAGAGGCCATATACCATATGGAGAGACCATATACCATATGGAAAGATCATATACCATATAGAAGGACCATACACCAAATGATGAGGCCATATACCATATGGAGAGACCATATACCATATATGGAGAGGCCATATACCATATGGAGAGATCATATACCATATAGAGGGACCATATACCAATGGGTCTGGTTAGTGACTGTTGGTATTCTGGTGCACTACTGAAACATCCGACCTTCAACTGCCATATACCATATGGAGAGGCCATATACCATATGGAGAGACCATATACCATATGGAGAGATACCATATACCATATAGAGGGACCATATACTATATGGAAAGGCCATATACCATATGGAGGGACCATATACCATATAGAGGGACCATATACTATATGGAGAGGCCATATACCATATAGAGGGACCATATACTCTATGGAGAGGCCATATACCATATAGAGGGACCATATACTATATGGTATTCTGGTGCACTACGAAACATCTGACCTTCAACTGCCATATACCATATGGAGAGACCATATACCATATGGAGGGACCATATACCATATAGAGGGACCATATACTATATGGAGAGGCCATATACCATATGGAGAGCCATATGCCATATACCATATGGAGAGACCATATACCATATGGAGAGAAACATCTGACCTTCATATACCATATGGAGAGACCATATACCATATGGAGAGACCATATAGAGGGACCATTACCATATAGAGGGACCATATAGAGGGACCATATACATATATATATATGGCCATATACCATATGGAGGACCATATACCATATAGAGGGACCATATACTATATAGGCCATATACCATATGGAGAGACCATATACCATATGGAGGACCATATACCATATAGAGGATATGGAGAGGAGAGAGGACCATATACCATATACCCCATATATTGAGAGACCATATACTATATGGAGAGATCATATACCATATGGAGAGACCATATACCATATAGAGGGACCATATATTGTATATGGAGAGGCCATATACCATATAGAGGGACCATATACCATATGGAGAGACCATATACCATATGGGTCTGGTTAGTGACTATTGGTATTCTGGTGCACTACTGAAACATCCGACCTTCAACTCCCACAATGACAACTGGATGAACAAAGCTCTGTTTGGAAAACTGTTACTTTACTTGGTTCAGTTTTTAGTAAGAAATTTTGTTTATTGTCAACAGTGTTTGTAACTTTGTCTATTTAAAGGCATATGCTTCAAAAGCATCAGTAATAGTAAATCTGGAGTATTAATTGTTTTGTATTATAATTTTTCTGAATTCTATCCTGCCCTTTGAAATACTGATGAATTGTATTTTCGATACATATAGCTTCAGATAACATCTATTGTTTGATAAGTCCATTAAAATGTATATATTTTACCTTTAAGAAAACAATATATACAATGGGTCTTTTCCTCAGTGCTGTATTGGCTGTATATTTGTGCAGAGATGCTCCAGTGAGGTGTTTGTTGAGGTGTTGCTGACGTCGGCGCTGATGTCCGGGGAGCTGGGGAAGTTGCTGGACCAGATGTTGATGCTGGATGCCAGCCTGGAGAAGTGGAACCCTTACCTGACTGCCACCTGCAAATATCTCCTGAAACACAAGCTCCTCAATGCCCTCCATCAGGTCCAGCTCTTTATGAAGGTGAGACAGATACATTTGTAATCTTATCACATTGTGTCTTTTTTATGATGCTTTGGGTAACAGTTGAGGAGGCTCATTGTTGGCGTCCTTCATGAATATGTAACACAATCTTTCAAGTGTCTTCAAAATTAAATAAAAAGACAAAACTAAGCAACTGCCTATCCTTGTCTAGTTTAACTCAAATTCTTCTTGTGTATGTTTAGAGTTCAGTTTTTGTTGGTACATATATTATAACATCCAACTTAATGTCCTCCATGTTCATGTTTTCTTCCTATATTTCATCCTCCTCCATTATCAAATGTATTTTACCTCCATCCTAACATAAGAAATAACATTGACCCTTTCAACTTCAAAGTTTCCTCTTGACAGTGATGTCAGTATCTCTGTGACACTAGATTAACACATAAGGTCTGATTATGATCTCATGTCTTCATTGAGTCATGCCATTTAAATCGGCCTTAAAATGAACTATGGTAGTGAATTGGTGCAGGTTACTTAACAACCTGGAGATTGTACAACCTACAAGATGTATTCAAGGTTGATATGTCATAGACAGTATATGTTGTTGGTCTTCAATCTCTGCACAATGCAATAAAATTTCATGTTATTTGTTTATCGCCAGGACTACATACGAGCAGCCATGACCTGCATCACCCACTTCTACCAACGTGGGGCCCAGAGTTACCTTGACCTTGCTGGCCATCTACAGTTCCTGTTCATGGCCCAGCAGCACATGCAGGCGTTCCTCGACCCTTCCAAGTGGGACAGTGTCCGCCACCCAAACAGCAGCCCCTCCATCAGGAAGGGACCAGATTGGAGCGGACACACTGAATCGGCTGTCAGACTTGTCCTCACCCCAGATGAAGTCACCAAGTGAGTTGTATGATGTGATCTTCATAGATTGTCCTCATGGCATACATCATAATAATGTTATTATATGTATTATATGCTGGGAGGATTCAATGGTCAGAATGGATCTCCAGTGTTTCATTGACCAATGAAGCACAGTTAGTCAGATTGTGGAGTCTGACTCATTGTGTGTCTGGATTCTGCATCCTGGAATGGATAGACACTCATGTTATCAACAGGGATAAGAATTTTCCATGGATCTGCGGAATTTTGCAGATTTGATCGCGCTGGGATCATTCTTGTGAATCGTCCCAACCTGCGACCCTCAAGACACCCAGCTCATTTTCCTCTTTTTTCACTCATACCCATTCTCATCCCTGTATCAAGACTTGAATATTTGCAAGCTGCTTACAGTCCATTTGAGACAAAATGACACCGATGAATTGCAATCTAACACAAACAAATCGACATAAAAGAATCAAACCAACGCGGACTGCAATTAAAACAATAGACCAACTCTAGAAAACAATTGCATAATTTTTGTCACAAAAATAAAAAAGTTGTTTAAGAAACTCATCATTTATTTGTGCGTTTTCCAAGTTTGTTACAAGGGCGCATTGGCAACTAAAGGAACAACAAAAAAAGCACATGCATTAGTGAGAGGTGAGGTGAGGTGAAATTGGGTTAGCCATGCTTGAGACGCCAGAGACATGTCATTATGTGCGGCCTGCTTGTACTAGCCCAGACTGCTGGTCTTTATTGACAAAGCGAGAGAAGCATGAATACCCCCCACTCAGTCTATAATTTACAAAGTCTATGATCTTTGCCGAGCTGTGACAGGGACCAACAAATATTTTAACGCTCTTTTTGGTATGACGCGGGTGGATCAACCCAAGAATGCAATTGGGTGGAAAACCACTACACGCGACGCGGCATTAGTGCCTGTGATTGACAAAGTGAGAGAATATGAAAGTCTATAATTTTACAAAGTCTGTGTGATTTTCTCAAGGATGAAAATGCCAGGGCTGACCCAGGTAAGTGATTGTTGAGACAGTGCACTGCCTGTGTAGCTTACGCGTCATCTCGCCAGCTCAAAAGTTTGTTGGAGAATAACGCAGTGTATCTCGCTTTTAGCTTGTTCCTTTAGTTGCCAATGTTCCTTAACATCTGGGATTTGAACCCGCACCCTCAGAGTGCACCTAATCGAATCCCAGATGGGACTCAACCCATCTGGGATCTGTACTTTACTAAGACTGTAATCCCAAATATAACCACATTTGACCACTTTCTGGCATTGTGAGTCAGTGGGGCGTGCTTTCAATTAACACTCTTATCAGAGTGGTACACAAAACTGCCTGATTGGAGTGGCTGAGCAAGTCCAGGCTCAAGGTGCCTGACTCAGAAAGTACCTAGAATCTGTATCTGTTTACTAAGAAAGTGTAATCCCAAATATAACATATGTTACATTTGACCACTTTCTAAAATGGCATTGTGCATTTCATAGCTTTCGGCCATGGGAGCCGTGCCAATTAACACTTATCAGAGGGGTACACAAAGTCCGCAGTCTAGACAACCAGTTATCCGACTTCCATTTTTGTGGAAGCCGCAGTGGCTGAGCGGTCTAGGCGTCTGACTTTGTGTGCTGGTGATTAGTTGCCTGACTCTGAGGGTGTGGGTTCGAATCCCGGATGGGACTCAACCCAGAAAGTACTAGAATCTTTGTGCTTTACTAAGAAAGTGTAATCCCAAATATAACATATGTTACATCAGCTATTTGTTTTTGTATTTTAGACACATCCGGACAATCGCACTTCAAATTGAGGTCACAAAGTTCCTGGAACAGTGCCTGACCAATCAGGAAGCAGAATCCACTGCTCTTGCTGCCAGCTATGTGGTGGAATCCCAGGCTTGCAACCTACCTACCATGTTTGGTAACAGTAAGGCCAGGGCTGACCTAGTCAGTATGGTGAGTTGTGAGCAAATACCATTAAATAGGTTGGTGGAGTAGTGTGTGGCTTCTGTCATTGATCATCACACCAAACAAACAGGTTCAATACCAACATTTTTTGAAGCCCATCTCTGGTACTCTATGCCTTGTTGTGGCTGGATCTTAAAAAAATGGCATAACTTCCTGGCACAGATAGACCTGATTGTCACAGATAGACCTGATTGTCACAATATTGCTTAAAATTCATTAAGCAGTATTCACTAACTCTAGACCCAGTTGCTTTTGGCCAATCAATTGCATGTTTATATGGCCTTTCTTCCAAATATGGCTTGAATGAAAATGACTTCTAAAACATTCTTCTAAAAGTGTGGCTCATATTTGAAACTCTGAAAATTTTAGTGCTTTTATTTAAGATTTGTGAGGGAAATGTGACATGTTTGTTACAGATTCTGTTGAGTGGAAATGACATCTCAATCAGCTTCGATCTGGCAATCAGAATAATTCAGGTAAGATACAGTAATGAACTCCCTGAAGCTTGTACAAGCTGTGTGCATCATAGCTGTGGTGGACATGGTTTCTCGATTGTTTGTGCCTTAATGATTTATGGTCCTTTCAACATTTTCATTTTATAATATTGACATAGTACATCATTTTAAAATATTGACATAGTACATCATTTTAAAATATTGACATAGTACATTTGTAACTATCCGAGGGAAAAGATTTATATAGAGTGTGAAAGCAAAGTTTTGGTTTCGTATCTTTAAGGGTGAAAAGACATTGCCATATTCTTGGGCATTTTGTCTCACTGATTACTTTATTTGGTGTACTAGTATTGGGTTCACAGGGGGACATGGGTATTGAGCAAGGGAGATAATTCTATATTTTTCCTTATCCTGACTCATGCTCTTTTGCTTGTCTTCTTCTTCTTGCGAACATAGTGGAACACTTGTATCTCCCTAATTGAAGCTCCCTTCAATGTAAAATCACTAATTAGTACTCACCAAGAGTTGCCTCCCTTTCCAAATGCGCGGGAAAGGAGGCGCCACCTCTTCCCTCATGCTTCACTCTCTCCTTCTTTGCCCAGTGAGCAGGATGTGAGAGCGCCTGTGTCTCCCTACACACTATATCCTTTGATTATTCTTAGTTAGTTACCTCTTATAGTCTTCTATAGAGGTGTAGCTAGTATCCTTCAACAATTATGTATTGATATTTATTCGTAATTCTGCTGTTTATTCACGGGACGCCGTGATTGTTCAGCAAGTTTACGTTGATGAAAATCTGTACTGTTTATAGATAACGTTTTTCTGCTGCTGATCCGCATTTAATATGCCCTAGCTGTACTGCACCATGTGCGTTTTCTTCACGTTGCAGTTACTGTAATAATTTGTCTAATTCTGCTTTTAACAAATATTATCTTTGCGTCTTGAGACGCGCAGCAGATAGGTCACGCAAACAGGGTTTAGCCATGGCCGATACTTCGGAACCCCTCGCCGGTCAACTGCTGTCGGATCTGACCCCTCCCGTCTGGTGTTCCGCTAGAGTTACCCTCGGAGGAGGGGCGTGGGACGCAGTCCGCCGTCTCCAAGAAGCATCCTGCATCCCCAGACGTCCCGTCGTCGCAGCCAAAGACTAAGAGGGCTTCTACATCATCTCAACGCAGACTCCTAGCCCCAGGGCAGCGTCTACCTCCAAGGGGAAATCGACGAAGTCTACTAGCAGTGTAGGAAAGATGTAGAAAATCTAGCCTGTCCACAGGACTGGCAGGTCAAATTTTTTACCAGTCCTGCCAAAATCTAGCCTGTCCTCCAAATATAAATAAAACACCTTCGGCAGTAAATATTCAAAAAGGTTATAATCATTATATATATGTCATTGGTTTGCTAAAATTGACCCGACATGAGGACGGACTAGATATTTTTTTAACCCGTCCTCCACAAAATTCACCCGTCTCGGACGTTGGGACGGGCTATCTTTCCTACACTGCTACTAGAACCTTCTCAGCCGAGATTGTTCCCGCCGCAGAACTGGGCCTGTATGATGATCAGCTGATTCGGTGTGAATCATCAGATTACCATTCTGTAGATCATCATACCTGATCTACGCCACAAGAAGCGACCGGTGTCGGCAACAGTGACATCAGCGCAGATCTACACGCAGCCTGATGTACCAACGCTGATGTCTGACGATCTTCCTGAGGGTCCCATCGCTACCAATGCAGAGAGGGCACCGACTACATCTTCGCAGACCGTCCCAGACGACCTGGTGATTAAGATCATGAAGATGATGGAAGACCGATACGGACTGGAGAGACAACCAGCCCAGAGCCTGAGCCTTCGCGAAGGCTCCAATGTAGACGTCACCCCAGAGGGACCCCCTGTCAACGCAGCGGCCGCTACAAAGTCATCACTGGGGAAGCCACCTCCGCGAAGGACGTCACAGCCCATCTCCGCGAAGGACCCAGATGTACAGAGCCCGCGAAGGCCTTCGCGAAGGACATCTAGATCGTCATCTACTTCGGACTCCGATGATCAACGCCACGAAGAGGTTTTCGCTGTGAAGGAATCCTCGGATCCTCTCATCCCCGTGACTCAAGTCGTCACTCCCCAGGACCGGACTCAGATGAAGCTTCGCGAAAGGGCACCAGTTACAGGCTCCAAGTCATCTTCATCTAGAAGGTCATCGAGGGATTCCCAAAGAGCTTCGCAAAGCTATCAACGTTCACCACACAGATCTCCGCGAAGGTCACCATATAGACGCAGCTCGTCAGGCCGTTCTCCACGCCGTTCGCCACGCCGATCACCTTGTCGTTCACCTCGCCGATCTCCTCTTAGGTCACCACGTCGATCTCCTTGCAGGTCTCCACACCGTTCGCCTCACAAGTCTTCACGGAAGTCACCAGACAGGTCTCCGTTGACGTCACCTTGCACAGCTGTAAAAGTATACAGGTCTCCACCTCAGTCACCATCGGAAGAGCATCAACCTCTTATCAGCGATCCCGTTACAGAAGATGATGGAGGCATCATCTTCTCCGACGCAGAAATACGCTATTGGATGGTTAACAACCTGGACCTATCTTCACCTTCCAAGAACGGTAATCCGGCCAACACCTATCTCATGAGGGAGGACGATGCAGATACCATCACCCTACCTCCGATGGACCCGATAGCAGCGGTCCCCCAGAATCTGGACACAGCCTTTCATAAAGCCACTAAAGCCCAGGCGCCGGACTTACCACAGTTCAACGCCAAAAAGTTCTCAACCCATAATATGGATCCATTTTTCAAGGCACAAGATATCGACGATAACTTCAAAGTAATCAACGATGCAAAGAATAAGACCTACAAGATTGACGACCGCAAGCTGGTTCAGATCGAAACCATGACAAGGAGGATGTTCTTTGGCCTTAACAGATCAAGAACGATTAATGAGACTCTCCTCACGTCAGCCCAAGACATGACAGTCAGAGGCAGACTACAGTTACATCCGTTACAGGTCCTCATCAACGCTCATCTTGACGACCTACAGCCATTCAGTCTACCGAAACACATCAGACCTCATCTACTGTGGTGGACCAGGAGGTCGAATGTCTGCGAAGGCATCTATTTAACAGAGCCGGAATTCAAAACCCATCTCTATGTAGATGCGTCGCTCCAAGGTTGGGGAGCTCATCTCGCCAACCGGACGGCATCAGGGTTATGGAACCAGCAAGAGAGCAAGCTGCACATAAACATGCTAGAAATGAAAGCAGTAATCAACGCCTTACTACATTGGAGCACCATTCTACAGAATGGTAATCTGATGATTCACACCGACAACTCAACAGTGGCGTTTTATGTAAACAAACAAGGCTCAACGAGATCATTGAACCTATTGACTCTATGCTTTCAACTGTTCGATCTAATCGACGATCTCAACATACATGTCAGAGCATGCCACATTCCGGGAGCCAAGAATGTACTAGCAGACGCACTCTCTCGGCCACATCTACCGTCACCGACAGAATGGATGCTCCATACAGAAATCTTTGCACAGATTATCAAGGGAAATAGGAGCTCCGCTTAGTAGACCTATTCGCCACTCGCTTCAACAATCAGCTAACAACATTCGTATCACCAGTCCCGGATCCACAAAGCGTGGGCAACGGGGCGCTCTAAGCATATCCTGGGAAGGCCTCAGCGATGCGGCCGCCGCGCCAGCTAATCCCACAAGTGTTACAGAAAATCAGACAAAGCGCCAGAGCCTCCAACTGATTTTGGTCATTACAGCTCTACTGGCCAGCCGAGCGTGGTTTCCCATTGTAATTTAAAAAATCGGACAACCAACCCTAGAGCTACCAAAGCTCGAATCTACTAATACATCCTCACACCAAACAAGCGACGGAAACCCAGAAGCATTCCAACTTCACGTATGGACTGTATTAAAGTGTGTCTAAACAAGAGAGGTTATTCAGCCAGAGCGGGGAAAGCAGTCACGCTTTGTTTTTACGAAGTTCTACGCTAACTTGTATGACGACAAGTGGCACAGTTTTGAAACATACGCTGCTAAGAAGGGATTTACAGCGAGAAATGCTACACATCCACAAGTGGCTGACTATCTGTGTTACCTACGACAAAATAAACATTTAAAAGGCTCGACATTGTCAACATATCTCGCGGCTCTAAGTTCTGTGATAACTATGAGAACGGGTGTCAAGCTAACCAAGACGCCAGAGTTACTGGCCTTACTACACGTTCATTCCATTGGAGGATCAGAAACAGAGATTTCAAGGCTCCAGCATGGGATCTAAATATAGTGCTCCAACACCTCACAAGTGAGGCCTATGAACCTCTGGAATCAACAACTTTGAATTTCTGTCACAGAAAACATTGTTCCTGTTATCCCTAGCAACGGCAGCCAGGATGTCAGAAATTCACGCACTAGATTATGAGAGAATACGCTTTGACGACAATCAAAACATAGTGCATATGGGACTCGCGATGGGATTTTATCGCCAAGAATCAATTGCCAGGTCAACCAGACAGATTATTCCATGTTCCTGCACTCTCCTCAATTCTCGGACCTCAAGATACGCTTGACCTATCTCTATGTCCAGTCAGAGCACTCAAAAATCTATCTACAGCGATCCAAAACAAGGTGACGACAACTCAAGCTGATTATTCATCCCTCTATCGACAGCGACTCAGACCGAAGTCTCGTGCCACCATATCGATATTGATCAGAACTGTCATGCCGTGCCTACAAGGCTGCAGGACTCGACCCTCCAAGAGCATCTAATCCCCATGAGATCAGAGCACTGGCTTCCACACTCGCTCTACACGGAAATTGCTCATTGAATACCATTATGGAGGGCTGCTTTTGGAAATCCGACATGGTGTTTGCTAACCACTATCTGAGAGATATCACCACCGAGGACGCCTCAGGTATTTACCATTTCGGTCCCATGGTCCCCTCGACAGCAGTTGACAGTCCTCGTAGAGATCGATGAGACATAGTCTCACGAGATTATTATGTATATATCATACCAGTATCATCTAGCTTATAACTCTACGGAGTTTTGGTGCTAATTATATACATATCTTAAGTCTACATTAGTCTTAAGCCCAGTACTGATGTTTGGGTCGCTTCTCCACTTTGGAGTCGCTTTTTATACCATTATTACTATTATCATAGTATCTATTATTGTAGTACCCCCATCTATGGCAGCTGGTAGAACTTATGTTTATAGTAGCAAGAATTATCCTAATTCAGTGCCATTATGAAGTTCCCGTAGGGGGTTATTACATATATATATAAATCACTAATTATTTAAATCCAAAGTATTCTGTTTTCCCACCTCCGTTTCCGTGGGATTCTACAAAGCAAAGAGCATGAGTCAGGATAAGGAAAATATGTAATTTTCTGAATAAAATTGATATTTTATACTTATCCTGACTCATGAGGTAAGCCCTCCCATCCTCCCCACATAACACTTTGGATTTCCCTGTAAATTCAAGTGTTGGGCTCGCTAAAACAGGAGAGAGTGAAGCATGAGGGAAGAGGTGGCGCCTCCTTTCCCGCGCATTTGGAAGAGGGAGGCAACTCTTGGTGAGTACTAATTAGTGATTTTACATTGAAGGGAGCTTCAATTAGGGAGATACAAGTGTTCCACTATGTTCGCAAGAAGAAGAAGACAAGCAAAAGAGCATGAGTCAGGATAAGTATAAAATATCAATTTTATTCAGAAAATTACATTTATATACGACTTCTTTATTGCAATGAATGTAATGTTTAGGTGTAGATACTATCACTGTTATCAAGCAAATGAGTATTTCAGTGTTAGTATTTACATGGAAATTTAATGCTCATTGTAATATAGGAGTTGTATATCCATATAATTATCTCCCTTGATCCTCGTACCAACACCTGTATGTGCCATTTAAGGCAGAACAGGACTTGACATTCTGTATGCCCATTACAAGTATAAACAAGTTAAATATGTTTTTAGAGATAGAGCACTCATTTACAAACATCTACTTTAATTTGTTTACTTTTGTAATAATTATGAGGCAGTATACCCCATTTTTCATTGTGAGAGAAATCTGTAGTAGGGACAAGAAGGTAAGGACTGTAATGTACGTTTTTCATCTTTGTAGGGCATGATTATAAAGATTACTTACAGATTGCTCAAGAAGTAAGTCAGGGTGCTTATTGGAGCAGGATGATAAACACAACCATACAACATATCATTTTGTGTTTAGGAAAAGTCGACTGACATCTACCAGTATATTCACACACACTGCACGAGATGGCCAAACACAAGCACTATGCTCTTATCAGGACGCATGCTGGACTGTGTGGAGCAGTCACGGATCGGCAATGATGACACGCTTGATGAGATCATCAGAGCTTCCTTGCTTGTCCTGGCTGACAAGGAGAGTGAGGTAGGTGAACACTGTACTTGCTGACAAGGAGAGTGAGGTAGGTGAACACTGTACTTGCTGACAAGGAGGGTGAGGTAGGTGAACACTGTACTTGCTGACAAGGAGAGTGAGGTAGGTGAACACTGTCCTTGCTGACAAGGAGAGTGGAGGTGTAGCTGTGAACACTGTAAGGTTTGCTGACACTGTGAGAGCTGACAAGTAGGTGAACACCTGTACACTACTTGCTGACAAGGAGAGTGAGGTAGGTGAACACTACTTGCTGACAAGGAGAGTGAGGTAGGTGAACACTGTACTTGCTGACAAGGAGAGTGAGGTAGGTGAACACTGTACTTGCTGACAAGGAGAGTGAGGTAGGTGAACACTGTACTTGCTGACAAGGAGAGTGAGGTAGGTGAACACTGTACTTGCTGACAAGGAGAGTGAGGTAGGTGAACACTGTACTTGCTGACAAGGAGAGTGAGGTAGGTGAACACTGTACTTGCTGACAAGGAGAGTGAGGTAGGTGAACACTGTACTTGCTGACAAGGAGAGTGAGGTAGGTGAACACTGTACTTGCTGACAAGGAGAGTGAGTGAGGTAGGTGAACACTGTACTTAATGACAAGGAGTGAGGTAGGTGAACACTGTACTTGCTGACAAGGAGAGTGAGGTAGGTGAGGTACTTGGTGACAAGGAGGAGAGTGAGGTAGGTAGGTGAACACTGTACTTGCTGACAAGGAGAGTGAGGTAGGTGAACACTGTACTTGCTGACAAGGAGAGTGAGGTAGGTGAACACTGTACTTGCTGACAAGGAGAGTGAGGTAGGTGAACACTGTACTTGCTGACAAGGAGAGTGAGGTAGGTGAACACTGTACTTGCTGACAGAGTGAGGTAGGTGAACACTGTACTTGCTGACAAGGAGGTGAACACTGAACACTGTACTTGCTGACAAGGAGAGTGAGGTAGGTGAACACTTGCTGACAAGGAGAGTGAGGTAGGTGAACACTGTACTTGCTGACAAGGAGAGTGAGGTAGGTGAACACTGTACTTGCTGACAAGGAGGGTGAGGTAGGTGAACACTGTACTTGCTGACAAGGAGAGTGAGGTAGGTGAACACTGTACTTGCTGACAAGGAGAGTGAGGTAGGTGAACACTGTACTTGCTGACAAGGAGGGTGAGGTAGGTAGGTGAACTTTAGGACAAGGAGGTGAGGACAACTGTGGGTGAGGTAGGTGAACACTGTACTTTATGACAAGGAGAGTGAGGTAGGTGAACACTGTACTTGCTGACAAGGAGAGGTGTGAGGGAGAGTGAGGTGGTGGTGAACACTGTGTCTGCTGACAAGGAGAGTGAGGTAGGTGAACACTGTACTTGCTGACAAGGAGAGTGAGGTAGGTGAACACTGTACTTTATGACAAGGAGAGTGAGGTAGGTGAACACTGTACTTGCTGACAAGGAGAGTGAGGTAGGTGAACACTGTACTTGCTGACAAGGAGAGTGAGGTAGGTGAACACTGTACTTGCTGACAAGGAGAGTGAGGTAGGTGAACACTGTACTTGCTGACAAGGAGAGTGAGGTAGGCTGAACACTGAGACTTGAGGTGAACACTGTGACACTGACAAGGAGAGTGAGGTAGGTGAACACTGTACTTGCTGACAAGGGAGAGTGAGGTAGGTGAACACTGTACTTGCTGACAAGGAGAGTGAGGTAGGTGAACAGGGTTCCTAGTGAGAGGACTTAGCGGACTTCCACGAGTGAGTTAAAATTTATAGTACACACACATTGGCAGTATTTCAGCCATATCTTGAAGAGAACTTATGCATTATATGTCGGAAATAATTTACTTTTGTAAATATTGCCCTTGTTGAGAGGCTTTCAAATTTGTTTACAGAAAACCTATAAAGTTTTAATTCAGGGCCCCAATCCACAAAGCATTTGTAACGTTACAACCTGTGGCAATTCTACAGTTTAACATAGGCCTATGAATGTTGTAGTGCTATGAACTCTTTAGGATTTGGACCTTGATTAACCAATGTATTTTCTTGTGTATTCTCAGTCAACCCATTGTTCTAACAAAGTAAATATGAAATCCATGTTTAGTCATCAACAAAATGACATCAAGATTCAAACTGCTGCTTCACAAATAATCAAGCAGATTCTGACGATGTAGATTGTCAAAAACACCATCTGTTGACATGGTTAACTTTTTTTCCAGGTGAAAGAAGTTGACAATCTGATCAAACTCCTCCGCAAAGATTCTAACAAGGTTTGTGTCTCCTTCTTCTACTGAAAATCTACTTAAATATAGAAAGTATTGTTTCATTTAAGATTATTTTTCACACTTTAATGTTTAATGTGTGTACCCGGTCCAATTTCCTGTGAATTAAAAGTAAATCTGTTCAACATTTACGTAATCTTTTCATGATTATTTTGCCCCACAGTATTGGCATAAGTAGAAAGATTCATCCTCGTCAAATAACATCAGGTGATTGTCACTTGTGTTTGATGATACATGGCATTATTTACAATGAATGTGAGTAGAACAGAAGAAAATATTCCAAATTTTTCTACAGCAAGGATTACACAGGCCTTTTTTCAAAAAGGCAGAATTTGAGATCTTGAAAAGGGTTAAAAACTATCAAAACCAATAAATGACCTGAAAATCTTTTGAGCTTTAAAGCCACATTGTTGAATCTGTAATATGTTTGAGGAAAATATTTTTTGTTCATTACTAGTACATGTTATTCGACTTATCCAGATTAATGCATTTATCCTGTGTGGGAAGTTGAGTTCGGCGTACCTGCTGGCAGTGAAGGGGGAGCGAGTGGAGGATGTGCAGCGGATTGCAGGGGCAGCACAGCGCTTGAACCAGGGTGCAGTCAGGAACATCTGCAACAAATGGCTGCAGCAGAGGAAGTAGCTACCAGGCATCTCTTGTTGATATTGTATGATGATTTATACAGTGTACAGAAAAGCAATTGCTCTGGAGGTCAGGGTTTGGGGCACAAGTTAAACAATAGGTTGCTTTATTTCTAATATTTCTAATTTGTTTTTACAGACAAACTTGAGACATGAAGATGTATGTAAATATCTAATTTTATTGTATAGGAAATTACCTATTTTTTGAAAATTATGAAAGGAAACTAATGTTTCCTCATGTTTAAACTGTAAAAAAATCCAAACAATTTTGCCTTTTATTGAACAGAAAATCTATGTAAAAATATACAGTTGTTTGAGAAATAATATTTTCTTAATATCCTTATTGTTCCTGTGCTTAGAAAAGTTTGTTTGTATTGTGAATAGATTTAGTTTAAATCTGCAAATTTCTATTATTTATTACTTTCAGTATATTATAGATACATGACTTGTAAATAATAATGATTGACTGTACAAAGAAAAAAATGTAATATGTGATATGAATCAAGAATATGATGTAGTGGAACTGTTTTGATTTTTCAGATTGAAGTGTTATGACTCCATGTTCTTTCAATTTGATGATACAGTGGCAATCATTATAAAGGGTCTTTAGTTCGTGTGTGCTGATATTTTTTGAAGGTATAATACATTTTTGCTGTTTCAGTGTCCTGCTTTCAGTTTACTGAATATATGTTTTATTTAGGTTCGAGACTAGATCCTGAATATAGTTTCCTTTCTGTGTAGTTTAGTTTTAGTATCTTTTATGTTCATATGTTTTAACTATTTTATGAAAGAAAAGGCATGTATACATTGTATTTTTCGTTTAGAAAAACTCGTTTCAAACTTGTGAAGTATATATTTTATGTTCTACATGCCAACTGAATGTGACACATATTGTCGACATAATTCAAGGGGTACTTTAAACAAAAGCTTATTTAAACGTGCAGAGTAAAGTGCTGCTTGTTTAAAAAATTATTGTGATACAAACATAGTGGCAATATGTATTTATATATGTACACAAATGTAACAAATCAGTAACATTTCAAATGGCTATACTTCCTTGAGGTTCTGTTTGTGCAGTGACAACACTATTAAGTACGAATGGCTTGTGTCATTGACCGTGGCTGACAAACCTACCGATAAGCCTCACAGACAAAAGCTACCGGTACCTAATGTGGGCTTATGTTAAATGTAGAGGAAGGTGAAGGTAACTTTGAGTGTTTGATATATGTTGAGAGTTGAAAGCATATTGATTTCTCCATTTTCATGCAAACAGGTATGAGATGGATTTCCATCATATAGAGCTGCATGTCTGTTTCAGCTTGTTTAAGATACCATATGATCATTTCTTTATCATCCCCAAGGGAAATTTGTTTTGCATCATGCAGTGTTTGAACTTATACTAAGAAAAACCCTTGAAGGACCAGCCCAATATTCACTATTTAAGTATTTATGGATCATAATAAGAACTATTAAATACTTTAATATTGAAAATTGGGGTGGTCCTTAACTTTTTAGTTGAGTATATGATCAGACCCCAAATCTTTTATTGCCTGCTTCGTTTTGCATTTGTCAGAGAGTCATAGATGGGGAGTGAGTGAGTTTAGTTTAAGTCTTTAAATAGCATTTAGAAGTGATGCACATAAAGATGAAATTTATGAATGTCAATTTCTGTTATATGATGAACTCAACGTTTTGGAGTGTAGTCTTACTGCTGCGTCAAGTGATCATTCACCTGAAGGCGTAACAATATACCGGTACACTAAAACGTCCCCAATTTGTTGTAGGTTACTGAAATACATAATTCTTATTCAAAAGCTTTAAACATATTGCATTTCACACAGAGGTGTAAATGCCAAGCTTATGTTTTCTGTATCTAATGGGTAAAATTGACCATTGACATCAAATGATTTCCATTTACATTACATGTACAGTAATTTGTTTATAACTAACGGGGTCATGACGAACTGATGGATATAGCAATTTTTACATGCTGTATATGTAAGTGGAAATGTCTATGATGAGTTACTGTAGTAGTTCCTTATAGCAGTAGTTTACAGTACTTCTGTTTCTGAATTTTATTTGACTTGGTATGTCTTTTATTGTTTCAACATGTGTCAGTATAACCAGTCAAAACATTACATTTAATGAAGTTTCAAACGTTTGTAGAAACACATCCAGATATTTAATGAATATTTTTTGTTGATGAATCATAGGATAATGATAGTGCCATTATTGCTAAGTCTGTTCATCACAAAACAGAAAGACTCTTTCCTGGAAGTACATAGAATTGTTGGAGAATTACAGTGGAGCAGTTAAGCTGAACTCCTGGCCAGCCTGTACTTAGTTAATATCATGTGATAGCTTAGTGTTGTGTTGAAGCCCCAAGTCATCTGGTGCTTGGATTTCACCATGATGTCCAACCCACAAAGACAATGCTGAGGTCACCAAACTTCACAGCTTGTGATCCATGAATGATGCTTATACACAGAGCTTGATTAATGATTGTGATGATGTGCAAGACACTGCAGGGATTATTTTTGTATGAATATTGATGTGAATTATTAGAACAACATTACTGTACTTTTCACATGTCAGTCAGACGTGTGAAGCACACATTATTTGTGTTAATGTTGTATTGACATAACAAACTTTTGATAGTGCTATCTAGAAAGGAGAGTGTGGGTGATGGGTGCTCTTTTAAAACCTAAATGTTATGTTCTGAGGGGAATAACTGAATAAGATTTATTTGGAGTTCATGGAAAAAAGACGATGATTACCACTGAGTTAGAAAGACTAAGTTCTCCTTGTTGTGACACAGCTTAAGTTCATTTTGGTTTGAGGAGTACATATATTTTAGTAGCCATATTTCATCCAATCCTTATGCAGTTATCCCACAACTGAATGCAACCAAATGAAATCAAGAGAGGCTTATTTCATAAACATTTGTATATCTACCTTTCAGAGGTGTTTCGATAAATGATTCAAATGATATCAGGTTCTAAGGAAGTACAGATAACCATATTTACTAGTGAGATGATTTATGATTCTGATTGTCAAAGGTAATTTTCTCTGATATCAGCTTTGTGACATCACAATGATAAAGCATCAGAATCTAGGAAATCATTGTGAAGCGGCCAATCTGAATCAAGACCTTCTGAAGCCAATCCAATGAAAGGAAAAGCCAGTTCATCCTGTAGAATGTTTCCAGCTAGTCTTAACCAGTTGCAAGTTGTTTAAAAAACTGCATCATGTAGTAACATTTGTGGAATTTGACTTTTCAGTGCAGTGTTTATTGAGGTGATTTTTGTAAATTCCATTATATAATGAATAATGGAAGGTGTGAGTGATTGACTGATAAAATGTCATAATGCGAAAACGTGTTGTGAATGTATGGCTAGTAACTGCATCTATTGTGTGTCCTGTTCCAATATAACATATGTATTTGACGTGTGTCTTGTTCCGAATATTATTAAACTGTTTTATCTGATTCTTCATGATTGTTTTTTGTCTCATTTCCTTACAGTGATGAAGTTTGAATTGGATCCAACACCCACTGAACACTTGTTTTCGGCTCTTGACAAAGTACTCAAGTAATTCAGAAGTTCAGTGTAGGATAAAACCATGCCCAAGAGAACACTTGATGGTGAAATTGTTCTCAACGAGATTCATACATCAAGTGAATTTCACTTCAGGACTAGGGGGAGTATGGTAGCCTTGTGGTTAAAGTGTCCGCTCGTCATGCCATTTCTTGTGTTCCCTATCGTGATATAGCTGGAATATTGCTACTTGAGAACTGGTATTTATCATTTGACTGCTTTTCATAGGTCTTTATAGGTGAGGTGAGGTGAGGTGAAATTGGGTTTAACATCGTGCTTGAGATTATTTCGCTCATATGACAACGTGCATGCGCCTGTATGTGTAAGTGCGGCTGCTTGTACTAGCCCAGACTTCAGCTGGTTTTATAGTGCTAGCCCACTGAGATACCATGCCGTAGTGAAGCATGAATACCCCCCACTCAGACACATTATACTGACTCCAAGCCGACCAGTCCTTGTTGTACCCATTAATGCCGAGCACCAGGTAGGGACCAGCAAGTACCATATTTCAATGTCTTTTGGTATGACGTGGCCGGGGATGAACCCGCAACCTTTTGCTCTCCGGGTGGACGCTCTAACCACTACACCACGGAGGCGGTAGGTCTTTATACCTATGATATTGATTCTGTTCATTTGTCAAGGAGCGGTGGGGTATCCCAGTGGTTAAAGTGTTCGCTCATCACACCTAAGGCCTGGGTTTGATACCCAACTTCGGTACAATGTGTGAAGCTCATTTCTTTTTTTTCCTTTTTTTTATTCATCTTTTTTTTTGTACAAAAACATGACATCAAATCAAAGCCAAATATAAACCATGCGTTTTTATACAGAGTTTGGCGGTATCTCACATTGACAAGCATATCATAACAAATGACATTGTAGGAAAAAGGATCAGTTGTACATTAGTATCAATCAAACAGTAACAAGAAGAGATGGCATGTGTTCTCTCGATATTGTAAATTTTACTAATTTCCTTTCTGATCATATCAAAACTTGGTGTACAAGTATATGTTTGTATTTTAAAAAGGATAAATTTGACAACTATTATCAGGAGATTAAGGACATCGTTCCTTTTATCAGAGAATCCAAATATGATTTTCTTCTGATCGATATTCAATGTGATATCTGTTTTTGTATTTATCCAATTGGAAAATTTATTCCATATATTTCTAGATTTTTGACAATCGTGAAAGAGATGAATTCCGCTTTCTGGTGCATTTTTACAATATGAGCATAACTTACTTTCTACATATCCCATCTTTAACAAAAGTAGGTTTCTTGGTAAGATTCTATGCACTAAAGAATATTGGAACCATGTAAAGTCTGAATTTATGTGAGCTCAAAATATCATCCTTTGATAGGATTTCCATTCTTTTTCACTTATATCTGTTTCAAGTCAATCTTCCCATTTCTTTTTATATTTATATATAGCAGAGTCTAAAATTGGAATAAGTCTATCGTAATATATCTTACAACTTTTCTTATTTCTAAAGATGTCTTGAATGTGATAAGGAATGAATGGTAATTCAAGTTTTTCTCCAAATGGTATGTTGTTTGTTTCAAAATATTGTTTAACTGCTCTTACTAGGCTTGCATATTCTAAGAAGTTCGTTTTTAAATGATTTCTAGTTTGCTCATGAAACTTTTGATATGTATACATTGTTCCATCAGTGTGTATCAAGTCATTTACAAATGCTATGCCTAATTTAGCGTAGTGTGGGTATTCGAATGGTTTTTTATCCAGGAGAATTTGTTCATTGTGCCATTAACATTGCGATAGCATATCGTTGCCATGAACAACTTTTTTATTTTTCAATGACGTATAGGAACCCCATGCTAAAAGAGCGTCTTTCCAAAAGCAGGTGTTTTTTTTATTTGTAGCTCTTTGTTATATAAATGCTTCTCCCTTTAGCAGGATATCTTGTATGTTTTGTGACACATAGGAAAAGATGGCAGTCAATTTGGAGTTATTTAAAAACATTCTCTTAAACCACGCAATTTTTTTAGCATTAATAGTCTGTGTTATGTCGGGCATTCTTAAACCGCCCTCCTCATATATTTGTTTTAGGATATCACGTTTAATCTTATCAGGTTTGTTATACCATACAAAGGAGAAACATAGTTTTTCTAGGTCATTAATAATGTCATTTGGTGGGTAAGGTAGGGCGGAAAATACGCGGTTTATTGTTGGCAAGATTAAGGATTTGGGGATTGTAATCCCACCGAGGGGTGTAAGATTACGAGCTGTCCATATTTGCATTTGTTTTTTTTAAAGTTTGTCTTTATAGTTCCTTTCAACCATCTCAAGCCCATTTCTTGTGTCCCCCCGCCGTGATGTATAGAGAAAACACGCCCCCGAGGTTTTGGTAGAGAATGTAAAACCGAGGGAGGAGGGAGTTCCCTCCTCCTAAGGTTTTAGAAGCGGTGTAAAACCCAAGTTGCTTACAGTCATCTTACGATCTGGTAGAATCCTGCAGCAACCCATGACTTGATTGTTGCATGTCATCATATCCCAAGTGATGAATATTCATAATGTCATTCACTATATTGTCTGGTCTCTGGACAGTAATGATTTATAAGGCACGTGAATTACGTTGATACATTTGGGGAGGATGACATGAGATATTTGGTCCAAGAATGGAGTGGACATTTGGATTGTCAGGGATACTGGTCCAACAATGGAGTGGAGATCGGGATTGTCAGGGGTACTTGTCAAAGGATGGAGTGGAGGTTGGGATTGTCAGGGGTACTGGTCCAACAATGGAGTGGAGATCAGGGATTGTCAGGGGTACTTGTCCAAGAATGGAGTGGAGGTTGGGATTGTCAGGGGTACTTGTCCAACAATGGAGCGGAGGTTGGGATTGTCAGGGGTACTTGTCCAAGAATGAAGTGGAGATCGGGATTGTCAGGGGTACTTGTCCAAGGATGGAGTGGAGGTTGCATTGTCAGGGGTACTGGTCCAAGAATGGAGTGAGATGGGATTGTCAGGGGTACTGGTCCAAGAACGGAGTGGAGAACAAGATTGTCTGGGTACTAGTCCAGGAATGGAGAGGGGATTGGGATTCTCAGGGTACTGGTCCAATAATGGAGTGGAGTTTGGGATTGTCTGGAGCACTGTGTCGAGAATGAAGCGGACATTTGGATTGTCAGGGGTACTGGTACAAGAATGAAGTGGACATTTGGATTGTCAGGGGTACTGGTCCAAAAATGGAGTGGAGGTAGGGATTGTGAGGGGTACTGGTCCAAGAATGGAGTGGAGATTGGGATTGTCAGGGGTACTGGTCCAAGAATGGAGTGGAGGTAGGGATTGTGAGGGGTACTGGTCCAACAATGGAGTGGAGATTGGGATTGTGAGGGGTACTGGTCCAAGGATGGAGTGGAGGTAGGGATTGTTAGGGGTACTGGTCCAACAATGGAGTGGAGATCGGGATTGTCAGTGGTACTGGTCCAAGGATGGAGTGGCGATCTGGATTGTCAGGGGTACTGGTCCAAGAATGGAGTGGAGGTAGGGATTGTGAGGGGTACTTGTCCAACAATGGAGTGGAGATCTGGATTGTCAGGGGTACTGGTCCAAGAATGGAGTGGAAATTGGATTGTGAGGGGTACTGGTCCAAGAATGGAGTGGAAATTGGATTGTGAGGGGTACTGGTCCAAGAATGGAGTGGAGATCAGGATTGTGAGGGGTACTTGTCCAAGGATGGAGTGGAGATCGGGATTGTGAGGGGTACTTGTCCAAGAATGGAGCGGAGATGGGATTGTCAGGGGTACTTGTCCAAGGATGGAGTGGAGGTAGGGATTGTGAGGGGTACTTGTCCAAGAATAGAGTGGAAATGGGATTGTGAGGGGTACTTGTCCAAGGATGGAGTGGAAATCGGCATTGTGAGGGGAACTGGTCCAAGAATGGAGTGGAGATGGGATTGTGAGAGGTACTGGTCTAAGAATGGAGTTGAGATCGGGATTGTGAGGGGTACTTGTCCAAGGATGGAGCGGTGATCAGGATTGTAAGGGGTACTTGTCCAAGGATGGAGTGGAAGTAGGGATTGTGAGGGGTACTTGTCCAAAATTGGAGTGGAGATGGGATTGTGAGGGGTACTTGTCCAACAATGGAGTGGAGAACAGGATTGTCTGGGTACTAGTCCAGGAATGGAGAGGGGATTGGGATTATCAGGGTACTGGTCCAACAATGGAGTGGAGATCGGGATTCTCTGGGTATTGGTCCAAGAATGGAGTTGAAGTGGGGATTGTGAGGGGTACTGGTCCAACAATGGAGTGGAGAACAGTACTGTCTTGGTACTGGTCCAACAATGGAGTGGAGAACAGGGATTGTCCAACAATGGGGTACTGGTCCTGGGGATGGAGTGGTTGAAGTAGGGATTGTGAGGGGTACTGGTCCAACAATGGAGTGGAGAATCAGGGATTGTGAAGGGTACTTGGTCCAACAATGGATGGAGAGGGGATTGTGAGGGTACTTGTCCAAGGATGGGTAGGTAGGGATTGTGAGGGTACTGGTCCAACAATGGAGTGGAGAATGGGATTGTGAGGGGTACTGGTCCAAGAATGGAGTGGGAGGTAGGGATTGTGAGGGGTACTTGTCCAAGGATGAGAGTGGAGGTAGGATGGATTGTGAGGGGTACTGGTCCAAGGTAGGGATGGAGGGTACTGGGAGAGTGGGATTTGGGATTGAGGGGTACTGGTCCAAGGAATGAGAGTGGAGGTTGGGATTGTGGAGGGTACTTGTCCAAGGATGGAGTGGAGATCAGGATTGTGAGGGGGTACTGGTCCCAATGGAGTGGAGTAGGGATTGTCTGGGTACTGGTCCAACAATGGAGTGGGAGTTGGGATTGTCAGGGTACTGGTCCAACAATGGAGTGGAGGTTGGGATTGTGAGGGTACTGGTCCAACAATGGAGTGGAGTAGGGATTGGGTGAGGGTACTGGTCCAACAATGGAGTGGAGATCGGATTGTCTAGGTATTGGTCCAAGAATGGGATTGAAGTTGGGATTATGAGGGTACTGGTCCAATGGAATGGAGAGGATTGTCTGGGAGAACAGGGATTGTGAGGGGTACTGGTCCAACAATGGAGTGGAGATCGGGATTGTGAGGGGTACTTGTCCAGGAATCGAGTGGAGATCGGGATTGTGGGGGGTACTTGTCCAAGGATGGAGTGGCGATCAGGATTGTCAGGGGTACTTGTCCATGGATGGAGTGGAGATCGGGATTGTCAGGGTACTTGTCCAAGGATGGAGTGGAGAGGTTGGGATTGTGAGTTGGGAATCAGGATTGTCAGGGGTACTTGTCCAAGGATGGAGTGGAGAGTCGGGATTGTGAGGGGTACTTGTCCAAGGATGGAGTGGAGGTAGGGATTGTGAGGGTACTTGTCCAAGGATGGAGTGGAGGTAGGGATTGTGAGGGGTACTGGTCCAACAATGGAGGGGACGTTGGGATTGTGAGGGGTACTGGTCCAAGAATGGAGTGGAGGTAGGGATTGTGAGGGGTACTTGTCCAAGGATGTAGTGGAGGTACGGATTGTAAGGGGTACTGGTCCAACAATGGAGTGGAGGTTGGGATTCTGAGGGGTACTTGTCCAAGGATGGAGCGAAGGTTGGGATTGTAAGGGGTACTGGTCCAACATTGGAGTGGAGATCTGGATTGTCAGGGTTACTGGTCCAAGGATGGAGTGGAGGTAGGGATTGTCAGGGGTACTGGTCCAACAATGGAGTGGAGATCCGGATTGTGAGTTGTACTGGTCCAACAATGGAGTGAAGGTTGGGATTGTCAGGGGTACTGGTCCAAGAATAGAGTTGAGGTTGGGATTGTGAGGGGTACTGGTCCAACAATGGAGTGGAGATCGGGATTGTCAGGGGTACTGGTCGAAGAATGGAGAGGAGGTAGGGATTGTGAGGGGTACTGGTCCAAGGATGGAGTGGAGGTAGGGATTGTGAGGGGTACTTGTCCAGGAATGGAGTGGAGATGGGATTGTGAGGGGTACTGGTCCAAGAATGGAGTGGAGATCGGGATTGTCAGGGTACTTGTCCAAGGATGGAGTGGAGGTAGGGATTGTGAGGGGTACTGGTCCAAGAATGGAGTGGAGATGAGATTGTGAGGGGTTCTGGTCCAAGAATGGAGCAGAGAGGATTGTGAAGGACCAAGGATGGAGGGTACTTGTCCAAGGATGGAGTGAAGGTAGGGATTGTGAGGGGTACTGGTCCAACAATGGAGTGGAGGTTGGGATTTTGAGGAATACTTGTCCAAGAATGGAGTGGAGATGGGATTGTGAGGGGTACTTGTCCAACAATGGAGTGGAGATCGGATTGTGAGGGGTACTGGTCCAAGAATGGATTGGAGATGGGCATTGTGAGGGGTACTTGTCCAACAATGGAGTGGAGGTTGGGATTGTGAGGGGTACTTGTCCAAGGATGGAGTGGAGATCTGGATTTTGAGGAATACTTGTCCAAGAATGGAGCGGAGATGGGATTGTGACGGGTACTTGTCCAAGAATGGAGTGGAGATGGGATTGTGAGGGGTACTTGTCCAAGGATGGAGTGGATATCTGGATTTTGAGGGGTACTTGTCCAAGGATGGAGTTGAGATCGCGATTGTGAGGGGTACTTGTCCAAGAATGGAGCGGAGATGGGATTGTGAGGGGTACTTGTCCAAGAGTGGAGTGGAGATCGGGATTGTGAGGGGTACTTGTCCAAGGATGAAGCGGAGATCGGGATTGCCAGGGGTACTTGTCCAAGGATGGAGTGGAGGTAGGGATTGTGAGGGGAACTTGTCCAAGAATAGAGTGGAGATGGGATTGTGAAGGGTACTTGTGCAAGAATGGAGTGGAGATGGGATTGTGAGGGGTACTTGCCCAAGGATGGAGTGGAGATTAGGATTCTCTGGGGTACTGGTCTAAGAATGGAGTGAGGATTGGGATTGTCAGGGACACTGTCCAAGAATGGCGTGGATTGTCTGGGTTACTGGTCAAGAATTGAGTGGAGATTTAGATTGTCAGGGGCACTGGCCCAAGAATGGTGTGGGTATTAATATATTGATTTCGAAACTTTCATTTCGAAACATGTTATGAGTTTCATCCTGTTCACCAGGAACATTTAGGATTCTCTCGGATGTGTCATCCCAAATAGGTAATACCCTACCGAACACGCCTCTCCTTTGAACATATGTCTGAACGTATTCCATGAAATCTGTAATCATAGAACGAGTTTGAGATAACGCTATATCAGGATGTGTCACCTTGATCTGGGAATAAAGGCTGAAGTGATACTTGATAGCAGTGAAGATGCGGGTTAGAATTGGTCTTCAGCAACTCATACTTGTCGAAAGAGGCGACTATCGGGATCGGATGGTCAGGCGCACTGACTTGGTTGACACATGTCATCGGATCCAAGCTGCGTACTTCGATTGTCTTGCTGTTGATCACTGGATTGCCTGGTCCAGACTCGATTATTTACTGGAATATTGCTGGGTGCAGCGTTAAATAACAAACGAACAAGTTTAGATGTTGTTCACTTTGGTAAAACGCTCGAGCACCATTGTGAAATGACCGAGCAGGCGAATGAATAATGCTGGTTAAATGTTCGACTCGAATTTAATTCATATTTATATGAAATGTTTCAAGTTTGTCTATCCTCCGTATTTTGAAGTATTATCCTTTTATTATTCAGATCGGAATATGGTACGGTAATATCTGTCGTGCACAATAGTAGCTTAGTAATCAGTATGAAACTTAATCATTTTGTGACTATTTCACCCACCACATATGGCGATGCTTAATATTCAACGATGTAATAACTTCCGTTTTGAATGTGAAATATGTCCGGGATGCACCGAAACGCCCCATAAGGAAGGTCTGAACAGAAAATTACACTGCTGGGGGTTAGTACACATGCGGTGCTGGACGAACACTGTTTTCCTGCATAACTGATAGCAGAGGTAATATATTCAATATGTTTAAAAATATATGTAAATGCTTTTTCAGACCGATTTCATGATCAGTATTCAGTTTAATCATATCACTGAATGATAAGTGATTTGTTCGATGCAAGTAACGTCTAACATTAGACTTAGTTTGTAATTATAGAAATGCTCAATTGTACTTTGTAAAAACCTACCACAGGATATACTGATTCATTACATAATGTGCTTTAGGGCGGACATCACTTCATGCACACCAATACCATGTTGACGTCATTTGACTCTTATTGTGACGTAAGGTCGGAATGACGTTACACTTGAAAAAGACATCAGTGGTGGAGATTGTTGAGGTTTTTTTCTAGAAAGTGATTGAGAAACAATAGGTAATAGTAACTATTACAGCCGCACAGTATCCGCAATGACTATGTATGTAGTAAGGACATAGCAAGCGGGGAGCAGGAAACCTTAGCGATCACTGCTTGGTGTCAACACAATTTGACAGTGATTCATAAACAGTCAGAATAGTGCTATCGACTCTGCTTTAAACACAGCTTTCATGTGGCTATGGATAGGGTTTTGGTCTTTCTTTTTCAACTTAAAACCGCTCTTTCCAGATAACATTTCAACTGGTCACTTGATTTTTATATGTGATCCATGTCAATGAAAGTTTTCATGCATATACCACGTCAGCGTGGCTTTGAATTCTTCGTGTAAATATATTCACACACAATATGAATGCACAATGCCGTTTAGAACGTGTTCTAATGTAACACATGTTATATTTGGGATTACACTTTCTCAATTAAGTACAGGTACGGGAAGTATAATTTGTACTTTATTGAGAAAGTGTAATCGCCAATACATCATGTGTTACATTCACACACATTCATTAGTATTTCACGTACATATCCGGTAATATGATCTACCCTCAACTTAGTTACTCCTTTTAGTTACGACTTAGGTTTTGCTGATTAAATATTCTTTATTTTACAGGCAAAATGGATACCCTGATTATTGTGGTCTGCCTACCATTTCTAGTGCTTCAGTCTGCCAGTCTCAGTGAGCACACCGAGATCAGTGATCAGTCTTTGAAGCATCCAGAACTATGTCCTCCGTGTTATTGTGAGAACGGTACTGCGATATGTAACAGCCTAGGTCTTACATATATACCCAAATTTCCGAATGGTACACAAAACGTTACCTTTACCCGGAATAGTTTAAAATCCATTACCGAAAGAACGTTTTCAAATTTAAGTCATCTGAACTTGCTAGTCTTGGATCTTTCTGACAACGACATTCGATCCATATCCCCTGAAGCGTTTTCAACTCTACGCTGTCTCCAAAATCTGTGCCTGAGAAACAACATAGTTCCCATAACAATTTTGTCAGAAAGTTTCCTTGGCCTCAGAAATCTCACCAGCCTCAACCTGAGGCATATGCTGTTGAGGAATATATCAAGTGGATTCTTTAAACATCTGCCCAGCTTGTCCCTAGAACACTTGGATATAAGCCACAATGGCCTTAAACAATTCAATTTTGACAGTCTTACGAAGTTTCCTGATCTCAAAATCCTTCGAGTTGGACATAATCCCATAAAGATTTTACAATGGAAATATTATAACGCCCTGGAAGAGGTGTCACTGGATGATTGTGACAGGCAAGAAATTCCCACATTTTGCTCTGGAAATGGATCTTTTTTTCCAAAATTGAAAAAGTGTTTTTTCAGTCATAACCTTCTCTCCATGCTGAATTCGACGTTCTTTACTTGTCTAGATACACTGGAGGTGGCGTTTCTGAACAATAATCCAATCCGTGTTATTGATACAGGAACTTTTGCTTATTTACCAAACTTACAAGAAGTATGCATGCATCACTTGCAACAGTTGCACGTTTTGCACGACTATGCATTTAATAACACCAACCTCGGTATATTAAATCTCCGAGGCAGTCACCTTGGAGTGAACGAGATTGACCCAAACGCATTTGCAGGATGCTATTGTCTACACACTCTCGACTTAGGTTACAATCAGTTCGAATTCATGGACGATTACAAATTTAACCAGCTTTTTAGAGACTTAAATTCATTGAGGAATTTAACCCTTACATCTACTGAACTTGTTGCAGTACCCAGTGTGATTTCAAGAGTCATGTTCCGACTCGAGCGTCTTTACATGAACAAAAACAAACTTCAGAGCCTACCAAAACTATGTTTCATAACCTGACCAAGCTCACACTTCTTGATGTTTCCTTGAACTTCATCAGCATGATTCAAGAGGATACATTTCCTGAACAAAGCCGAAATACCCTGAAGCATATTGGACTTGAAAATAATTCTTTTACCTGTTCTTGTGACATGAAATGGTTTATTCTGTGGATTCAGAGAGATCACCACAAATTTACCGGATACCCGTCTACTTATGCCTGTGCATACCCATCTGAGTTCAGAAGTGTCCTATTATCTGATGTGTCGTTCTCGGAACAGTATTGTCTGTTCCAGAAGACTGTTTATGTACTGCTGCTTGGGTTCATTACTCTGGGCGTGGTGCTTGTGGCTGTAGTGTCCATTATTTACAAATGTCGCTGGAGGTTGCGCTACTTTCTGTACCTTATCAGGCACCTTGAACTCTATAAGCCAAGAGATGACCAAGATTGTACTTATGATGGATTCGTGGTGTATTCCCCAGTGACACAGCTTGGATCACACAACACTTGATTCCTTGCGTGGAGGAAAGAAATGGACTGAAACTATGTATACATGAGAGAGACTTCGATGTTGGAGGTGCGATCGTTGACAACATTGTGGAAAGCGTGGAGGCCAGTAGGAAGATCCTTATTCTACTGTCCGTCAACTCACTCCAAAGTGAATGGTGTCTGTTTGAGATTAACTTTGCTCAAAGACGTGCCGTTGGTGGAGCTCATACTTTCGTTATGGTCCTTTTGGGCAACATCCCTGGGAGGCTCATCTCTTCCTCCATGCGGGCCATGCTTGAGGAACATCCATGTTTAATATGGCCATCACAGCATGAAGATGAAAGTGCTCGAGATATGTTCTGGGAGCAACTAATGGGATACTTTCGTCATTAGATTTACACATACGTTTAATTTGCCTGGTAATGAAGTGCAACCTCTATTTTGCATGATTGCTCAAAAACAAGTTTTGCATGTTGTCCAGAAATGTGCATGGACACTGTTGGCAACTCATTCTAGTCAGATTTTCAATATATTCTTTTTGCTTTCTGTAAGAAAGAGGTTGTCTGTGCCACTATTATGATGGGCAGTTATGTGTGCAGCCGTGGAAATCTTTATGATTTTTCATACAGAAGAAAAGAAAATGCTCTGAAATCTTTTACTTATTTCACTATGTGTATATATGTAATATAGACTGACTTATGACTATCCATACATTAACTATGCAGGTGGATGGGACAAAACAAATCTGTCTGAAATGAAACACGTTGTCATGAGGACCCTACGAGTCTTTTTTAACGTGGGGAAGGAACGGCGAGCAGTTTCAGTCTGTAGATGTTTGACACGTGTGTGGCTGTTTAATGAGGGTGCATGTGTACGTTTGTTCGAATTTGTGTAAAATAACTGTCTTGTTTCAACGTGTGACCTTGAAGTCGCAAGTTCAGTTGTTTAACCAGTAAGCTACCCCAACGCCACTTTCCTGTAAGACGTATGGCTCCGCCCACTCATGAATATTCATGATTTCTGTGCACTTAAGACCATTGTTTGTTTTAGGGCACAACATATGTGGTCAACAGACGTATGTGTAACGTGTATAATCGTGCCAGTTACATTCCTTCGCACTGTATTAACCATGACAGTGAACACTATGCATATTCATTCGATTGAGCATTATTTTAAAGGGAATAAGTTGTTAAAACACGTTTTATGTCCCGTTTAGTTAGAAAATATCTATCCGTAAAGATCTGGGTTATAACTGGTCTTCAGCAACCTATGCTTGTTGTACGAGCTGACTAAGGGGATGGGGTGGTCAGACTCGCTGACTTGGTTGACTCATGTCATTGTATCCCAGTTTCGTAGATCGATGCTCATGCTGCTGATCACTGGGTTGTTTGGTTCAACACACATGCGATTATTTACAGGTCGATGCCATATAGGTGGAATATGGCTGAGTGCGGCGTTAAACAATAAAGAAAGAAAGAAAATATCTCATTCATTCTGTAATCTTTGGTTGAGTACGTGATCGTACCCTGACTGAATATGAACCACTAATGTACTGACTCGATTAATAGAAGCGACAAAACCTTTTCCACATCCATAAGACATCTCTGCTAAAAGCGGAGACGATTGTACAATTGTGACTATATTCAACAGTATTACAGCTGTACGATGTTGTTTGTAAACAAGTCGAGTCTGGACCAGACAATCCAGTGATTGTCACCATGCGAGACGACAGAGCCTGTGTTTATGAATCACTATGAAATAAGTACATGCCGTCGTTGTTTAGTTGGAATGTATAACAACTACTTTTGGTTGTTGTTTAGTGTTGCCTGTTTTATCCGTTTTTCAGGATACCTCTTAATGTGTACTTATGATTAATGAGCCAATGGAAGTTCCTGTAATAGTGTATCGGCATATATGTACATAATATTTCCATGAGTATAAAACTGAACCCGTTTCATTATGTAGTTAAAACATCCTCACGCACGTATGTGCTGCCCTTAAACCTACTTGAATATTCATGACTATTCTGCACTTAAGACCATTGTAGGTTTAAGGGCATAACACACGTACTCACGCTCGCTTTCTAATTCACTCCCATACGCTCTCACTTACTCAGTTTAGTTTAGTTTGTGATGTTCACTCATCGAGCGTTACAAGAGTGACGGATTGACACACAGACGCCCAGTTGATATCAATATTGCAGCTGTAAACAAACTTGACTGATAAACAAGCTTGACGCAGTGGGAATATGAAACTAAGGGACACGTGGATATTTCCACATGCGGGCTATGTCTGGTATTTAGCGCTTGTTTCACCTCATGCACATCCTCATCTTGAGATTCCTGATATGAACAGGATTGTTAATATAATTGTGAGTTCATATATGGATCACATTTACAGATTCGAACCCAGACTCTTTGAGTGATGCACTTAACCGTTAGATATATTTGCAGTCACACGTAGCCCGTTACAGCTTTTCATATACTGTGTTTATTTATAATTGTTTTAGATATTTTGACTTTTTACAATAGTTTCACCTAATGGACCCATGAATCTGAAATCGTGCATGCATTTTTATGGACAGTCATAAACTTCCAGTCACCAAATTTCGATTTCTTGTCGATGCCTTTATATCAACCGATTTCACATACAAAATACCCCGGGGCGGTGGGCTGGACAAGAGGTTAAAGCGTTCGCTCGTCACGCCGAACGCCCGGGTTCGATTCCCCACATGTACAATGTATGAAGCCCATTTCTAGTGTGATATTGCTGGAGCATTGAAAAAGCGGCGTAAAACCATAATCGCTCACAAAGCATTCGTTGATATTACTATTTCAGTCTCTTGAAATTGCATCGGCAGCATGGTGGCCTGTATGAATATCTTTTTCAAGCACATGTACACCAGCAATATTTACGTCCGTATCCAATGGTAAACGGAATATGTGAGTGAAACATAATATTGTTTGTGCATGTTTTTCCTTCTGTTTATTGTGAAATAAAATACTTCTTCTCTTGTTTTTATGTGCTTCATAGCCCATCGTTACTTGTTTTAAAAATCTCACTCTGTTATCCATGCTTAACATGCATTGTATTACAGAGCCGAGACCCGTGAAGATCCCAGTTAGAATTGGACTCCAGTAACCCATGCTTGTCGTAAGAGGCGACTAACGGGATCGGGAGGTCAGGCTTACTGACTTGGTTGACACATGTCATCGTATCCCAAACAATAAAGTATTTCATCATCTGAGAAGGAAGCTACACACTTCCGGACAGGTGAAAAAGACATGCTAATAAAATCAACAAAACCCTTTGTACATTCACAAGAAAGCTTTGCCAAGAGTCAAATACTTTTTCAAAATCAATCAGAATCAGCAAACCAGGAATATTTTGTTACTTTGTTTCAAACATTATGTCATATAGCAGTCCTGTATTTTCGCTTATAGTCCTAGCTGGTATAAAACCAGTTTAATTATAGTGAATAAATTCATCTAAAGTAGCATTTAATCTATGTGCAATACAGGAGCTGATAATTTTATAAATAGCAATGAGTAAAGTGATAGGCCTCCAGTTTTTAAGTAACGTTCTGTCTTTATTGGATTTTGGAATAAAGGTGATGATACCCCTTTTCATATTAGAAGACATTTCTTCCTAGATGATACATTTTTAACGAATGTTTAAATCCATACTTTTAATTCTTTCCAAATTTGTTTTTAAAGAAATCAATAGGAAATCCACCAGTCCCTGGCTTTTATTGTTCTTCATCTTGTAAACAGCATTGCTAATTTCCTCCATACAGATTGTCTCTTAGTGTTTTGTTAAGAGTTGGGCGTTTAATATCATTCAAGCAGTCTTCCTCCTTGTACTGTTCCTGGAGAAGAAGTTGACATCCATAATATCTTGTCTTATAAATTTATAATGTTGTGTAAATAAAAGCGGCGTAGAACCCAACTCAGTCACTCACTCTAATATATAGAGGACCAGTGACCATAACGGTAAACTTCCAAGAACAGGGGAAAGACGAATATAGTACCGTCACGACTCGAGATCACATATTACACACGTTGTTGTTTGTTATATTGCAGTGGTGTATAAATTGGACCAGACAATCTACTGATCAACACTATGAGCATCGATCAACTGGGATACGATGACAGGTATCAACCAAGTCAGCGAGCCTGACCACCTGATCCCGTTAGTCGCCTCTTACGACAAACATGGGTTACTGAAGACCAATTCTAATCCGGATCTTCACAGGTCCATGTTTGTGTTGCTATTTCTACGATTAATGTGGGCTTTTCTGCGTTTTTCTGCACAGTGGGAAAGTTTTCTTTGTAGGCCTTAATTCCAACCCGGATCTTCACGGGTCAAGTACACACTGATGTGAACAGCTCATGGGAAGTATTATTTCCAGGGTACGCCGACAGCCGCATGGCCCCGACATCGTGCTTTGTTGTATAACGTGTTTAAACAGACAGTGACCCACTTGATCAGAGTTGACTATTCTCACTGCTGTTCCTGTGACTCAGTTGTTATTTTTAAAGAGATCCTTTTGTTATATAAGGAAGCAGGACACAGTTGAGTTTCATGGAAACAGAAAATATCACGGGAAATATCACTAGTGCAAACATACTTCAGTCATGAGTTGACATTCATTATGGGGATATTTCGTCACAACCTGTCTGCTTTCATATACACAAGGTTGAAATGTATTCAGAAGCGGATAGTGGTTTATTTGATAAAATATCAATACAGACAGGAAATATATTAAAATAGTTATGTCTACACGTTAAATGATTAAAGGTTAGAAGATGTGGTTGTTATTAACGCCGCTCTCAGCAATATTCCAGCTACATGGCAGCGATATGTAAATAATCGTGTCTGGACAAGACAATCCAGTGATCAACAGCATGAACATTGATGTCCATATCTGGGATACGAGTACATGCGTCGACCAAGCCATCTGAAAACCAATTCTAACTTCACACAGTGTAACCATGTGGGGATTCGAACCCGGGTGTTCGGCGTGACGAGCCAACGCTTTAACCACTAGGCTACCCCACCTCCCTA